AAAAAAAAAAAAAAAAAAAAAAAAAAAAAAAAAAAAAAAAAAAAAAAAAAAAAAAGGGGGAGGAAAGAGAATATTGTCTTTTTAAGGGGGGGAAAGATTGAAATACCCCCCGAAATTTTTATTTTCGAAAACCTTTGAATTTTTTAATTAAATCAAAAATCTATTTTTGACAATATGGGCCGTACATAGTGAACAATTTCTTAATTTGAGATTCAAGTTTTTGCAAATTTGGGCAAGCCCAAATATTATGTCAAAAATTTTGAATCGGAGAAACAGTTAAATTTTCGAAATAATAAAAATAAAAGTCGCAGCAATTGATCTATTATATTATAATATAAATAAATTAATTTTCCTAAAAATCAATATGATTACTAATTATATTTTATTTTATTTAGTTAATGGAGGATATGTTTATGAAAACCTAAATTATAATAAAATTAAAATAAATTGAACCGGACTCGAAACGGAATTGAGTTTTTTCAAAAAAGACCACACGAATAATTTGAAAACCAAGTGAAAAAACTTGCAAACCGACAAAATCGAGCCGAATCATATGAAAATTAGACCCAAAACCGGTTCGAATCGAACGGAATGGTCTTCATAGAATTAGACCAAACCGGTTCGAATCGAACCGGAATGGTCTAGAAGCTTTAGAATTCTCCTTTCTTTTCTTTTCTTTTTTTCTTTTTTTCTTCTTCCAACAGCGTCGACCTCCACCCCCTCCCCCTTTCCCTTTTGCCTTTCCGGTCACCTGAAGCCAGTGCCATTCCCATCGCCTCCCGCTGCCGTTCCCGTGTCGCTCTCTTTCCCCCTCACCTTTGTTGTCTTAGGCTAGCGTAGCTAGCGCGGCTGTCGCAGGAAGCTGCGATCGTAGCACCCTCAGCCCCTCCTCCCGCATTTTCAGACAGATCAACGGCAAGGAGCTCCATTCACACCACCTGGACCTCGCCTCTAGTCCCTACCGTTACAACCATCCGACCCATTTCATGCTCTTGGCCTACTTCTCGCACGACAGAAAGAGAGAGGGAGACAGAGAGGTTGCGATGATCAAATCCGGCCACCTCGAATGATTCCGGTGACTGACACCAACAAGGTCGGCAAGGTCGGTTGACTATCCCATTCTAATTCCTTTACAAATAATTTGTTTGATTAATTTGCAATTAATACGGAAGTTTTTAGAATTGATCAAAATGGGACTTAGGGATTTAAGAATAAAAATTGGGATTTCATTAAATATTGACATAATTTGTAGTAGTTAGCTATAGAACTGAGTTCTATATTTGCTGCGTCTTGGCGTAAGAATTGCAACATTCAGGAACCAAGGTACCTCCAGCCACCGTAGACGGCGGCGACAGCGGTGGCTCCGGTGACCGGAGTTCCCAAGGTGCAGAACCTTGCATTTTTCGTGTAGAGTATGAATATATAATTAGTTTTAACATCTGACATCAATTGATATTGATCTGTGGATTGACGCATATTTAGAAATTAGGCTTCAGGCTGAAAAATTAAGGTAGTCGATAAACAAGAACTATACGATCTTAAAAAGGTTTAATTAGCTAGTTAACAAAGTAATTAAATTGGTTAGTATTCAAAATAAGTTATATGGATGAATTTTATAATAATTAGGATGTTTAGTTTCTATGAAGTTAATACTAATAAGGGTTAATATTATTAAGTAATATGTATTTGAATGTTAATTAAGGATTATTAGTGTATTTTGTTTTATATTTCGTTTTATATATGATATTGTTAATTGGATGATATGAGTTGCTTAGAATATAATATGTAAATTTGGGTAAAGTATGACCTGTTGTTCTTATAATCAGCAGCTAAGTAGGGGTGGCCATATTACGGTTCTGGGAACCGGAACCGTCGGTTCGAACCGGTCTGGAACCGTAATCGGAATCGGGCTGAACCGAAATCAGAACCGAAGATTTTCGGTTCGGTTCCGGTTGGTTGATTGCCCGACGGATGGGCTGTGTGGATTGAGTTAATATTGAATGAAATTTTTGATATTTAAACAGGTGGATAGTCCCATTTTTAGGGAAAATGCTGCCGAAATTTCAGTAGAACCTAGGCTACACATAATAAGTTTATTTAGATTAATTCTATAACTTGATATTTAATAAATAAAGTGCTCTGATTATTTTATTATTATCATGATTATTCATTTAATTATTCAATTATCTTTACTACTCATTTAATGATTTAACATATTTATTTATTTATTTCGCATTAATTATTGTTAATACTATTTATTTATTTGGTTATTTGCATTGCCATTATGTGATGTTTAATTGATTAATTGCTTGTCATTTAATTGCAATACTTGATTAATTGTGTTGTGATGATTGCTGTGCTTTGTTTGGTGTGGAATTAGGATGAGTGGGTCACCATGGGGTTTGTGAGTACTGTTTCTGTTTATACGAATCCTGATTCTGATTTCTGTTATATTCTGATTTGTTATATGGATCCGATTCTGTTTCTGTTAGCCGGGTAAATGGAGGATCGGCGCCCACCTGGTGGTGCAACTACTGTTACTGTTACTGTACCACAGGTCGGTTTCTTTATTGGGCGCACCTGATAATACTAAGGATTTGATCGCAGCCCGCAGGGTGGCCCTCCGCTTGTTGTAGCGCCTGATGATTCTAGATTTGATGGAGACGACGCGGGTTGCCTCCTGTTGGTATGAAAAAGAAAAGAGAGAATGGAGAAAACAATAGAAGGGCTGGTCAATGAGGATTAGAAACTCCCACCCACACCCAGCAACATCCCCCCAGCCAACCCAGAACATAACCCTGTGTGTGCTTCGGGCCAGTGTATGGGGATCGGCTCCCCTGGTGGCACATGTGAGAGGATCGAGCCAATGTGGGAGACGGCCTCATCGGGGGTTCGGTGACTCACTTGACTAATTTCCCACGTGATATGTGATTATACTGAAGATGTTTAAATGATTGTGGTGCTGGTGATTTGCCATTTGTGTGACTGGCTGCGTGAGCATATAACTAGTCGGACGACTAGATTAATATGTTTACACATTTGTGTGACTGCGTGTGGTGTGCAAAAATTCTTACTCCTTAGAAAAACTCACATGTCTTGTTTGATTTTTCAGGAAGTAGGTTTTTCCTTTAATCCGATTTAGGCTATGCTTCTTCGGCGCAGGGCAATAAAGAAATTTTTCTAGTTTCATAATTTTTTGCTATGTAATCATGTGTATAAAAGCTATGTATACTAAGAGTTAGTGACTCCGCAGTTGTAGGATTTACATATTTTTAGTCGTGTATTAATATAGCCAAAGCAATTCTGTAAGCCTATGTTAGAAATGTGATGTATTGTGAATTGGGCCCGAACTATGGGATGTCGTAGAAGATAAACTTGGGCCGAGAAATAATAAAATCTTGAGGTTTATTGTTCATAATCATATGGGTTGAATGTTAAAATTTTATTGAGATAGTAAATTTCTAGTATTTCAGGCTTACTACGGGCCTCGGGGGCCTTAAGCTTACCTGGGCCCTAGTGCTGGTCCGGCCCACGGAAACGGGTCGTGACCCGGTCCGGCCCATGGAATCGGGTCGTGACAATCATGTTACAATCAATTTGACTAATCTTATCTTTAATTTAATTATTCATATGGCAGAGATTAATCCTTTTATCTAAATTGGTGGAGTTCTTTTTTCCATCAGATATTATATATAAACGATATCTATAATATATGGTTTATTTATTTATTTATGACATTATAGTATTTTTTTAATCAAGAATTATTTATTGAATATAAACAATAATTTAACAAAAATTATCTATAATCCATTTGTTTTTATCTATAATCAAGAATTATCTATAATCCATTTGTTTTTATTTCTAAAATAATAAGCATGACATAATAATTTAACAAAAACAATAACAAACACCGGTTATATTTATTATATCCATTACAACAATCTTATTGTTTTTTCATTCAAATATAAATAATAAAATTCATATAAATTAATACACTCAAATTCCACCATAATTAATTAATAATTATATATATGATAAGTAGTAAAAGAATTCTTTACCCATCTGACAAGTTTTCATCAGATTCAGAACTTTCTTCAGAACTGGAAAATAATTTTAATAAGTTAAATATATGATGCAGAGTATAAATTTAATATATGATAATTTATTAGGGCACAATTAATAAATTTAATTAAGTTTAATCGATATATTAAATCCATGACATTTGTTAATTTTTTTGCGCGGTATAGAGAAATATTGTTTTTCAAGGAATTTTTCTTTTTTTTTTTAATAATAAACTATGACTGTATTTACATTTTCTTAAAAAAATAAATTTCAAATGGTTTTGATAGAGCTTTGATAAAAATAATAAGTTTAATTTTTCAAAAAAAAAATAATAAGTTAAATGAGCAAAAATTTACTTTGCATGAAGAGAAAGGTAATTTTATCATAAAAAGTTGAGTTATTTAATTTTGTGAAATTTATTTAAAAATAGGAATTTCACCTATTTTTATATAATTTTATTTAATTATTTCCAATTCTATAAAATTGAATTCATAAAATCAAAATTTACTTATTTTTCATTTAAACATAAAAATATGATTTTTCAAATGAATTTTGTAAAATTTTGATTGATAAGGGTTAAATTTGAAATTTCGCAACCGTCGTATAAGCGAGAAACTAACCTATTTTAAAAAATAAATTTTAAAAATTCCTTGTAATTTAAAGCAATAAATTAAAATAGTGTTAAAATAATTTATTCAATTGCAAATTATGATTAGATGCACTTAATTATATTAAAATTAATAAATTTAAATAATGAATTATGGTAATTTTTTCATTTAAATACTAAAATACATAGAAAAATTAATGTATTCAAATCTTCAGGTATAAATGACCCTATATAGTATCGTCGGATCCGATGTATGTGGAAGAAAAAAAAAAAAAAAAAAATTCAGCGTTATAACTGACCCTAATATAGTATCGTCGGATCCGAATGGTATGTGGAAGAAAAAAAAAAAAAAAACACAGAGTGCTGACTGAAGTAAATGGATTACGAGACAGACCACTTCAATATTTCGCCATTATTTTGTTTTTTTCCGTTTTTAATTTTTTTTATTTTTATTTCTGAATGGAGCATTATTTTAAAACTGTTTTGCTTAGTCTTCATGCTCCTTCTCTTTTCTATAACCAGAGATCATCTCAAAAAAAAAAAAAAAAAAACACAGGTGCTGACGAAGTAATGATTACGAAACAGACCACTTCAATAATTCGCCATTATTTTGTTTTTTCCGTTTTATTTTTTTTATTTTTATTTTTCTGAATGGAGCATTATTTTACTGTTTGCTTAGTCTCATCCTCTTCTCTTTCTATAACAGAGATCCATCTCTTCTCTGCATAAATAAAACGGCCCAATGTTCACGATCTTGATGACACACGCACCGGCGTCAGAGTCAGAACACAGACTCAAACTCAGTGATTTAGAGAAACAGAAAGAAGGAATCTTTCTTTCATGGGCCTTAACCTTTCTGTTCTTCAATGGCAAATTCTCTCTGCCTCATATCCATACCTATCATCAATACTAGCACCCATCTTCTTCTTCTGATTCTCCATCGTTTGCCCATTACTGGGCTTCATCTTCTCCTTATCTTCCTCCATTCTCTCTTATAACTTTCATTACCTTGCCGGTTATCCCGGTATCTCAGTTTCTTTTTCTGATTGTTTCTTTTGGAAATCTGTTCCCGCAGTCTTCTTTCTCCAATTTTCTGGAGGATAAGAACTTTTTCTCATTAGCTTTGACATAGGACAGCTTTTGCTTTAATAAAAATAGATAAATCCAAATTTTTCTATAACTCTCTCCTGATAAAAAGTATTTTCCCATATTCTGTTTGGTGGGAACAAGTGGGCATCAATAAAAAAGAATTCCACTTTGAATATTCAAGAATCCTTAAATTTTACCCTATCGAGGTAAGTCTGTATTTCATCTTTATTTCTCGTGATAGTCCAATGGGGATATTTGTTTTATAATTTTTAATGTTATATTTGTTAGAATTTCGATGGCATCGGTGTTTTTATATCATGTCGTGGGAGATCTAACGGTGGGGAAGCCGGAAATGATGGAATTTTACGAGACTGGGACGGTCGAATCTGCGATTCGGGCAATTGGAGAGTCGACGGAGTGCGGTATTCCTGTTTGGAAGAGGAGAACTCATGTGGGTATGATCGAGAATAGCGAAATGAGGCAACAGAGGTTTGTGGGTATCCTTAATTCTCTTGATATTGTGGCCTTTTTAGCTAAAGCTCAGTGCTTGGAGGATCAGGAGAAGGCCATGAATACGCCTGTCTCTGAGGTGGTTATTCCTAATAACTCTCTATTGAAACAGGTTGATCCTGCTACAAGGTCAGCTCTCAAATTGTGAAACTTGAATAGTTGGCATTTGTGGTCATGATACGCTTGTTGCTTTGATTTATTCATATTGTCATTTCACGGATTTGATAATTTGAGATGGAATATTGCTGACTTGTCTTTCTTGTTGTTATCTCAATGAAAAATCCATGTTTGCAATGGGGCTAATTTTTCAAATTGTGTATAGATTATGATTCTGCTCTGAGAATTTGTGAAAATTTTACCTTGTTTTCTTTATGCTACAATATTTTTCTACTCTTAAAACCTTCGACTATCCTACAATATGTCTACTTACCTAGTTCTTTTGCATAATTTGGTGTTGGGATATGGGGATGTTACTTGATAAATAAAGAATGGGCCAGCAATTATTGCAAGTTTTTTGAACGCCTTTCCTTGTTGAGGCTGAAGTTTGGCAATTCAAGTCTTGATAAATGCTAATAATTTTTACGGATAGTATAGGCCCATAAAACTCTTGAATTCCTCTTTGAACTATCTTTTGCTAGTTGATTGTTGCAGAGAGGCTTATTAAATTACATGATTTTAGGCTTTTCTTATCTTCACATTTCTATCTTTTTGCACATATTACAATTATATCAGCTAAATTACATTTAGAGGGGTTTTGCCATAAGTAAACTCCCCTCCTATTAGTGAGATGTTAGTGATATCCTTTCCTGTCCAGCGTGGTATCACAAAATCATACTTATATCACATTGTTGGTCAGACTAACCAAACTGTTAATGTCACCTCCATGTTGACTAATGAAATAATGATGCCTTTGCTTCCCTTTGATCTCTTGATTTTCTAAGAAGTATATAAAGCCAATTATTCATTTTTAGTCCAATATTATAATAGATAATCCAATTCATTAATTTACTTTTTCACTCCATACTCTGTCATGCCAGCACACCCATAGTACTCATCTTCTGTATCTTGCTATTATTTGCGTGGATCCCATTTAGGTGGCATTGTAGATTCACTTTATATTTTAAAAAAAAAATTTGATAATTGCATTAATTTATATTCAAGGAGTTGAATGTAATTTGAGAAATTGCAACTAACCAATGAACATGATGCAAATAAAGATGTTGAATGCATGATTTGTTCATTATCCACGATCAACTTCAATAACTAGTATAAAAGAATAAAAAATAAAGAAGAAGATCAAAGATCCTAAATTATCAATACCAAAAAAGTGTCTAGGAGAGTCTTAAAGGATGTCTCAAAATTTCATTTATTAACTGTTCTGGGTGATATGAGTTGATGTAGGGTAAAAAGAAGAGGGACGATCGGTGGCTGCAGAAGCAAGGGAAGAGACTGGCTTGGCAGCCAAAGATAGCAAGCTATTATACTAGCTAATAGCTGTCACTATTGCAGTTTTTTGGACCTGTTACTTATTGGCCTTTGTGGTAACAGTCCCCTCATTTCCCATGAGTAATAGTTGGATATGCTGACTGAAACTGAATGTAGAGTAGGAAGCATAATTTAACAAATGTTTCTGAAATAGGGAATCATGCAGTTCCAATCAACATCCATGTGGTGAAAGGGATAGGGATGAGGTTATGGAGAGTCAGATATTTTCAATTAGCTCATACTGTCTCGTGTGATATGTATGGTTGGTTATGCTTCGACACATGCAACTGGTAAACTAGGAATGGTATGAGGTTTGTAAATATTTTGGATCTTATTTGACATGACAACATACAAAATATCAAGTATGAGATGTGCAAATGGCTTTGCCCCTCGTTTAGTATGAATGAATTTGAAGTATAGAATTCGTTTGTATATAATAATAGTTGGTTTAGTTATTGTTAAACTCTGTAAATTAATACCCCTTCGGATTACTGTTCTATCCAATGCTGTATTGTACAAGATAAAAAAGCTGTTCGAGTATGAGATTCTTTAACATATAATTCATGATATATATTGGTTTTCCTATAGATTGATTGATGCATTGGAGATGATGAAGCAAGGTGTTAGGCGTCTTCTTGTCACCAAGGGCACGGCATGGAAAGGCATGAGCAAACGATTCTCAATTCTCTATAATGGCAAGTGGCTTAAGAATGCTGATTCTGCCAACAGCAGCAGCAACAACCTCAGTACCAATACCAGCAGCAACAGCCTCAGCATCAACAGCAACAGCCTCAGTATCAACACCAACCGTCCTTCCACATCTTCCACAACTTCTAGCCATGACAAATTCTGCTGTCTCTCTAGAGAAGATGTCATCCGTTTTGTGATTGGCTGCCTCGGTGCTCTTGCTCCACTCCCTCTTTCACCCATCTCTTCCCTTGGAGCCATTAACTTGAACTACTGTTCAATTGAGGCTTCTCTTCCAGCCCTCAAAGCTACAGAAGTGCAACCGAAAGATCCCTGTGCAGTTGCCGTTGTGGAGCCCATGCCAGATGGACAAGGTAAGATTATAGGGGAAATATCAGCCTCCAGGTTATGGAAATGTGATTATTTGGCTGCAGCATGGGCTTTAGCCAATCTGTCAGCAGGGCAGTTTGTGATGGGAGTTGAAGATAATTTGACTCCAAGATCACTCCCTGACTTGACAGTCAACTCAACGGTTGGCGATAACAACATGGTTAATGGTGGTGGATTAACAAGAGCAAGGACATTCAGCAGCCGGAGCATTGGCTTTAATCCAGGAAGCTCAAGTTTTGGAATTGGCAGGAGCATGTATAGGGGCAGAAGTGCACCCCTAACATGTAAAACTACAAGTTCCCTAGCTGCAGTCATGGCTCAGATGCTGTCCCACAGGGCAACTCATGTATGGGTGACGGAAGATGACAACGATGATGTTTTAGTCGGGGTGGTTGGTTATGCAGACATTCTATTTGCTGTAACCAAACCACCTGCATCCTTTATTCCCCTTAATCCATCTGCAGAAGGTTTTATAAATGAAATTCAAAACTGAAAAATTCTATTTATTTTATGTGTATTTCTTCTGTAATCGATAGGTAATATGCTTGAGCAATTTTGGATGTTTGAGATGTCGGTTTTTGTGGGGTTTCTTGTAAGTTTTTCCATGAGTTTTGTCATACTGTGATAATTAAAATAATATCATAATGCAATTTGTTAGACCTTAACTTTCTTCCTGTTTTCTCTTATTAGACCTTGAACAATGCAAAAATCTTCAGGTTCAGAGGTGGAGATTACAAAGATCGTGTCTCCTCCTCCACACATTTAGAAAAATGATGTGAAATTCTCGAATAAATTCATTTTACGTCACTTGACCAATAATGGTTTTTCAACCTCATTCTAAAGGTTCCATCAGACAGTTTTTCCACATATTGCAATGCTGGTCCAATGAAGTAGATGAGCAGAGCAGGTCCTACAAGCTTTCTTTCAATATCTTTCTCCTGTGGTGCTAATAGCAGCATTACAGGATCCAAAATCCCAGTTGTATGTTAGAATTAATGCTATCTTCAGGAGTTATTCTGATGGTTCTCTTTTCTTTTTTTTTTTTTTTCATTAAACATGGCTTTGAAATTTTGCACATGGGATTTTCACATATTTTGTAAATATACACTAGCAAAAGCAATCGGGTGCTCTGGCTTGTGCATGAGCAAGGAAATTTATTGTTTTAACAAGAAATGCTTGATGTTGATTTAATTGGAAAATATGGAATGTTTTGCAACCAAGCAATTGGAATCTGTTCCATGGACAAATAGCCTAGTTGTGAAAAATAATGGAGATTGTGTATGTGTGCTGGTGAAATCACATAAATTATATAGTAATAAGTTATATAATACAAAAGGCAGAATAACAGGAGAATATGCAAATTCATATATATATATATATATATATATAATCTTATCATAAAGTAATGTCACAGACTATTAACGAAGGTTGGTCCGAATACAAATGATTTATGTTCTTTAATCAAGAGATTGAGTGTTTAATCATTGTGAATTGAGAAAATCTCCGTTGGGAGCGCTTCTCCCTTATGCGCTTGATGTGGTATAAACTAGATTAGTAATAATCTAATAAATTAGAAATACATGATGATATAAACATAAGTTTTATTATCAGAAGAAAAAATCATCCCATTTGATCTACAGACAATTATTTGTAGAACAAAATATAAAAAATTGCTAATTTTATCTTAATCCACGTATTATAAGAAAACTTCTCCACAATTAATATAAATCATTAACCACTTAATTACCAATTAACTTCATTATATTATGAGTCAGCCACCACCATGTACACGTTGGCATATCAACAATAGAGACAAGAAAAACAACAGAGTTAAGAGTTGTTTTTGTTGCCCTGTCATCACTCTCCACTTGAGCTACCATTAACCTTTCCTTCTCCGACACATGCAACCTCAATTTCTCTTCAAAGCTTCATTTGCAAGAACATCATTAAACAATCTTTTCGACATATATGATTTGTTTAGGTCATTAAAAAGAAAAGCTTTTTTGTGTTAGACAGCCAAATTTTTGAGCACTCAAAATGGCATGTCGACTCACTCAAATTTGAAAATGGGAAGAAAAAGAAACTCCCCACCGTCATACCCATGTTTTTAAAATCAAACTAAGTTCTACATATTTTCAAAAGAAAATCAAATTAAGGTCAATAGAAATATTAAAATAAAAAACAAAATTAAATATTTACGAAGTGGGTTGTTTTAAAATATTAAGCAACAAAACTTTTATATTATTTTATATCCTATTAATTAATTAATATATACAATATTTTACGAAGTGGGTTGTTTTAAAATATTAAGCAACAAAAACTTTTATATTATTTTATATCCTATTAATTAATTAATATATACAGAACTGAAAAGGAAGAGAATTATATATATATATATATATATAATATATATATATAATATTATTTATATCTATTAATAAGTGGAAATCTAAAATAAAAGCTACTTTTTGTTGTTCTAATAGTGTAATTTTTTGGAAATTCCTCGATTAATTGGAAAAAAAAAAAAAAAAAAAAAAAAAAAAGGAACTGTTCATATATATGTTACGTACATTTCATGCACAGACAGAATAGTTCAATTCGATAGAGATGAAAATATTCGAGACATGATATGAAACCTTTTGATCTCAAAACCATCCAATTTCGTATACAGGCAAGACAAAGCCATTAACTATTTAGATTAAAAAAAATAATTAAAAAGGAAAGATCCATCAACTCAATCAACTGGCTCCAGAGAATTGAAATTCTTGCCACGCAAATATATGGAATTTCACATCCCATCGAACAACAATATTGCATTACAGAGAGAATATAAGTGTGTGGTTTCTTCTTCCTTTTTTTTTTTTTTTTTTTGATTTAAATTCAAAATGCAAATGATAGATTTTTCAAGTTAACGTATGGGTTAAGGTTGCATTAAAAGCTACCCAGCATACAAGATGATGATGATGATGATCTGAGGAATGGAACTTATTCTGTTAAATTATTTATGCTTACCATATCCAATATTATCGACTAGATGTTACTACTTTTGGCTTTGTTTAGAAATTAAGGAGAGGAAAGAAAACAATCAAGGAAAATAATGACAAATTGTAGATTTTATATTTGTAGATTTTATATTATATATATATATAATATATTATATATATATATATATAGTGTAATTTTCCCACCCATATATAGTTATTTTCCACCCATGTAGTTGGATATAATGAAGGAAATAAAATAATTTATTTTCCTTTATTTAGAAAAAAGTAAAATTTTGAAGGAAATAAATATTATTATTAGAAAATTAACAATTATCAATACTTGTGATTGGAACCACTAGTAATACTTCAGCCAGAAAATTTATTCATCGAATGGAAAGTACTTTAATAAAAATAATTTTATAAAAATAAGTGAAATTGTCATTTTTTGCCGATACTTTCTCTCCAATAAATTTATGGAGAGATTCAAAACATGTGGACTCGGGTGAAAAATAAGTGAAATATTACTTTTATTAATATTTTTCTCCCATTTTCTACACAAGAGAAAATATTTTTCACTAGATACTTTCCTATAATTATTTTTTTAAAAGAAAAAAATATACTCCGACCCAAACAAAGGTTAAGAAATGAAGCAAGAGGAGAAATTTAGTAATTCAAACCTTTTAGCACCTGCATCATAGTGGCTTTGATTATTTTACAAAGTCAATATTAACATGATGATGAAACACAACTTGTATTAATTAATAATTAATTAGCACTATAAGACGCAGTTCATTCTTATTCTAATCTCAATATATAGAAGAAGACAAGCAAAATTTTGCTTTCATAAGCTTTAAAAAATAAATACTGCGATCCTTTAATCTGTGGTATTCTTTAATCCTATGAAATGGCTTTCGACTTACCAACTTTGTAAATATTCTAATAGACAACAAAAACAACAGAAAATTATACAAAAAACATTAATTTCTTGCATGGTGTCCAAGTCACAATCTCATACGTTGTAAGGAAGCATGGGAGTTGTATATATGCTTAAAAAACTCCACTGCTTTGGCATATAAATAATAAAGAGAATAAAAAAAATATTTTTCATAAAAATTTAAGAACCCTATTTGCAAAGTTGGGTGGAATAATCGCTGGACCTCATTCCTTATTCTGTAGGCACAAACACAAGGCTTAATTGCTGACCATAAAAAACCCCATTGATGAAAGCAACTTCACACTTCCATGCACTATAATCCTCTTATTAGGTCACTCACCTTCAATAATCCACAGCATAGAATCCCATACACCCACCAAACCCTAAAAGAATACAATAAAATAAAAATCTATCTATCTCTACTATAATAATACAAAAATATGCCAAAATTCTCGTCTTCAATTCCTCAACTTTTCATGCATATAAATTCTTAACCTTACTACAGTTTGTCTCCTAAAACATTCTTAATCTCCACAAGGTGGTACCTAGGCAGGAAAAATGATAGGATGGGAAGATGTTTACAAGGTGGTGGTGGCTATGGTGCCACTGTATGTTGCCCTAATTTTAGGATATGGGTCAGTAAAATGGTGGAAAATTTTTACACCTGAACAGTGTGGAGCAGTAAACAGATTAGTTTGCTATTTTACACTTCCTCTTTTTACGTTTGAGTTTACTGCTCATATTGATCCGTTCAAAATGAATTATCTATTCATTGGAGCTGATGCTATATCCAAGTTAATTATCGTGGCAGTTCTTGCTTTCTGGGCTAAGTTTAGTAGCAAAGGGAGCTACACATGGTCCATTACAAGTTTTTCTTTATGTACCTTAACTAATTCTTTAGTTGTAGGGGTGCCCTTAATAGGGGCTATGTATGGGCAAATGGCAGTTGATCTTGTGGTTCAGTCTTCCGTTATTCAAGCTATCATTTGGCTTACTATTTTACTGTTTGTTTTAGAGTTCAGAAGAGCAAATCTTGATATCTCTTCTAACACAAATGGTAGCGATGGAAAGGATTTAGAAGGAAGTAACGTTAATGCTATAGATAACGTTAGGCCTTCTTTCTGGACTTTGATGAGAGTGGTGTGGATCAAACTGGCTATGAACCCTAATTCTTATGCTTGTATTATTGGGATTGTTTGGGCTTTTATTGCAAACAGGTATACAAATGTTGTTGTTGTTATTATTATTATTGTAATTATGATTAACGGTGGGATTAATTGTTTTCTTGAATACTGGTAGGTGGCATTTTGAAATGCCAAGCATCATGGAAGGATCCATATTAATTATGTCAAAGGCTGGCACTGGCACTGCTATGTTTAGCATGGGTGAGTACATTCCTGGGATGACAGTAGCAATATTAAAACTGCTAAAAAGTTTTTCAAGGTCATTACAGTCTTTTTATCAATTTGCTTTGTGGTTGTGTCTGGCGGAAATTCCGTATATTAATTTTCTTATTTATTTTTTTATAGCAACCTCGTTTTATGAGTTAATATTGTATGTATGTGCAGGAATCTTCATGGCTTTGCAAGAAAAGGTAATTTCCTGTGGTGCAGGACTCACTGTGATTGGGATGATCCTAAGGTTCATTGCTGGGCCTGCAGCTATGGCTATTGGGTCTATTGCTGTGGGCTTGCGTGGTGATGTTTTACGTGTTGCTATTATTCAGGTAAATTTGTTATATTATAAAAAAATGATCATTAAAAATAGTATTATACAAAACTATTTTGATTGGGTGGTAAGCGATCTCAATCCTATAAGATTGAGAACACAAATTCGATCTTAGAAAAAAATATTTTGTTATAAGGACAAAAAACATTTACGTTATACAGTAATCTGAAATACTATTTGTTATCTACTGCAATTTAAAGAGATTATATATCATGCTTATAAAAATAATATTCTAAAAATTTTAATTAATTGTTTTTACAGGCAGCATTACCACAATCGATTACATCCTTCATTTACGCGAAAGAATATGGATTGCATGCTGAGGTTCTAAGCACAGCGTAAGTGTAAATTTCATCAATTAAAATTAAGAAAATCAAATTAGTTCATGATTATTATGATATTAATTATTAATTTTCTTTTTTGCAGTGTGATCTTCGGTATGATCGTGTCGCTTCCATTGTTAATTGCTTATTATGCAATTTTAGAGTTTGTGCATTAGTTAAACATTTACGGTCCACACATTTTTGTAATAAGATACTGTAAGGGAAAAAAAGGGAATTGTTGGATTATTACTTATAATATCTTAACTAAATTTCAGTTCCTCGATTGGTCCAATTTAGATAGCCAAGCCCAAGTGAAATAATTGAATAAACCAAAAATAATAATAATTGAATAACTATGATACCGACATCTTGGATTTGAATCTTTTCTTGTATGATAATTGAATTATTTCATTTTTTTTAAAGGGTTTAATGGTAACTAGGAAAAAAAATTTTGCATTCAACTGTGTATATTATATATTTTTCACTTTGTTGGGTGGGATGTCAATTTGCCATTTTCGACTTTTTTTTTTTTTTTTTTTAATGGTGATCTTCGGTATGATCGTGGTACGCTTCCATTGTTATGACATTTATTTATGCAATTTAGGAGTTTATTAGTTAAACATTTTACGGGTCCACACATTTTTGTAATGGGAAGATACTGTAAGGGAAAAAAGGAGGATGTGTTTGGATTATTACTCTATAATATCTCTAACTAAATTTGCATTTCCTCGAAATTTGGGTCCATATTTTAGGATAGCCAAGCCAAGGTGAAAAATTGAAGATAAACGCAAAAATTTAATAAATAATTGAGGTAATAACCATGATTTACCGACATCTTGGATTTATCTTTTCTTGTTATCTTAATTGAATTATTTTCATTTTTTTAAAAGGGTTTAATATGTTCTGGAACTAGGAAAAATAAATTTTGCATTCAACTGTGTATATTATATATTTTTTCAGCTTTTGTTGGGTTGGATGGTCAATTTAGCCATTTTCGACTCTTTTTTATTTTTTTTTTTTTTAATGTCATGCTGATGCATTTCTCAGCCAATGAATTTCCCTAATTTTGAAGGTCCAAATATGTATTATTATTAAAGGAACGCGAGGAAGAATTTTTAATTAAGAAGATGCTTATTAATAATCTAGCCAAACAGCGATTTCTCCTCTATATAAACTTCAGGATCTTAATATCAAGTTGAACAAATTTTTTTTTTTTTTTTTTTAAATGTCAGTGAGATTTCTTAGCCAAGAAGTTCCTAATTGAAGGTCCAAATATTATTATTATAAAACCAGGAAAAATTTAATAAGAAGATCCAAATAATTAGACCAACAGATTCATCTTATATAAACTTAGGATCTTAATATCAAGTGAAAAAAACCTGAAAGAGTACTATCGAAATTAAGAATAAGTAAAATCAATTGAGGAGCATCCCTCCAAATAGTAGGATGTAATTGATTGTGGTAATGCTGCCTGTAAAAACAATATTAATTAAAATTTTTATAATATTATTTTTTATTAGCGTCATATACAATCTCTTTAAATTGCAGTAGATAACAACAAAGTGTATTTCAGATCACTGTAGAACGTAAATATTTGTTTTTTGTCCTCCTAACAAAGTGTTTTTTTCCGAAAATCGAATTTGTGTTTTCAATCTTATGAAAATTGAAATCGCTTACCGCTCCGATAAATATAGTTTGTTATAATACTATTTTTAATGATCATTTTTTTTTATAATATAACAAATTTACCTGAATAATAGCAACAAGTAAAACATTACCACGCAAGCCCACAGCAATAGACCCAATCGCCATGGCTGCAGGGCCAGCAATGAACCTTAGGATCATCCCAATCACAGCGAGTCCTGCACCACATGAAATTACCTTTTCTTGCAAAGCCATGAAGATTCCTGCACATAAATATATAATATAATATTAACTCATAAAACGAGGTTGCTATAAAAAAATAAATAAGAAAATTAATATACGGAATTTCCGCCAGACACAACCACAATGCAAATTCATAAAAAGACTGTAATGCCCTTGAAAAACCTTTTAGCAGTTTTATTATTGCTATTGTCATTCCAGGAATGCACTCACCCATGCTAAACATAGCAGTGCCAGTGCCAGCCTTTGACATAATTAATATGGATCCTTCCATGATGCTTGGCATTTCAAAATGCCACCTACCAGTATTCAAGAACACAATTAATCCCAGTGTTAATCATAATTACAATAATAATAATAACAACAACAACATTTGTATACCTAAGCTCAAACAAGCCCAATAATACAAGCATAAGAATTAGGGTTCATAGCCAGTTTGATCCACACCACTCTCGTCAAAGTCCAGAAAGAAGGCCTAACGTTATCTATAGCATTAACATTACTTCCTTCTAAATCCTTTTCATCACTACCATTTGTGTTAGAAGAGATATCAAGATTTGCTCTTCTGAACTCTAAAACAAACAGTAAAATAGTAAGCCAAATGATAGCTTGAATAACGGAAGACTGAACCACAAGATTGTTGGGATATCCTCCCAAGTCCCACATCGGATAAAGAGGAGAAATGGAACCAAAATATAATGGTTCAAACCCAACCCATTAGTATGAGGCCTTTTAAACACTTTTTGAGTGCCACTATTTTGTATTACTCTCTTTGTAAGCCTACTATTTTTAAATAGTGGAAGAATTATTCGGTTTTTGTCCGGTGGATGTAGCCCTAAACAGTTAAGGGTGAACCACGTAAATATCTATGTGTCATATTTATTTTTTCCGCTGTGTTATTATTATCGTAGTTTTATTGCCGGGCCTAACAAGTGGTATCAAAGCTCAGGTTCGAAGCGGGTGTGAACAGCGGACTGCGCAGTGTGAGAAAATCCTGGTGTGACGTTGTAACAACAGGACCAAGACCGGTGGTGTGACGTTGTAACAACAGGACCAAGACCGGAAGAAGATCTGCAAGTGGTGCCTTGTGTCCAAAAAGGAGGTAAGGCCTGTTTTGGCGGCGCGTGTGTTCCCGCCCAGAGAATTGGTAGCAAGGTCGAGGTTTGTACAAGAGGTGCCACGTCGGCAGATTATTCCGGCGTAGAGAGAGGACATTCTTACGATTTGTGGGTGGTTACTATGGTCTGGAGGGAGAAGGTGTTGATTGGGAATATCCTCCCAAGCTCCCACATCGCGATAAAGAGGACGAAATGGAAACCAAAATATTAATGGTTCCAAACTCGCGCAGAACCCAATTAGTAATGAGGTTGCCTGTTTTGGGATGTGAGGCCTCCACACATAATACCGTGAGGGCTTGGCCCAAGACGCGGACTAATTCGGCGGTTCGGTATCGAACGTACACGCGAGCGTCCCTTAACACAAGATTTGCCCATACATAGCCCCCTACTACAGGGCACCCCTGACAACTAAAGAATTAGTTTAAGAAGGTACATAGATAGGAAAAAAAATGGTGTAAGATTGGACATGTGTAGCTCCTCTTTTGCTATCTAAACTGTAGCCCAGAAAGCAGAAATTCACGAGATGAATTCTAAACTATGGCAATATATGCTTAATCAAGTCTCCATTCACTGAATAGATAATTTCATTTTCGAATGGAATTACCCGGCTATTCTATTACTATGAGCAATGTAATACTCTATAATGTAAAAGAGAAAGTTGATTATAAATAGCATAACTAACTCTGCATTTACGCGTTCTCGGCCACATCTTTCGATATGTGTAAAAAGATTTTCAACCATTTTACTGACCCAATATACTAAAAGAATTTTAGTGGGCAAACATACGGAGTGAGCTACCATAGGGCGCACCTTCCAGGCCGGCACCTTGTAAAACATCTTCCCAATCTATTCATTTTTCCTCGCCCTGAGGGGTATATCTCACCGTGGTGTGGTTAGATTACAGGAATCCGCTGTGGTTTCGTAGGAGGCAAAGCTGATAGTTAAGCGTTAAGAACTCTAGCTATTCATGAATTAAAGTGAGGCGAATTTTAGGAAGACCAGAATATTTGGGCACATTTGGAGATTAAGAATGTTTTAGGAGACAAAGTGTAGTAAGGTTAAGAATTTATATGCATGAAAAGTTGAGGAATTGAAGACGAGAATTTTGGCACATATCAACTACTAAATCAAGAGCAGGTAGGAGGCACATATGGTATGATTTGATTAGGTAGGAGGCACATATGGTATGATTTGATTTGGTGGAGAGTGAGATTATTGTTTGTGTGAGTTGGAGAGACGTTAAAAAGAGAAGGGATAGTGTTTGTGATGGAACTGGACTGTGTAGAAGAAGATTGGTGAGATAAGGATATACCTGAAAATCCGCAACTTTAGAAACATACAATCAATGCATTTAATCACGTAACACAAAGAATCTATTCATGTAAATAGAATACAACTTACAGGATTGAGTGACTTCATATCACATGAACCTGAAAGCAGCCCAAGCGTTTCATGAACGACGGCGACGCTATGTTCGGCCTCCGTATGCGTCGACGCAGAAGTTTTTATCGGAGGATGAAGGATTAAGAACAGTATGGGTATATATATCAAAGAGAAAAAAAATGGAAGTTATCTGAAAATCAAATTAACAAGGACAGGAACAGAACAGAGAGGAAGAAGGAGGAGCAAAAAATGGAAGTTATTCGAGGGTTGATCAAAATTGTCTTTCCTTTTTTTTTTAATATTATCTTTCCATATTTGATTATTTATTCAATTTATAAATCAAATAGAATTGTCTTCCATATTAATTAAAAATGAAAATTTTAGTGGTAATAATAATAATTTTATTATAGACATCCACATTCAATAAAGATAACTATAAATAATTTTAAAATAATTTTTCCTAGAAAATAAATAAAATTGTAATTTGAGATGGATGAAAAATAAAATAAAAAAGAATATGAGACGCGACAAATGAAACGATCTCTCTGACGTCCTTTTTGCAGCCGGTTGGGTTGCTGTCGTCAAATGAATGAAAGTACTTTTTTTTAAAATAATAATAATAATTTAACGTGGGAAAATTAATATGTAAGTGGGTATATTCATAATCTATATATATCAAAATCAAACACGTTCGTCCAATTAAAAAAAATAATAAAAAAAAAAACAAGTTTGCAAATGGTTTTATCTAACACATTCCACTAAGCTCCACGTCTGCTTAATTATTGATTATTTTATATAATCAATACAACCAACGCACCATAACTTAATTTAATATAATTGTCAATAAAATGTAACATGATTGGTCTTTATTTACACAGGACTAAAAAGTTTCGGGTTTGATTTTTATTAATCATAAATGTTTTTCATTAATTTAACTGAGTTAAATAAAATGTTACGTTATTTCAGTCCAATGGAATTTCTAATATTTTTGTTTTTAAAAAAATTAATTTTATATTATCATTTTGCATTTTCAAGTAGTTATCGTAGGGAATAGTGGTGTAGTTTATCATCTTTAAGTGTTTTCAGTAATGAGTATGGTAATTTTATCAGGAATTGTAAATCTCGTATTTGTGAAGGGAAAGATCTTTCAAATCTAGTGGGTTCATCGGCAAATTAATATGGTGTCTCATTCTCTTGCTCGAGTGGCTATTTCATATGCTTGTCCGACTATTTGGAGGGATGCTCCTCAATTGATTTTATTTATTCTTAATTTCGATATTACTCTTTCAGATTTTTTTCACTTGATATTAAGATCTTAAGTTTATAGAAGATGAATCTATTGGTTTATTTATTTGGATCTTCTTATTAAATTTTTCCTGGTTTTATAATAATAGTATTTGGATCTTCAATTAGGAACTTTTTGGCTAAAAAAAAAAAAAAATAATGGCTTTATTTATTTGGATCTTCTTCTTAAATTTTTCCTGGTTTTGATCTCGTATTTGTATCTTCACAATTTAGGAAACTTTTGGCTAAAAAAAAAAAAAACGACAGCAATTCGTCGAACAATGGCAAATTGACATTCTACCTAACAAGAGTTGAAAAACTATACATATTCACATAGTTGAATGCAAATTTTTGTCTTTTAAAAACACAAAACATGCAATTAATTGGATTCCTTCCCATTCACCGTTAATATTATTAGCTTTTTATTTTATGTATTAGTTATTAAAAATTACCAGTACTTTCTATCATTGGAGACAAACACCCAAAAAACCGGCACGCAAATATGAGACGTCAGATGCACCGACTGTGGTTCATTCTCTAACGTCGTGCAGTATGTTTCTTTTTTTATTTTATTTTTCAGGTCCATCTTCAATTTTAAATTTTCTCATTTTATTTTCTTATGAAATCTTTATTCTCTTAAATTCATTTAGATTAGTTAATCTTTACTTGAATGTGGATGTTATAACTCAATAATTCATTATTTAATTACCACTAATTAAATTTTCATTTAATTAGCATGGAAGACAATTTTCTATTTGATTGTTATAACATTGATAAATATCTTGTTGGCTAAAAAAAAAAAAAAAGAAGCATTGTCGAAAATGGCAAATTGACATTCTACCTAACAAAGTGAAAAATATATAATATACATAGTTGAATGCAAATTTTTCTTTTAAAAAAAAAATGAAATAATTGTCTTCCATACGTTAAATTATTATTTTTATTTTATTATTAGTATTAAAAACAAGTACTTTCATTCATTTGAGACAACAACCCAACCGGCAGCAAAATGGACGTCAGAGAGACTGTTTCATTTGTAACGTCTCATATTCTTTTTTATTTTATTTTTCATCCATCTCAAATTATAATTTTATTTATTTTCTATAAAATTTTATTTTTAAATTATTTATAGTTATCTTTATTGAATGTGGATGTCTATAATAAAATTATTATTATTACCACTAAAATTTTCATTTTTAATTAGCATGGAAGACAATTCTATTTGATTTATAAATTGAATAAATAATCAAATATGGAAAGATAATAATTTAAAAAAAAAAAGGGAAGACAATTTTGATCAACCCTCGAATTTATATTTATTTTAGAAAAATATGCAAAATTAAAACTAAAATCACTTTTTTTTTTTTTGCAAGGAAAATAATTATGGGTAAATCCTGAAGCAAGAATCGATCTAAATTCACTCCAAATATTTTTTTGAACCGTCCATTCTTGCCTAAACGGAATCACAAGACACAAGCAAAGTGTAAATATTGAATGTTTCGAGTATATATAAAATATTTTTCGATTTTCTTCTCTTATAGGTAAAGAAAAGCATGGCAAACATGTATATATACAAAACCAGTGTTGTTAACCCTACTTGAACATTAATTCGGTAATTAGATTTGGCTCAATTGGGTATGTATAAATAGATCAATTTAATTACAAGTTAGTTAATTCAATTTGATTCTTTATATTAAATGATTTTAAAATAAAATTGATTTAATTTTGAGAGCGGTTCATCAATTATCTTGATTGAACTATCCAATTGAGCCGATTTAATAACTATGATGAAAACTTTTATGTCGAAATTCAATTGTATGCACATTATTGAGAAGCACTAATGCATTTGGCTGGGTGCCTCCTATAATTTCTTTAAAAGCAAAAGGCCATAACCTACTTCCTTCCGTAGACTGATTTTTCCTATAATTAATTATCAAATAAAAAAACGAATAAACAAAAAAGAAAATAGAAGAACATATGAAAAAAATACTGGCAGAAGCACTTGCATCGCTTTCGGGCGTGGCGGTATCTTTCTTAAGTTTTTAATTAATTACTGGTTAATTAAATTAATGAGAAAAATGTTGTTCTTAAACGCTCCCAATGAAAAATTATATCACTCTCTTAGTAAGAGCGTGGCGGAGCAGCATTAGGAAGATAAAAAAAAATTGAATATGAGAATTGCACGTGTTGATTTTTTGTAGCGAGTGTAATTAACACCTCATCGAGCAAACGACGCTAGCAATCCTCTCTTCCAGTTCATCCTAAAACACAAATATCCCACCAGGAGCCGTGCTCTTCGGGTGGGCTTGAATTTTGTGCTCCTCCTTCTTCCTCTCTGTTCTGTTCCTGTCCTTGTTAATTTGATTTTCGGATAACTTCCATTTTTTTCTGTTTGATATATATCCCATATACTGTTCTTAATCCTTCATCCTCCGATAAAAACTTCTGCGTCGACGCATACGGAGGCTGAACATAGCGTCGCCGTCGTTCGTGAAACGCTTGGGCTGCTTTCAGGTTCATGTGATATGAAGTCACCCAATCCTGTAAGTTGTATTCTATTCACATGAAATAGATTCTTTGTGTTACGTGATTAAATGCATTGATTGTATTTTTCTGAAGTTGCTATAAAAAACCATTAAAAGCGTAAAAAGAATAAAAGCAAAAGGAGTAAAGTTTTCTGCCTTTTTTTTTTTGTCCTTTTTATCTTAATTCTGATTTTGATAACTACCTGAGTCAAATAATTAACTAAATGCAATTAGTTTTTGTGCAAATTAGTGGTTAATTTGATTTTTCTCGTGCTTTAGCTCAAACTGATTGATCCTGTTCCTTGTTAATGGTGATTCAATTGAAATTATCCAGTCTGTTTGGTCTTTTTTTTATGGTTGTTACCTTTACTAGGACAACTAATGTATGTATCGATACATTTTTATAGTAGAAGCTAGTGAAATTTTTATGCTTTTAAGTTAATGTTATTTTTTCCTTGTTCTTTTGACTTTTTCAGGTACCTTTGCCTGTAGATTCAAAGAGTAGGAGATCATGTCTTTGTAGCATTCTTCCAGCTGCTTCTTTTCTTTTTCTACTTTTCTTCATAGGGAGTGCATTTTTAGTTCCAGATTACAGGGAGGTATAAATTTTTATGTATGCCCAGGAAAAAAAAAAAAAAAGGAGAAATATTTTGAGTTTTTTTTTTTACTATACAAGGTGTTATTAAGCTACTAGGAAATTTAGAATAATTTTAAGTCTCTTGTACAGAAAGTATCAAGATGGAGAATAGCTGATAATTTCCAAAATTTTAAATTTGGCACTTGTAAGGTTTGTTTGCTTGCTGGAAAGTTTCAATCATTTAATCATGAAAATTATTTGTTTCATGTGATCAAATTACGGTCACTTATTGCTAATGTGTGTTTATCTGTTTTAGAATCAATGCAGTCCTCCTGGAACCGAGGCCTTACCTGAGGGCATTCTGTCAAAGACTTCTAACTTGCAAATGAGACCATTATGGGGATTTCCAAAGGTAAGAATGATGGAAGTTTCAATCTTGCAGTATTAAAGATGTTTAAGAATATTTTGTATGCCAGCATTAATCTTAAGCGACTGCTTCTAAGATTGCGCTGCGGCTGCTGTCCTTATGGATTGCATTCATGTGGAAAGCTTTAATGGTTTTTTCATGAATTTGTCAGTTTATGAGTCCAAATAAAAAAAGTGTAGAAATTGCTTAAAGTTTGTCGTTTAAGCCAATTATTATATGAGTAAGCATTTGATAAGTGTTCTGTTTCTGTAGATGTGAAATTTTTAGATTTATATGCGCTTACCATGTTTTCAAAGCAATTATTAGCCTTCTAGAACAAACAATTATCGTGGCATATATATAAATATGATTACCACAGATGATAGACTTGATCTTCATTTTTTTAATGACGGAATCCGGGATCATTTGGAATATGACATTGCTGACTGAACTGGAATAACTTAGTGTCAATTTTATCATGCTGCTGATTTTACTTCCATTCACTATGCTTCCGCAATAAACTTGGTTAACATATTTGTGTTTTCTGTTTTCTTTGTTTTAGTAAGATATTAACTAGGGTATGATTTTGACAGATGGATGAAAATTCGAGGAACTTATTTGCAGTTGCTGTTGGAATAAAGCAACGAGATCTTATTGATAAAATGGTCACAAAGGTATTCATGTATGCATGGCAACTACCATCTATACTATCGTTTTGCTTTAGGTATTCTCATTACTCGTTTTATTTGCAGTTTCTATCAAGTAATTTTACTATAATGCTATTGCACTATGATGGTATCGTTGATGAATGGAAGGATTATGAGTGGAATGATCATGTTATACATGTTTCTGCACGTAATCAAACTAAATGGTAAGTTGCATATTCTTCGATCCTTCCATGCTTGCTAATAGACAGTCATTCTTGTAAGTATCCTTTACCTGAGTTTTGGTTTTTTGCTAGGTGGTTTGCAAAACGTTTCCTGCACCCTGATATAGTTGCAGAATACGGTTATATTTTTCTCTGGGATGAGGACCTCGGAGTTGAAAATTTCAACCCTCAACAGTATGTGAACTGCCGAACCCGTTTCAATTTTAGGCAAACACATTGAAGCTAGAAATTTAAACAGGATATAATGCTGTCATAAAATTTTCTTTTCTGCATAATATTCGGTCAGTTTCTGACTGGAAGAAAATGCTACATCTTGTCAATAAAACTACTCTCTTCATTCTTTGTTTTTAAGATAGGCACTGATTTGAGATAAAATGGTCATCTTGGACAGTAAGAATACGAAAGTTATTGAGAAACATTTCCTCCCTGTATTGATGAGATGTTTAACAATTTTTCCACTTAATATGTATATGTTGTATGCTCCCTCAACAAGAGAGAAAAAGCTGGTGAGAGAAAAAAGATAACTTGCTCAGGCTTGGCTGGTTCTTAGCAAATGTAATATTGTGATATTTTCATGTCAAATGGCTCAACCTTTTAATTTTCTGTTTAACAGAGATATAGACCCTCAAGAAAAGTTTGAAACTTGCACAAAGCGGGGTTGTGAAAATTGCAAAAACTAACTTATCGCTTCATGGTTGTGGTATCTTATATGTTACCAATGCTTAAAAGTGAATTTTTTTTCCACTTACTTGACACTGCTAGGTATGTGTCGATCGTTAAAAGCAAAGGGCTTGAGATATCACAGCCAGCTCTTGACATCGGTAAATCAGAGATACACCAGCAAATTACTGCACGTATGAGGAAATCACTTGTTCACAGGTTCTTATGCAGCTTCTTTCTTCTCTAATGATAATATTTGTTCTTTTATCAGGAAAAATTTTTATCATTCCAATTCAGCAAACAGCATTTACAATTTGTCTAGCAAATTAGTACTATTTAAATGCAATGCTGGTTTGATAGCACATGTAATTGTGCTTAATTATCTTAATTTCTTTATTTGGTCAAGGGTGTCCTTTGTTCTCTTATTCAAGTTTTTTTGTTGCCTTTTTCCTGCTTAACCAATATTCTACTCTTGGGAAAAACTTTGAGGTTTCAAACTGACACAATAATCATCTACGCTGCTTCAATCCAGTTGCTAACTCTGCTACTGTTTTTGTTTCATTGTAAGCAGAAGAACTTTCAAGCCTGGTCTTTGTGATCGCAATAGTACAGCTCCTCCATGCACAGGGTAAAATTTTTTCGTGACTTGGTATAGTTTATTTTTTTATTTTTTTTAATTTACTTAAGAAAAGACATTATAGCAGTTGTTAATTATTTTACTTTCTAGATGCAACTAATCCTAATCTCTGATTATAGGTGGGTAGAAATGATGGCCCCTGTTTTCTCAAGAGCTGCATGGCGTTGTGTATGGTATCTGATCCAGGCATGTCCATTGCACTGCACCAGTTCTTTTGTTATTTCACTTCTCTAGCCTCCTTTCTTCTGGGATTTTGGGTGTGGTTGGATAGGGTCTCCACATGGATACAGTCATGACAGATTGTATGTGGAGACAGTCAATCTAAGCTAATGCATGTTGCTAAGAAAGAATAAAGCAATGGTTGATGGGCAGGAGTTCACCTGGAAATGGAATGACGATTGATTACTTTCTGTTATTTCACTAGTGGCTAGCTGTTATTTAATTGCTGTTAGTGGCTAGTAGTAGCCTGCTGCTACTGTGTATGTGTTAAGGAGCTTTAGTTAACCTGTTCTCCATCTTTCTGCTTGATATTTTCCTTTTCAGAATGACTTGATCCATGCTTGGGGTCTTGATTATCGCCTTGGTTACTGTGCACAGGTAAGCTCCTCCTAGTTTTCCTAGTGTTATGTTTGGTCATGTCTCTTCTATGCTTGCATTCCTAAAATTTGATAAACCATTTTTTTATAGGGCGATCGGCTAAAAAATATTGGCGTTGTGGATGCTGAGTATATAGTTCATTATGGTCGTCCTACACTCGGGGGCACAGATGAATATAAGGTAGATTTGTAAGTTTGAGGTGTTCTTCAAGATTTTGATGCTTCTGGTCCACAATCTATAGGCTGTGGAGAACTTGTTCTGTAGATTCTCAGCTTGTCTCATTTCTTTTACTGAAGCTAAGTCTTGGCTGCTCGTTTTTGCAGGAATCATCTCAATCAAATGCAAAGGATCCTAGCCTGGAAGTAAGTATTACTGTGTCAGTAAAAGCTTCCGTTCATTATCTGAGTTGCATAGAACTTGTTCTGTTGATTCTCATCTCATTTAATGTTCCACTGTAGCTGAGTATTTGGCTCTCTGTTTTGCAGGCGTCATCTCATCCAAACAAAAAGGATCCTAGACTGGAAGTAAGTATCAGTGCAAAATAGATCCTAGACCGGGCTACTTGAGTTTACCTTTTCTTTTTTCTCTATATTTCCTCGCATCTTTTTCTCATAAATACTGATTTTGTTTAAAGCTGCCAGCCTAGCTGATTTTAGACGTCCTACACTGAGGTTATGACATTTAACATGCAACTAGATGCATAAAAAATTCCACAATAGGGTACTAGAGTACAGAGTCCACTAAGGAAACCCATTGTAGTAAAAACCTATTTAGGAAGCTGTCATGCTTATATATAGAAAAGGGTTCATCAAGGTTGGGGTTGAGCTTACTGTTGAAAGTAGAAAATAATAAATTAGAGTAGTGAGCATCTTAAGAACAAATTGCAATTAATGATTGTAAGCATTTGGTTCGGTTGGTTGGTTTAACCAAAAAACCGAAACAACTGATCATTGTTCTTAGTCATTGTTAGATAATCTAGAAAGTACAGCTAAAAGCTAATCTTCTAAAATGATCATTATATACTTGCTTGAAAATCTCATATGCTTGATGTTATTTCAGGTAAGGAGGCAATCTTACCGCGAATTCAAAATTTTTTTCAGACGATGGGAAAATGCTGCAAGGGATGACAAATGTTGGATGGATCCGTACAAAGATGCAGATAAACAAAGCATGCCCAGCTTTCACTTATCTCCCAGAGCCGTGTAAATGATGAACCATTTACATTTTTGAATCTTTGATGCTTCCACCAACAAATGTAAAGAGGACAGAACAAGGTGCAGCAATGGAGAAGAGTTATGCAGAGATCTGAGACTGTGAAGTCAAAGAATATTTGAAGCATCAAATGGACATCCTTATGTTACAACAGACATAAGATAGAAAAGACCTTGTTTATACATTAAATGGAACATCCTTGTTTGTACATATTGTAATTTCAGGTCTTGTAATTATATCATTCTTTCCTCAATAAGGAAAATGCAGTGATATATAGATAGAGAAGACCAGGAATAGTTGAAAGGAGCATTAAGGGGGAAAGAAAGGCTCACACTGATGTGATAATCTATATACCTGTTCAGCAATAAAAATTTCTCGAGTATTTATTTTGACTTGAGGCTTTTCTTTCTTCTCTTTATCGGTACACAGTAACTTTCAAAATATCGAGGGAATTAGATTCTGAAATTGAAGGTAATGAAATAATGATTCCAGCGAAAAATGTCTTTACAACTCACCGAGTCAAAGAAAAAGCTTGTTACGGGTCATATCATGCTGATGAAAGTTCTAAAGTTTTACCAATTAATTTTGCTTCTGCTTCTCCGGCTGAGGCTCCAATAAGTTTTAATAAATATTATATATATATATATATAGGACATGATAAGACTCAGACGAGTTTTTGATCTGAATACATTACAATTAAATTCATTTCGTTTGCTAACCAGCCAAGCCGAAATTTTTTTTCAACTTTTCTCGGACGGACTCAGCTCATTTACACCAACTTACTCTACGATTGCCTGATTAGAATCTTTCGCTTCGTTGGATTCTCCGGCCATGATAGGTAATATGAAAAACTTGCAATTTTTATCAGCCAGCCTGCATAGCAAAAATACAGCAGGGACAGGGAGATAAGCTAACAAAGTCAAAGATACCTGCTCTTCCTGTCACCTCGATAGGAAAAAGTTGTCTGTCGGTTGATACATTAAAAGTTAAAACTGTAGTTAGATAATCCGACCCACAAAATAACTAGCCGTCGCCATTAATGGGTCCAAGTTTGATGAAGTGCTGTTCTTATGAGATCGATAAAAGATGACAGCTTGCACCCAAAAGTTATGTTAGATTTGTGAGTGCGAGTCCTTTTCAAAAATAATTAAGCTGTCGTCAAGAAAGGGGAAAACAAAATAATTCCAATTATCATAGTGATGATTACATATCTTTATTTGATGTGATCAAGTGATTTACTTAATGCATCGATCGGTTTTGTTTCAATTAAATCATAAGTATCATCTCAACAGTAGGCTTAATCACTTTCTTAAACAATATAAAAATCCTCAATTTTCCAATTTTTTTCATAAATTATGCAATTTATCAATTCAATAACAAAATGCACCCAAGTCTCGAGTGAATCAAGAAGAACTACCTCAAATTATATATTTGATAGTGTTGTTTCGACCTATCGGACCTCCCAATGAATTGAAAGCAAAACGCAACAATTTGATCACTAAGTAAAAATTTATTTTGTGTTGCTAATTCTTAGAAATCAATGTGTAAATTTGGTTATTCTAATTTTCGAGCATACATTAATGATACTTATAATCCATCCAAAATTATATATCTTTCTTATGAGATCGAGGAATAAGATTGGACAGCTGTTGCCACCCAAAAGTTATGTTTAGATTTAGTGAGTGCGCAGTCCTTCAAAATATAATAAGCTGTCGTCAAGGAGAAGGGCGAAAAAACAAAATAATTCCCAAATTAATTCTAGTGATGATTACATATCATTTTATTTGATGTTTGAGATCAAGTGGATTGTTAACTTGAGATGCAGACGATCGGTTTTTGGTTCAATTAAACATAAGTCATCATTCTCAAACAGTAGGCTTATTATCACTTTTCAATTTTAAAAACAATATAAGATAAATCCTTCGAACTTCCCAATCTTTTCTATAAATAATGCAATTTATCAATTCAATACAAAATGCTACCCCAACCGCGTCTCGAAGTGAATCAGAAGAAAACTACCTCAAATCTTTATCATATGGTTGATGAGTGATGTTGTTATCGACCCTATCGGACCTCCTGATGATGAAAGCAAAAACGCGACACAATTGCATCGCGCACTAAGTAAAAAATTTTGTTACACTTTGCATATGTTGCTAATTCTTAAAATAGCTAATGTGTAAATATTTTATGCTATTGAGTTCTAAATGTCTCGCGAGACATACACTAATGATAGCTTCATATAATCCATTCCAAATATTAGAAATATAAAAATACTTATATTAGAATATATATATAATATATATCCGGATTCTTGGTTTCGTGCTGTTATTGATTAGCAATTTCCTAAGACTTCTCAAATGATTGTATGATAATTGCAGTTTATAAAGGTTGTGAATTTTGTGCGGCTTATTAATAGTAAAAGAAATTTATGTATTTTATATCTCTCTCAAAGACAGGATAGGCAAGCACAGAGAAGCAATGATTCCCTATACACACAGGAAGCATAAATAGAGCGTGGTGCACCAAATTCCTGAAAAACTTGCACCACAAAATGCTAAGAGCCTAGATTGGCTGCAAGGCAACACTATTGATAAGTCATATACCAAAAAACCTTGTTATTATTTTTGGTCTAGAACCTTTAAAATTTGGGGTAGGTTTTAGGATCTGAATTGGAGTTAGAATCAAGAATGCAAAAGTTGATCTGGTTCTCATATTATTGGTTCTTGTTGCTGTTATTATTAGCTATTTCCTAATAAATGATTGTATGATAATTGAGTTAAAGTTTATATTTTGTGCTTATTAATAGAATAAAATTATGTATTTAAGCAAAGACAGATAGGCAAGCAAAAGAGAAACAATGATTCCCTATACACAAGGAAGAAAATAACTTTTGCCATCCTAAAACTTGCACCACAAAATGCTAGAGCCAGATTGGCAAGGACAATTATAAGTCTACAAAAACCTTATATTTTTGTCTGAATTAAAATTTGGGTAGGTTTTGGATCTGAGATGGGGTTAGAATCAAGAATGCAAAAGTTGATTCTGGTTCTGCTCATAGCAATGTTGGCTTTGATGGGAAATGCTATGGGACAGACAAACAGAAAGAACACTGCAAATTTTAAGAATTATATAAATGTACAATACATTTGTTGTATTAAGATGTGGAAGTTCATTGGTGTTGGTTCTTGCTGTTCTTAGCTGCTTAAACGTACTTTCTTTTTGTTAATGATGGTATTGGTATTAATAGTCTCAAAGATATTATATTTATGTTCCATCTTTGTATTATTAATATTCTAATTCTTCGTCTAATAAACCATTAATCTATTTCCTATCTTGTTGTACCTTGTATTCTTTAAAATAAAATCTCTGAAATGTCCATGAATACAAGTCTTTAATGATAATTAAGAAAACCATTAATTCTCTCAATTATAACAAAAAGTTCATTAATTTGATTAAATTATTTTTTATCTCACATCACTAATAATTAATTCGCTCGGTACATATAAGGATAAAATTGAAAAAAAAAAAATTCGCTAGTTATTTTTTAATGTCCTCAAAACCATTTATATTTATAGATAAAAAAAAATTATTTAAAATGACTTATATCTATGAACAGAGAGAATATCTATTCTATCTTGATGGGATCCAGAGATTCTAAGAAATGCGTGGCTTCCTGCAAAATCCATCACTTTTTGTCTGAGTAAAAGAAAGAACACGAAAACATGCGAATAAGTTTTTAACGGTAGCTGCTTACTGTAACTATATAACATCAACATGCACAGGGGCATAGCTATTGTGGAGTTTGATGGAGCCATGGCTCCCCAAGATTTTTTCGTTCTTTTAAATTCTTCATAAAAATTTACATTTTAATCCTTCAAAAACATAAAAAATTATATTTAGAACCCTTAAAATTTTAAAAATGTCATTTAACTTCCCCAAAATAATTGTCCTAGCTTCCCTCTGAGCATACACATGATCCCAGCAAGAGAAATGTACACTTCAAACAATTCTTTTTGTTTTTGTTCTTATTTTTATTTTTTAAAGGGTATAATGAGAACACCAACCATTTGATTGGTACATGCCCATATAACAGCACATGGGTTGTTGAACACTTTCATTAGAAATGAGGTCAAGGAGATTCCCCAAACACTCTTATCAAGACTCCAAAGGCAGATGCCACTGTAAATATAAACCCTATTGCCATGTCCATATCCTTATGAGCTCTAACTGTTAAAAATCACTGCATTTCCTCCCAAAAGGGGTAATAATCACTGTGTTCACAACTTCACAGCTTCAGAATTAAGCGAGTTTCAATCTCTTGCTCAAAGGAACAAAAGAAACATTTTGAATTGCATTATTAATATCATATGCTTATAAATTATAGAAAAAGAAGACAAAATCAACTAGAAAGGCAAATTGTACATAAAGATTCTTAGGACAAAATACGTCTCACAACTAGACAAGGAATCTACCACAGGAAAATCAAATACAAAACATAGAATCTATAAGATCTAATGTATTATAGATATTCAAAAAAGACTTTTTTTTTTTAAAAAAAAAAAGAAAAGAAGGTATCATGTGTATCCCTTGTGTAATGAATAGAAGTAACATAAAAATATAAACTATTGAAGTATTACATTTAATTTGATCTTTCAAGAGATATAAAACTACCACCTTACAACTTTAGGAAGTAGTAGCTAGGCTTAATTGTCCTTACCCAACTTCCACCCACCTTAATATCTGGGTTGGCTACACCTGCAAGCATTAATATCATCACCTCTCTATCTCATCTCCCAGCAATAACATCTCATCAATCAAAAGGCTTCTACACCAGCAATTAGCACTCATCAATTTAAGGTCATTCAGAGCAAGCCTCTCTTTCTCTCTCTCTGTCTCTTTGTATATCTTTTGATGATTTTGGTATGTGTGTGCTGGAGGATGCCATTTATCAAAATAAGAAAAAAAAGGGACCACACATCAAAACATATGATCTGTTGGAACTTGGCAGGACATTGCATTGCATGCATAGAATATACAGGTTGACTTTGGCTTTCTTAGCCCCACCCCACAAGACCAAAGAAGCACCATAGCCAGAGCAATTAAGCTACTTGATCAATTAATTGTTCTAACTTCTAAGTCTTGTTGCACGAAAATGTTGCGTAGCTATGCTAATTTCTGCTTTGTATTAATCCTAGAGGTGAAGGTTTGATATATCAAAGCTTAAACTGAGACTGGGATTATGACAAGGGGAGTCTTACTCTTAACCCTATATTGAACAAAAAACAAACAAAACTTTGCTTTCTGCCAAATATTATAATTTATATAAAAGAATAAGTAGAGATGACAGTGGAAGAAGCAATAGAAAAAGCTGGAATAAAGACAACCGTATTGACAAAAGAAATCCCCAACATGTTACAAGAAAAACATATAAATGCAAATAAAGATACCCAATTAGTATTAAAATATAGTCTCTTAATCTTGCAATCTGCAATACATCCAGTGGTAGAATAAATAAATAAGAAGACAAGATTAAAATAACATGAATCTTAATCTTTGTCATGAGTAAGCACACCAGCCTTATTTAGCACTACCACTTGAGCACTAGCATATAATAATAAAATATATTCTTCAAACAACTAATTAAATTATCACAAGCAGAAATAGCTTAATAAACAAATAACAATGGTTTCCCCAAATATTCATATAATGCTAATCCTACCCCTGCCACTATCTTGAGGCACTGCTACTTCCGTAAAAATTTATACACAATTCCCTCTGGAAATAGCAAAACATTACTTGGAAATAGCAAATCTCACTAAACAATAATACTAATAAAATTATAAACAAACAAAAGAAGAACAGATATTCTTCGTAGTTCTTCCCATTCACACTCTCTCAACAGAATCAAGAAGATAACCCCTCCAGAAATAAACTAAAGAAAAATATGAAGAAGAATTAAATATGGCATCCAAAGCAATTACAGGTCTTGGGAGTGAAAGAACAGAAACCAAAGGGCCTGTTAGGAATATTGCAATTGATAGCATAGCAACAAGGAGAGGGCAAGCAAACACCTTTAGCACCTCCACAGCAAGTGCAAAGTGCACATATCTGAAAGCCACTCAATCTCCTCCTGCTCTCATTCAACATCAATCTCATCTCCACCACTTTCTGTGGCTCCATTAAAGGCACCATCTCATTACTCGTAGCAGACCCATTAGCCTCCAAATCAACAGATAAACATTTCAATCCACTAAATGACCACATGAAATCATGACCAATTTGACAAGAAATGAAAAGGGATCTAAGATTTTTTTTTTCTTTTTAATAAACAAAAAATGTGGGTATAACTGAAAGAGAGATATAAAAGAAGAGAGAAAAAGAAAACACTCACTTGGGCTACATTTGTACTTGCATCACTGTAACTGACGACATTAAGCAAAAAAAGCAGGAAGAGGAGGAGCAACAGAGGAAGGTGGGTGACCCCATAAGCAGACACGAAAGATGTTTTCTTTCCCATATTTCAAGATGGAATGTGGGTTCTGGGTTATTTTTGAGCTAAAATAAGTGGGAAATGATAATTGGGTTATGGGTTTTGATTTGATCTATTGTGGAGAGGAATTGATTGATTTGGTGGATCATAATATATATATATAAATGCAAATTTAGTTTGGTTGATGGATTTTGAACTGCTTAGTAGGGTGGAATTAAAGAGAGAGCAATAATTGGGTCATTTTGCGTATTGTTGGGGTTAGAGAGAGTGAAAGAGTGGGTTTTAAGGGCTTCCTGAATGTGACATTGTGGGAGATAAGAGTTCATTTGGAGGAGAAAGGAAAAAGGGTTATTTGGTTTTGGTCCAGTTTTCTTTTTTCTGTTTGAATGTTTTTAATTATTGTAACCTCTTTTGACTATACGCCGCTCTGCTTGTTTCTGACTTTCTGCCACGCCTCATTTCTACATTCAGTTCAACTATGTCCAGTGCGGTAGTGTCTACGTTTATCATCTGTTTAAGCAACGCAATTTTCCCTCCTTCCCAAAATATAATTCAATTAAAATTTTTAAATGAAAATTAAGAGAATAATCAATTTTTTAAAATTATAATAAAATAAAAAATAACTTGATAATATGTTATTATACTTAATATAAATAGAGATACAATAGGAAAAATCTCTTTTATTACTTTTTAAAGTATTCGGTTTATATTTTAAAACAAAATAATTATTCTAAAACGATTTAAATTTTAGGACGAAAAGAGTAAAATAGTCTTATAAATATTTTCATATTCTTTTTTGAAAAGGAAATATTTTTATATTCTTAAACTATGTTTAATCTATTGTCCCATTGAAAATATAAAAATGTAATTAAAGATGTTTGTTAGTGTTTTTCATTTTTGTTGCCCAGCCTCGGCTCAACCCTTTTCTGGCCCAATTTAATCCTCTATTGGGCTGTTGAGCCCATGAAACATTCAAAACAGTCTCTAAACCGCCGCGGTCATATTCTGAATTCTCCTCCTCCGCTCTGCCTTGTTCAGTTTGAAATCGAGGTTTGGTTTAGAGAATGAATAATAAGTTCGGAGCAGGGAAGCAGCCTACTGGCACTCCTTCACTGGGTTGGTCATGCGTTGTTGTCATCGTTTCACTTCTTACTGGCGCCTCTATTGTCCATAACATCTATAAACCCGACCTTGTAATAATTCGTTTGCACCTTTTGTTTCCTGATATTAGTTTCCATGCCTATAACCTGTTTGATGAAATGTCTCAGTCACTGAATTTCTGATTTTGTGCACAGAAATTGCCTCCCATTGATAGCGTTGATGCGGCTAAGAAGAAGCAAATCCAAACTGGGAGAGAATGAATTTTGAGTGCAGGACACTTCTAAGCAATTGTATCTGAATTTCAGGTTTGAATGTTTGCTCGGGAGATTTTAACCTCATGCCGAATCTGTGATTTCGTTCATTAATAGCTGAGCATCAGGAGAAAGTTTTATTTTTTCTTTAGTTTTCAATTGGAATAATTTCATCCAACGCCAGTTATTGTAGCTAGATTAAATTCCATACAATAGAAATGTTGACCTTTTCCCCTGAATTTTATAAATTATTGTGATTGAAGCTTTGCTCAATTTTCTCTCTTTTCTGTCAGAAATACTTATTTCTTTTGAACTTGAAGGATGAACTAAGACTAATTATTTTTTTCTTGCATCATAATGGTAAAATTGAAAAAAAAAAAATTTATTACTCGATATATAAATATTTATTGATAGAAAAAGCAGCTCCCAACATAATTGAACCATCAAAATAAGCAAAAAAAATCATACATCCCATGCTCTCTCATCTGTTGTTTCATGAAAACCAATATGATGATAATAATAAAAAGATTGATCTCGGCAGCCAGGTTCTTTATCCAGCACCTGATTCTTGATTTTCCTTTACAAGATCCAAATAAGTTGGTACATAAAGTTTCATCCAAAATACCTAGACAGTGTATTAGGTGGAAGGTGGGGCATATGCCCGGAGGAGGATAGGGAGCAAGCAGAACCAGAGAGCCCATTTTCATCGAGTGATATGCGCAGGAGTAACTGCTTACAAACTTAACAGCAATCAGAATCAACATTAAACCTATAAGAAATTCAGACCACCACCCTGCATAATGTAGGAAAATATATGAATTCAAACAGTTCTCAAGCATATACTCTTCTGCAAGTCGATTGTCCATTCCAAGAATGTTACCAGAATCAGGACTTTCACAAGTATGGAAATGAAATCTCCTTGTACAGTTTATGCAAATTTTTTAGGAAATTAAGAATATGATAGCATACAGAATGTTAAGATGCTAAAGATTTTTTCTTTTTTCTAATAAAAATGCTTCAAGCAAATTGGCATTACAAGAAAAGTAAATTTCATAATATGTAAAACTCTTGAAATAAATTGGACAAGCCTCCATAATTCCAACAAGTTCCTTAGGTTTCACATCCTTATATTGAGTACCAATGATGTCAAGAAACATGTTCACTTGAATACCTGATATGATTACAGGGGTTAATTGCACAAGTCTTGCAGAGATGCAGGGTGATTTGTGCATTCTGATACTGATTGCCTGACATTTTAAAAAGCCTCCTGGAAAATGAAAATCAATGAGCCACCACACTAAACTACAAGGGCAACAAGACCTTATCTAACAAGAAGAAGTTCACCTGTCATATATGCAAGTGCTGACGAGACAATAATCAACAACATTCCACTCCAGCTTGCTACCACCAAAAGCTTTATTATTCAAACCAAATTCACCCACAAAATTCTGCAAGAAGAAACCTATCTCACAAAATAATTAAGAGTTGGCAATGAAAAATTACATTGTACAGCAATAATCATTACCCTAAATTAACGATGTCACTGAATACTAAAGGGATAAGGAGCCAGAACTGCTACAAGACTGATCAAAATTGAACAATCCCTGAAAGTTCCAGGTGAGGCCTCCGGTTGTTCCTAGTGGCACAAATTAGCAATAGAGAAAGAAGAAGAATATGAAGATGAAGAAGACACTGTCAATGATGTGAATTATGACCATTCCACATGCAAGCAGAACAAGCAGCACTGTTCAACTTTTATGAGAGGCAGGTCCTTAAGGCGGACACTTGAAAGCAGGAACCGATGATGAAGATTCCAAAAGCCAGACAGAGGCACTTGCAAAAGCAAAAGGTTTATACAACAAATTGGAAGAAAATTTTAACACAAAATCAGAAAATTGGGCCTTCAGAGAGATGAAATGTTCACACAGGTTTTACCAAATGTGACAATATTTTGCAGATTATACAATGGAGCAATATGAAATTCAGAAAAGACAAGTCTGTCAACTGAATTGCTTTTTCAGCTTGGCAATGAACTCTGTACATCTCCAGCAATGGGAAATGAATTTACAGACAACACTTGTTTATCGACCAAAAGATTGTAAACAGTAAATCTTGAGGTAGCATTTATCCTTCTGTGTCAATATTATCATCACCAGAAGGCATCTGTCTAGGCTCTGACAATGAAAGTCTCCTGGGCTTTGTTGAGCCAGCTTCAACAAGCCCTTCTGGTGATAAAGTTAATGCAGCAGATGCTGATGATGACCCCAGTAAACGTCGAACTGGGGTATCAGTCGAAGAAGATGCCGAGAGATTATACGTGAAAATTCCCATAGGATGGTCATACTTGCAACTTGGACCAAACTTGCAAACACCATAACGAGAGTAGAAGATGCACAAAGGTTCTCCCTGTTATAGATAAGATAAGAGCTCCATAAATCTACTCCATAAATGAAAGAATTAAATTGAAACTTGATAGCTTAATACTGCATATTAAAATATTTAGGCATGTGATGCACATAAACAGAGAAAGTGTTCATGCATATCATGTGTATGATAGAGAAGCTTTTCTTTTATAAAATTATATAATTTTTATTTGTAAACCTCTATCAGAATCAGATATATTTACCAAATCTCCTTTTCTATTTTCCTCCAATTATCGGCGTGTATCAATATTTCAACTAATTTTTTATGCCTCATGGGAGAAAACAACTAATTTCTTTCATGGGATATACAAGTGAGGGCGAGCTGGAAGTTCTGAGTACCGCAACCACTTCACGAGAGAACCAGTTTCATGCCTTCTTGGCAGAGAGGATAACTAAGTTTGTCATTGTTATTCTTAAGGAGGTAAGGAGAAACTCTGCACAAACTAGCAACAACTTCAGAAAGAGTAGCTACCTTCAACAATTTTTCATGGCTTGTTAGTGCAGGGGACAATTAATTTTGGTCACTGGGTATAAGTAAGGATACGAGAGTATTTCTGAATTAATTTTTTAATCAACTCTAAGGAATGGACAGCGATCATCCAGTCAATGTGACTAAACAGGGGGCTTAAGTAATTTCTGAGTAGCAATTGGAGGAAGAAATGAAAAAAAGGAAGTTCATGAGAATTTGCCACACTTTTTCAGCAATTTAGAGAAAACAACCAAACATTAAAGGAATGGGTTAAAGCAAATTGTCAAAATGACAAGTAAAATTTCATTCCAAGTTGCACAGCTGATAATTAAAATGAGATGGAAAAAAAGAACTGATCAACAAGAGTAGAACTCACCGGACGTAAAGGGAGGCCTATGGGACTCAAGACACAGTCTGGAGCAGGAATTAGTCGTTCTCTTGGGTGATGAAACCGACAAACTGCACCAAACTTACAGTCCCCAGTCTTCATGTAAAACTGGCATTCAGGCTGACCAGGTCTCTCAGGAAAAGCATTCTCCGTTTGCAATGCATAAAATCCTACTGGGACAGAGCCAGAACGATATGGAGAAAGTGCCCCTTGAGATCCTGTATTCAATGATTCGCTCTGGCGGGAAGTTCCATATATCTGACCATTTCCTGTTTGTTGCTGACCCTCTGGAGATGAAACTGATCCTAGCTGACCCTGCAAAATTAGCATCCCATAACCTTGTCACCCTTCTCAATCCTCACACGTTTCATAAAGCACAAAAAGAATTAACTTGAATATGAGAGGGCTAATATGTTCTAGCTTAGAAAGTATTGTCAACCAAAACACAGTGTAGGACTACCCCAACAAGAAAACAAAAAAGAACAAGATATTGCGCCTGTCATTGCATCTAAAGAAATAGATAATAGGAAGAAAAAACCTTGCAGGTTGAGAGAATCATTTCCAGATATCCTTATACCATAAATAAAAGCAGAATAATCGGTTAAGTTCAAAGATTAGATAAAGGACTGACCATACTCAAGCAGAAAATGTTAATTAGATGTTAAGAAATTGTAAAGACTGTATTTTTAAAAAAATTCAACATACACAGAGACACTTTTGTGACCGCAATCAGATTCCAGAAGATTCCAAAACCTTGCCAATTGCCATCCAATAAATGGGTTATTCTCATGCATAACTTCCAATTTAGCTCATACCCATTTGAACCAAAAAATTGGCACCTGCATTCAATTCTAAAAGAAAAGCAAATTCTCCAAGTTGGCACATTCTAATTGCAATCTTAGGCTCAGTTGTCTTTCCCAGAGTCTCCACAAACACATCCACAACATCAAACCAACAGCACCATACCACAAACACCTACCTTAAAACCACCCATAAGCATCTTAATCCAAGTAAGTAGCTCACTCCACCATCACCATCAGAACTGGCACTCTAGTTGTCATCACCAACCAACTCCAAAGTTTTTACTAAGCTTTAACTCTGACTCAACAGCTAGAGTAACAAAGGAGTACCCAAGCCATACACATTTGAAATGATTCTAAGTACCGGAACAATACATAAAATTATCAAAAATTTCAGGAAAAAAAATATACAAACACACATCTCCAAGGCTGAAAAAGAGGATTCTAATAAGCATTATGCATCAAAGACTGTCAGACATGAATGCCATGCAACCGTTCTCTTGCAAGTAGAGTTGAATAAAATTAAATGAAAAGAAAAGAGAAGATTTTATGTAAGGAAATCCATGGTGGGTGCCATTTGATCATGCATAAGTCCTTTTCCATATAAATTTGGATCTTGGGCCACCCTAGAGGTATTTTCAGCTGTAAACCATGGGGTAGCAATACAGTTTTCCTCTAGGAAAAGGCCTCTTTAACAGAACCGGTATATCCTTAGAATTATAGACCTAAACCCCCTTGGCTCCTAGTTGAAAGGATTTTGGCATCATATGATATTTTTCATGAATATGCACAACAAATGTACTTATAAATGCAAAGAAAAAAATTAAGTGGTCAGACAAGACTCTTCAAATATTTTTAAGCATCAGGAAGTGCTTAAAAAAGCACAAATTTAAGCTGCTTTAGTGAACAACTAGCCTTTTGTCTGCATATACAATACAACCTGTTAAATGCATTCCATTGCATATTCAAACAAAAGCTATAGATAAGTTACACTGTATGCATTCCAGCCTGGAACAGATACTACTCCTTGAGGTAAAATCAGAGGTGTATAGCTTGAAGGGGCTTGCCACCGTGGGCTGGTCATAAATGATGCTCTTGACCAGTTTGTAAGCCCCCCTGCGTAGGATTGCTGACCAGGAGTAGTTGGAGACTGGACATTAGGATAAACAGGGGAACCACGCAATGGAACCATCACGTTAGTTGGTTGAGGATGGTGGAATTTGCAAGTGCTTCCAAACTTGCACTGTCCAGTTCGTAAGTAGTAGGCACACTCAATCTCATTCTGCAGGAAAGAAAATGAAAAAGATTAATAGTTGGCAAGTCTTCCCTCAAAAGTGCACGCACAACCACAGAAAGGCAGGAAGACACCAGAGATTTGCAAAGAAAAGCCAGGCCTGAGTACATGAACAAAGACCAATTATATTTATTTTCATTATCAAAATTCAAAATAAATTTAAATGTGAGTAAGACAAAGCAAAACAGTATTGCTACTGATAAATCTCAAATATACTTGGTAATCACAATTATTGTCCATTCATCCCATAAAAGTCCTTAGAGCGTAGATATCAGGTGAATAAAGGATAAACCAATATAACAAGTTTAACAATTTGGATGTCAACAATGAGTCCAAGCAAACTCCTTCAAAATGCCACTTAAAAGTACTTATCCATCCCCACAATCACATTCTACATGTTTTCCTTCTTCCCCCTTATCCATGCATATTCCTGTCATCTAATAAATATTTTTACAGTTTTAGATTCAATCAATTGCCTTTTTATTTTTGACAGTCAGAAGTATGAAATGTGTAATGCCAGATGTAAATTTGTGCTTCCAATCAATTAGGCAATTATGGAAATAACTACAGATGTTATAGTGTGATGCCTGAATGCTAACTTGTTTATGATATAACAGGTAAAAATATTATTGCCAGCCTTTCTGGTCCCATGCAGTACATATGGTAGAAATCAATCAATCAGAAAACCTTTCACAGACATCAGAACATGCCAGATATTGATGACCAAATATATCAGATAAACAAAAAATACATTTGACTAAATTGGATGATGGAGAAAAAAAAAAAAGAAGGAACAAAATCCATACCGGTCGAAGTGGATACCCCATAATATTTAAGGATACTCTTCCAGCAATCCCAGCCTTGTCTTTAGGATGATGAAATTTGCATGTGGCTCCAAACTTGCAAGTTCCTGTCTTTAGGTAGTACTGGAGCACAGTTAAACATGATATTAGTATGACATATATTCCATTCTCAAATTTCCAGAACTTTTAATTTTTGAATTCTAGCTTTTCTAGTGGACCAATTCATGAGAATTATCATGGATTTTCAATTATGTTGCCAAAACATATTCTTAAACAGAGTATAAGAGTATAAATTGTCAAAATTAAAATTCACATTAAGTCCCTTGAAATATTCAGTCAAATACATCCCAAAAATAGTTGCAGTAAAAGGCTCATGGAACTTTTCTTGAAATGCTGAAGCACCAATTCACATTTTAACTTTTCAATACAGTTGTATGTCCACTCTGAAGATCAACACAGAAAACATGCAATATATAGAAGGCAAATGAAAACATATGAAACAACTTAACACAAATTTTCAAAAAGCTCAAATATTTAGGGGGCATTGTGGCAATTCCAATCACACTAGGTGTTGCAAACTTGCAATCCCTGCACTTCATCTGTGCTCTGCACAAGAGATGGTTTTTTCAACAAGAGAGAACCAAAAGTTCCTCATAGTTATTTCCTTTTCTGCTATAACAGCAAAAATCAGATGTCAAAAGGAGGAGAAGGTGAAAATGCAATGATGATATTACATTGCTTCTCTAATTTCTATCAATAACCAGTTACAGTACTATACACATGGAAGCAAAAAAATATCACCTGGCATTCAGGTTGTCCTATCCTTTCTGGAAATTCCCCTTTCATCCTTGCAGCAGCTATAGCCTAGAACTCAACAAAATTTAGTAGAAAAAAAAATGAATCCCAATGGCTTACTGATTCTAGAGTATAAACATGAAAATACACAAGTATGTAAGTGCGATATGCACATGTGCATGAGAGAGAGAGAGAGAGAGAGAGAGAGAGCACATAACAAATAAATATGGGAACAGACAAAAAGTTCAGATATTGTGCTCCAAGAATTTGTCTAAACACGCTGCAGCACATACCAGCTTTCTGTTAGGAGGATGATTAAATCGGCATGTAGCCCCAAATCTACAAAGCCCTGTTCTGATGTAATAAGAACAATCCGGCTCTCCAGGACGCTCAGGATAGGGCCCAGACTCCATTGGTTCACCTGATCTTAAGTTCATTTGCCACATTGCATCTGAGATGACATTAGATAACCAAGTTTAAACAGTTATCGCAAAGCTATGTCCAAATAATATGAAGAATAATTTTCCAACTCCAATTTCCCCCATAAAAAAAGCAGCAGCATAACATGCCAACCTTACTGATGAATTAATTTTTTAAATCACAACAAAAGTTCAAAATCTACGTAAAACATCGCAAATTATTCAAGCGTTTGAAAGAAAACAACTACTGACGGTAAAAAAAAAAAAACAGACAAAAGAAAAAACTAATTTAGAAAATCATCATGACTTACTAAAGATTGACAAAGTCATGATTCAGCAATGATCAAAGCAACCTCATTAGAGACATAACCAAAACAACATGGGACCGCTTTTTAAGGAATCAGTGTCTCTTTTCTCTGTCTTGAAACAACGTAAATAAAGAACAGAAATTAAACCATGATTGACCTAAACCTTAACCGCCGATCAAGTCGAATTTCAGAAACAGATGAGGGCAAAAATGACAATTCACGGCAAGAAACCACCTTAAACACAATTTTTTTAGTTGCATTTCCTACTTTCAAATTATTGCAGCTTCAACATTAAAAAAGAAAAACAAAAGCAAAATAAATCCTAAATTAATAAAACCAATACGATTCCACAAACGATCAAGCAAAATTAACCGCGTTAAAGGGTAAAAGAGACAATTCGCAAAAATTTAACCGACACCGGATCATGTAAATTGCATTAGTATGAGAGTTTACTTAAAATAACCCGAACGAAAAAACCATCGTATTGCATTTTTGAAAGAAAAAGAGAAAATAAGAAGAGGACCTTCGTTCATCGACGGTGACAGAGAGGGTCCGTCAGTCACAGATGGTGGAGCAGTTCGGGACATCGATATTCCGGCATCAAAATCCATTGAGAATAAGAACAGTTATGATAGTCCTCCATCACCAAACTGTGACTGTACCACTCCCCGCGGGAATCCCCATTCCCCCAATCCCGCGGTCACTGTATCAACCTTCTCTCCAGGAACTGGAAAGAACAAATCAACAAAACAAGCAGCTCTGTTTGAGATTGGATAGAGAAATAGAGAGAGAGTTCAATTTTAGCGTTTGCGAGAGTTTTTTTTAGAGAGAGAGCTTATTTTCTTTCTTTCTTTTTTCTTTTTTTTTTTTTTTTTCGTCAACAAAACAAGCAGCTTCGTGTTTCTGAGAGATTTGATAGAAGAAATAGAGAGAGAGTTCAATTTTAGCGTTTGCGAGAGTTTTGTCTTTTGTAATGAGAGCAGAGCTTATTATGTTTCTTTTCCTTTTCTTTTCTTCGCTTCTCTTTTTTTTTTTTTTTTTCTTTTCTCGGATTTGTGGTTAGCGACCGAAGAGAGAGAAGTAAGGGCTGTGCGTCTGGCTGATTCCTCTCCTTTTCTTTCTTTTTTTTTTTTTTTTTTTTTTTTTTCTTTTCTCGTTTTGGTTAGCGAACGAGAGAGAGAAGAGGGCGTTGTCTATTCCTCTCCACACAAAAAATGAAAAAAAGGAAAAAAGAAAATTTTGAGAGAGAAGTAGAGAAGCGAATAAAAACCAACCATCCAAACCAGACAGCCCCCTCTCTCAGTCATCTCTTGTTTTCGCTTTTCCACCCGCGTTTTTACACTGAAACGAACCACCAATTCCCTCCCTCATTCTCCTCGAGTACGAATTTTTCTCTACTCTCTTTCTAATCCGGCCACGTATCGGTATCTTTATTTTGGGGTCTTTCTTTATTGATACTTTGGCTTTTACGATTGACGTCAACGATGATATAATGTTAAATATGACACGTGGTGGAAAAACAGTGCGAGTGTTACGTTTGTATGAATGTGAGAGTACTGATGGAATTAAACTCTATACCTGGATTTCGGACCGCTTCTTATAACTGCTTTTACTATTTCCAGGTTATTTCTTTATATTCTCCATCAACTATGCTCTGTTTCAGTTGCGCTGTTTCCCTTTTATATTCTCCGCCTTAATTTATTTTTTTATTAATCTTTTATTAGGACAAAATGTTGTAATAATTTCTGATTTACCAAAAAAAAAAAAAAAAAAATCTAGATTTACCAAAAAAAAAAATAAAAAAAAAAAGCATATTTCCTCCATTACTGCTGTAGTTTGGAATCACTAATTAGTGTTTTTCCTCATGACTCTATTTCTAGGACACACGAATACAATATATCGAGTTAGCTGGTAATAATAAAATAAAAATAAAACAAATTGAAAGACGAAAATTACGGACCAATATGGATATTTCCTTAAAAATTATATGTACAAGGTTTAGGGCGGGGGAATTAGTGAATGTAATTTTCAACACTATAGCATTTTGTTTGGCAAATTCAATTAGCTTGTTTTTATAAAAAATAAATGTTAATGTATAATTAATGTTTTGCTATAATAGCGTGGATGTGAAAAAATAATTTTCTATGTGTAGACATTTGTTTGGGTATCTAATACGTGAGAGAGACTTTGGTATCCTAAATGCCTTTTGATTTTAATATACATCAAAAAAAAAAAAAAAAAAAGCATATTTCTCCATAATGCTGTAGTTTGAATCACTAATTATTATTTTCTATTGACTCTATTTCTAGGACAAAATTACAATATATCGAGTTAGCGGCCAAAAATAAAAATAAAAAAAATTGAAAGCGAAATTACGGACCAATATGGATATTTTTAAAAATTATATGTAAGTTTAGGGGGAAATATGAATGTTTTCAAAAATAAGTTTTGTTGGCAAATCAATTAGCGTTTTTTAAAAAATAATGTATGTATAATTAATGTTTGCTATAATAAGTGTGCATGTGAAAAATAATTTTCTAGTTAGACATTTGTTTGGGTATCTAATACTTTATATGTTTGGTATCTAAATGCCTTTTGATTTATATAATATAATGTCGTTTTTTAATTGATTTGTTCATATTGTCAATACAAATACAATATTGAAAGATACGCATCACATGATTGAGCCCATTTGCCTACTAGCTACTACGCCTATGTACACGTACTACAAGTTAAGGATAATTTAACCACAGCTTCAATGCAAATGTGAAATGCTCTTATTTAATTATTATATAAAAAAAATAGAAAGACTTTTTAAAAAATATTTTGTAATACTAATATCTATTTAGGATATCAAGCTGATATATAAAAAAATAATAGATATTGTCTATTACACCTTCTATTTCTATAAGGTCCTTTAGATAATGTTATATTTATTGTTGTTTGGTGATTGGTTGCATATTAAATTGTAAGACCAGAAAACAGAGAAAAAAGAGAATGAAAGAGGATTTAAAACTAATATATTAGAGAAAGTTTTTAAAATTCATTGTCTATAAATAGACATTCAACCACATCATTATTCACAACTCCTATTTCACACGACACATCAGCCACAGTCCACATTAGCATTAAAGATGCTCTTATTTTTTTAGTATAACCAAGAAGTGTAATTTTCCCTCGGGCCATAAAACGTAATTATTTTTTGCCCTTTTAGCAAAATGCACTTTCCGATAATTAAACTTGTGATCTCATCTTTATGTTAGTTGAGGTAGTAAACAACTTATTTTTTTTAAATGGGGATACAATTTTGTTTTTTAAATGAAGTTAAAGGGATATTTCGTATTTATGTTTGTTGACAAAGGCAAGAAAATAATTAAGGTAAAATAGTTAGAAAATATTTTGTTTATCTTTTTTATTTTTTTTTTAATCATTGAAAAAAAAAATCCTATAGTTTGTTTTTCTTCTCGGTTTAAAATACTATTTAATCTTGGAAATCAGGAAGACAACATCAAGCATCCAAACGTGGATTTAGAAGGTTCCTAAATCCGTAAAATATGCAAGTGTTAAAAGGAATTCGTACAAACAAGAGTCTTACAAAAATTTCAAACATACCTCATAATTTACTATAACAATTTTTGTCTGGTAATTTTTAAGGAATTGTTTAAAGTGTATCAGCATGGGACCACCTAGCTAGGCGTGATGTTTTAGCATTTAATGGACATATAATTTACTCTTTCTAGCATTCCATTGTAAAGTATGTTTACTTGTCTAGAACTCCTTTATAAATATAAAATTAGAGTGCAAACCATCGGTTTGATTTAAACCAAACCGGACTAAGGTCAAAAAAATAAAAAATAAAATGAAGTTCTTCGACAACAGATCAAATAAAAATTGATATTTGAACCAAATCGAATCGAATCAATTAATTTCTCCAGTTTTAATCAGTTTTTACGATGTCAATTCAGTTAGTGATTTTGTACACCATTATATAGAATGAATTAAATCAACGACATTAAAATTTTTCTTACTTCATTTTGTCTTTTTTTTAGTAAATAGTCGAAAATAATCTCGTTTTCAAAAAAAATATTTTTATTAGAGTGAAACCATGATCCGAAGCTCTGCAATTTATTCAAAATATTATAAATTAGTCTCCACGTCAATCGGACTAAGATGATAAACACATAAATCTTAATTATTTTATATCATAATCTAAAACTTTTTAAATATAATAATTAGGTGGCTTGAAAATGTTTTCAGTCCATCTACTCTTTACCTATTTTCTGATAATCCCATTATTTCAGAAGGTTTAGTGTCCTAATCTCATATTCTAATAGTGTAATTCCTATGTTTAAAATTTTAGTAAACTTTTATGTCATTATCATAAAATTTTCTTAATCCGCCGTTAAAATAGTATTAAAATAGTTAATAGCTATTAAAATAATAAAAGAAAATATATGATTTTTCTTAATCTTGCGAGTGGTGCTAAATTTTTATTTATTTGAATATTAATTTTTCTTTTTTTGAGAAAATAAAAAAAAAATGGAAATAATGTGTGGAAGTAGCGAAAAGTGAAATTTGGAGGCATCGAAGGGAAGTAGGCATTTGTGGTGAGAACGCGACACGAGGATCCCGTTTATCTCCTCCACGCACTAACCAGAGATTGGAATGGGACCCCAAACCCAAAGCCTTCTTTCCTTTCTTTTTGGCTTCTTAAAGGAAATAAAAAATAAAGAACGGATGTGGGTTCTACACATGGAACCACACCATTGGATTCTGATGCACTCATCTTGCTAGTGGCTGGCTTATACACTTGCATCCACACCCGTTTCACGTGCAAAAATTGCATAATAATTTAGTTAATAAATATTTTAAACTTTATTTTTCATCAATTAAAATTCAACTTTTTAAAAATAATATTATTAAAAGCATTACGTTGATGCAAAAGACGTGTGTTAATCGATATTATATTAATTAACAATTATTAAAACAGCTAATATTATAATATAAAATACTTTTTATTTTTCATTTTTATGTGATAAATTTCAAAATAGTTTAAAGAACAGAATATTTGTGAAATTATTACCGATATAAATAACATACAAGTATACACTTCTAAATATTTTATATCAAGTTAAGTTAATCATGGATATTCACAAATATCTTACCTACTGTGTTTTAAATATATTCACATATCGACAGTTTTAAATTTACATATACGTTATCCGTGTAAGTGATAGTTTAAATGGATCTATAATCATTATGAATAATAAAATTTCAAACGGATTTTTAAATAAATATTTAATGAATTAATGGTTCAAAATTCACAAGGACATGTTGGGCTCGATCCCTGTATATAACGTTCCTATCAACCATTTAAACTTTTGCCGATGGCTGGGGCAATTTGTCACGGTCACAAATGAGAAGTGAATGATGGGAAGAGATGGAGAGCACGTTTCAATATTTCATGCTCCTATACTTTCATAATTTGAGTTTGACCCCTTGTAAAAGGACTTATCGACTCCACCACTACAAATACCGCACGATGATCAAAATGAAAAGAAAAGAAAATAAAATAAAATAAAAAGAAATCCATCTAAATCATGTAACAAACAAAAATTTTTAAATTATAATTAATAAATAAGCTTTAATTTATTTAAAGGTATTTCATAAAATAGTTTTCACATTAAAAGAGCTTTTAAAATATAATTTAATATAGCCCTTTTTTTTCAATATTTAAAAATTCTTATATTTTTATTTAATTTATAATTAGAGATATATTCAGATGAATTCATGCATTTCAAAATTAAATCCTCAAAATTAATAATTTTCCCTTTTACGCCACCACCTAATTAAATATTTTACTAGATCTGGGCTGATATCCAAAACCGAAACAAGATCTGGGCTGGGCCTATCTACGGGGAGGGAAACGCGGTCATATTAAGACGTGGCGATATCCTGTTGGTTGCCGCTTCCGATGTTTTTCTCAATTTGTTATCGTTTCCAATATAAAACGAAACTCCAACCACAACCCAGCCCTAAACTAATTCACAAACTACAATAATTCTGTTCTGATTTCAATTCTCTCTCGCGATCTTCCAAAGTATGTCTAATTTCTCTCTGGTTCTACGTTACCGTGTATATTCAATATATGATACCGGTCAATTTTCTTTTTAATTAGATTTGAGATCGTCTAATTTAAATTTGTTTTGAATTATTTTATTTGCGGTTTGATTGTTTATTTGGGATCCTCGTTTAACAAATTTTAGCATTCTGATATCATTGGGCTTTAATATGTTTAAAGTAATGATTTATGTTTTAGCAAATTTATCTGATATTGTAAATATTGTTTTGGGATGAAAGCTATGTTGAATCTTTGATAGATGTCTTGAAATAAGTTGAATTCTTAGATGATTTTTTATTTATTGACAGATATTGATTGTTTGCTCCTGATATATTAATGAATTGGTCTATTTTGATGATCTTTTGCATCATTATGGCACGTCTGAATAAATATGTTGGTTTCTCATCTTAATTATCATTTTTAATATCGCTATTCGGGCCACTTTTTATGTAATAATTTTTTTTATCGACTTTGATTGTATGATCAAGTGTGTCAAATTTTGTAGTAATTAGAGGTTTCTTGGGGTACTTTTGCCTAGTTCTAAGCTTAATGTCTTGAATTAAGGTTGCCAATATAGGTAGAGATATCTTCCATTAGTTTTTACCTGTTTTGTTTATGAGCTATTGGATCCCTAATGATTGTTTTGTTCTCAATGTTGTAACGGGGCTGTATAATATTTTCATGTAATTCGCTTATTTTATTGTCTCTTATTTGATCTTTATTTCACCGAGCAGATGCAGATCTTTGTGAAGACACTTACTGGGAAAACCATCACACTTGAGGTGGAAAGTTCAGATACTATCGACAATGTGAAAGCCAGATCCAGGATAAGGAAGGAATCCCACCTGACCAGCAAAGGCTTATCTTTGCTGGAAAGCAACTTGAGGATGGCCGCACACTTGCTGATTACAACATCCAAAAGGAATCCACCCTCCACTTGGTGCTTCGTTTGAGGGATGGCATGCAGATATTTGTAAAGACCCTCACTGGCAAGACAATCACACTGGAAGTGGAGAGCTCTGACACCATAGACAATGTCAAGGCTAAGATCCAGGATAAGGAAGGCATTCCCCCCGACCAGCAGAGGCTGATTTTTGCTGGAAAACAGCTAGAGGATGGCCGCACACTTGCTGACTACAATATCCAGAAGGAATCCACCCTCCACTTGGTGCTTCGACTCCGAGGTGGCATGCAGATTTTTGTGAAGACCCTCACAGGGAAGACCATTACTTTGGAAGTAGAGAGCTCTGACACCATTGACAATGTTAAAGCCAAAATTCAAGACAAGGAGGGCATCCCCCCAGACCAGCAGAGGTTGATTTTTGCAGGGAAACAGCTTGAGGACGGTCGTACTCATGCTGACTATAACATTCAGAAAGAGTCCACCCTCCACTTGGTGCTTCGCCTTCGTGGTGGCATTTAGATTTTTGTCAAGACTCTTGCTAGAAAGACCATAACCTTGGAGGTTGATAGCTCAGATGCTATTGACAATGTGAAGGCCAAGATCCAAGACAAGGAGGGATTCCACCAGACCAGCAAAGGCTGATCTTTGCTGGGAAGCAGTTGGAGGATGGACGCACCTTGGCTGATTACAACATCCAGAAAGAATCCACCGTGTCCTTCGCCTTCATGGTGGTTTTTAAGTTTGTTACTTGCATGTATTTTTTTTTTTTCTGGATTGTGATAGCTAGCCTTGAAGAATGTCTCTTCTAGCTTGTGCTTTGGCTATGCCTTTTGGTACTTAAAACATGTTCTGGTTATGCAATTTGGTTCTTAAACCTTTCTAAATTTTGAACTTACTATGCTGTTGCGAAACATTATTATGGAACAGTTACAGTTTATACTTATGGTCAACTGTGGCGGCTTATATATCTGCTTGTACTTTGCGGGTAGATATTGCAGTTATTTGATTGAATGCTCTTAAAAGCTGCCTGCAAAATTTAAGAAGGGATATTATTGCCAATTGTTTTGAGTCTTGAAAATGGTTATGGTTAGGTTTTCTTTGTATACCTATTGGAGGGCCTTATTTTAGTGGCACAGGCCAACATAGTCAACATTATTATTGTTGGTTTGATCGTATTTTTTCTTTTCTTTTCTTAAAAAAGAATATCTGACAGCTATTGTGTTCCTCTGTAGGGATGGATGATCTTAAACAGAAAAACTGCCAATGGCATATTTTACATCTCAAATTTGCCTTGTGCTAAATTGAGTTTAGGTTATTTTGGAAGCATAGATCATTTTTGAAGTTTTTACTGCTGTTATACAGCATAGAGTGGGAATCTATAGAATTGCCCAAAATTTGTCTTTGTTTTTTTTTTTTTTTTTTTTTTTATAGATCATTTTTGAAGTGTTTTAAACTAGCTGTTATACAGCATAGAGTTTTGGAAATCTATAGAAATTTGCCCAAAATTTGTCTTTGTTTTTTTTTTTTTTTTTTTTGACTTATCCCCTGCGGGGAAGCTATATGAATTAAGGCCCCGTTTTCTTTATTCAATTTTTTTTTTTTTTTTTTTTTTTGACTTATCCTGCGGGAGCTATATGAATTAGGCCCTTTTTCTTTATTCAAACTTGTACCTTCTATGAAGGTACCATACAATTTCTTCACCCTGAAGCTGGAAATCGTGGTTGGGCCAGAAGCTACTTTTGCCTGATGAACCTATTCAGCTCATTTTATTGCAAGCCCAATCGTCCCAAACAACTTAAACTGCGGCATCAGTCAACTCTAACTCTCTATCTCTCTCTATGTATAGCATGTATTCTACGAGTATTCTCGTATCTTCTTTGGTTAATAAAATTATTCTCGATTAGAAATTCATAATTATCCTTCCTCATAAGTTCTTTTTCTATAGATCGAACATCTTACCTTGCCATACCATTTGAGTCGATTGTAATTCATATATCTTATTAATATTAAAAGATTAAAAACTGATAGAACTTTTACCATCACAATTATTTTTGAAAAAACTGATAAATGCTTTAGAGTTAATAACAGACAAAGTTAGCATAATTCAAAATTCCCCCATCACTTAAAAAAAAAAATAAAAAAATGCACAAATCAAACTGAAATTAGTAATTTTTATGGAAGATTACATAATAAGTTCCATGGGCGTCTCGTGCACACACACATGCACACACAAAAAGGGGAAAAAAGTGTGCAAGCATAAGCATCCCATGAAAGCAGAGAAAAAGCTAAAGAGAAATGTAATTTTATGGTTTGAAAGTTGGAGTTCGTAGCAATGAAGGGGATTATGGGTATCTTTTGCTTGGAGAAGAAAGCAAGTGAAGCCAGTTGGTTCACATGCCCAAACCAACCAATCTTTGTTGCTATTATTAGAGGAAGTTTCTTTGAAGAATGTTGGTTTTGATTCCATAGAAAGCTACTTTCTTTTATTCGATAGTTAAAACAAACTTATAAACTGGTAAAAAAAAAAAAAAAAGGGTACCATTGACGTACGTACATATAAATATACATATACGATGTCTACGTACATGAAAATGTATTTATTGGGAAGGAACAAAAAGATAAGGATTGTATAGGTTATGTTCCGTGTAAGAAATGTGGACAGCGAAGAGAAAGTTGAGTTTCGTTCGTAAGAAAAGCAAATTCATTTAAAGGGTTTTTGCAAGTTGCTGGGTCGAACCCGACAGTCGCTAAATTGGAAGGAACCTGTAATTATATGTCGCAACCCTTGGGCTCACCAGTCTGATTCTCAATCTTACGTAGACAAGCGGTATAGGTTGTTACAGCCATCACCTTAACTTTTGTGGTCCTTTAATGTCTTGTCTTTAAATGTCTTTGATGCCCAAGAATCCTGTCTTACCCTCCTTGGCAAGAAACGAATTTTCATTTTACTCTTCCTTTTTTCCATAAATTTAACCCTCAACTTTAATCGATTTTTTCTGTGACTGCCTATACTTTACACGAATTTAATAATAATAACGTATTTTCACATTTCAGTAATAACTATGTAAAAAATATAATCTTTTTATACTTATCTAATCATCTGTTGATTAATCTTATTCCTTTAATAAGTACTACAATGGATTTATATTAGTTGAATAGAAGTAATTAGCAAGTTTAGAAATTAAAAAGGTCAAAAATCAAAATAAATGAAGATATAAATAAAAAAGGAAATGATGGAATTATATTATGCACTTCAAAAGTAAAAAAATTTATCTTTATGATCTAATTCATACTTCATTTACTTGCATGTGGGGTTAATTATATGAGTTATGCATACAATTCTTTGGTTATCATGATGTTTACATGTCTATCTTCTTTTTTTTTTTTTTTTTTTTTTTTTTTTTTTTTTTTTTTTTTTTTTTTTTTATTATATTTTATTTTAAGGTGATTTGACAAATATCTATAATTAGCTTAAAATTGAAGAAATTGGAAGCTCAAATACCCTATAAACAAGTAATGACCTTTTAAAAGGCATGAACATGATTAAACTATAGAAGAGTATTTGGGTCAACTTTGAAATCCATGTCCACTTTTGAATTTCTCCACCTTTTAGTTCTAGAAATTCATTTTCATTGGATGCTTATTTGCTTGTTCATCTTCTACATATTGCTTTTGTTCAAATGTTTATTCAATTTATATCATTACAAATGGCTTTGTGGTTGTCCATATGCTTTTTTTTTTTTTTTTTTTTTTTTTTTTTTTTTTTTATATATTTATTCCTTTTATCCTAATGACATATCATTTCAATTTTTTTCCATTACTTTGAGAAGTACCTTGTGTGACTATGAATTGCTCCGACTTTAAAAATGGTACATGATGGCCTAATTAAAGGAAGGTATGATATTATATATTCATCAACACACTTTTTTTTTTTTTTTTTTTTTATTTATTTTCCTTTTATTAATGATATCATTCAATTTTTTTATTATTTGAGAAAGATTGTGACTATGAATGCTCCACTTTAAAAATGGTACATGATGCCTAATTAAAGGAATATATATTATATATACAACACACAAACACAAAGACAAAGGGGGCATGATATAGAAATGATTGGGATAAAGCACTAAGCACTAATTCTTGAATCCCCAACTTCCTATTTACTTATTTCACCTCTTTTTCATGTAATAATTATATGATAAGGTTAGGTTTCAATTTTGTTGATTCAAATTAAATAATTACATTTCAAACATTCTCATAAATTTCTCCAAATCTTATAAGTTATTTGAAAACTAGAAATCCAACTTCTTTTAAACTCTACTTGTCTCTTCAATCATAGATGTGAACATTTGGAATGTGAAATTCAATTATAGGGTATTCAAATACTTCTCAAAAAGGGTAACCCACAAAACAAATAACAATGAATAATAGAGCTAAAAAAGAAAATAAAATAAACTATAATTGTAAATGTTGTAAAATAAATTATTGTATTGCAGTATTTCTAGCAAGAAATAAATATATATATAAATAATAATAATAATAAAAAAGGATTAAAGAAGCAGAAAAACATTTTAAAGAGAAGAACATATTTTACTCAAAAGACAATAATTGCAGGCTTTGACGTTTCTCTCTTTCTCCTTAAAAACATATTCAACACCCACACGCAAACTCCTTTGACTCTCAAACAAAATTAAAAATAATAATAATAATAATAATAATAATAATAATAAAAAGGAAAGGAAAAAAAATCACAGCCGCAATTAGGCTTAAGAAACCCAACTTTTCTTTCCATACTTACTATTATACACAAGTGGGCTTTGGGCATTTGCTTGTGGGAATCTCAATCTTTCTTTTTTGAATTTTTTTAGTTTTCCAATTTAGTCCTCACTGATTTTCTTTTTTCTTTTTTTTTTTTTTTAAATAATTTATGGAAAAGGAGTTTCCCATCTCCCTACGGAATTGGGCTTCTTCATTTGTCAATGTTTGAGGCTCCAGCTTAACTAAATCTCAACTGTCCCACGTTACCCTCCATTTCTATTTTTAATTTTCCGAAACTACACCTGCTATTTTCCCACTATTACATTTATGCCATCGTTTTAAACTTTCTATTAGTTTTTGATAATATAATTAAATTGTTATAATAAATTAATCCACTATCCGATGGATAAATAATTTTTTCGCGCTTTAAAACTCTTAAATTTTATATTTTAAATATAAAAAATTCGATAGGTGTTGATTTTAAAATTGAAGTCTGCAATTATATTGAATGACGAGCGGCAATTTCTATTTGATGCGTCCAAAAATTTGAATTTTCCAATATATATATATATATATATATATGGCAAGGCAAAAACATGAAATGGCTTTTGTAGGGGTAGATTTGTCTTTTGGTAAAAATAGATGCTTGAGACGATTTCTCCATAATTTTCAATCTGATCCAAGATAGTGAGACAAGAAGATTTAGGAAATCTTGAAATGGGGCATCTCTTGAAGGTGGCATTTTTGTCAGTTGCCTTGAATCCGACGTGGGTGCCCGTCGTTTTGGAGGCAAGTAGGTCCCTTATCTTTATTCCCTTCACCCACCACATCCCCATAAGGTCACAACTATCACCTTTTTTAAATTACATTTCTACCCTTTCTTTGCCCTTTTTTCCTGTTTCCATACTCCAATCTGCATGTTTTTCAAGTAAAATCTTTTCATCCCGCGGGTAAAGTTGATATGGAGATATAATTACCACGTAGCTTTCTTACTTTTTTTTTTTTTAATTTATTGAAAGAACGAGTCGAAATAACATTCGAACAATATCATAAGAATAGATCTCTTTTTGATTCACTAAATTGATAAAAATTTTTATAATCGAGAGAATTCAAATTTATACATATCATTTTTCATATAATGAAAAGATCAACCACACTATGCATAATACAATCAAAAAGTAAATATATGTATGCGGGCGTATAGAATATTTAAAAACTAGATATAATTTATATATATATATAAGTAGATAAAAAGAATAGAAGGATGGAATCTTGTTATCAAAACTAATAAAATGTCAATTTCGGACAAATAAATACCTTTTGTACGAAATTATCAAGTTAGTTTGACACGCATCCAATGCGTGCACCCCATAACGCTATAAATCTTTTACCTTCTTTCTAGTATTATAACTTAATTAGGTCCAAACAAAAAATAAAAAAAATGATTTTTCTCATACATTTTTATTTATTTATTTTACTAAGTATTTCATAATTTGCTTAGTTGTTGCTTGAAGAATTTAATTACTAGTTTTTACCGAGTCAAACATTATCATTTTTATTTTTTTTACTTTTATTATTATTATTTTTTTAATGTTCGGACCGAGATTTATTTAATCTTTTATTCTAATTTAAATATACAAATATATTTCATTATTAAATTAAAGTGTGTATATATATATATATTTGAATTGGGTGGCAATAGAAATGGAGACAATTATGATGAAGATGCTGTGGAGGCTAACCAAAAATGTTCCCCTTAAAAGATCCTGCCTTGGATGGAATTTTTTTTCTAGTTCGTGTGAGTACTTTTTTGTACTTTTACCTTTAGCCATAAATGCAATTGGTGAGCTCCAGCTGTCATCATGACATAAGCTGACTTCACCCTTACGAGGCTGCAACCTCCTTCGATTGGGTTGGGTGTTTTCTTACGCTTATTGTTTTTCTCCTATTAAGACCAAACTACCCCTTACCGTTGCGTCCCAGTTCCAAATTGCCCTTCCTCCACCGTCCATAAATTACAATAGTACTCGACTTGCCTTTCTACGTTGTTATCAGTTATCACCTAAGCTTTGCACAAATGAATAAAAATGCTTCATTTTAGATAAAAAAAAATAAAATAATAATTTTACTATTAAAGGTATAAATTATTATTTTATAAAAAATAATAACAATTATTCTCTTATTCTTTTTTAGAACGAGTTGGCTTTTTGTTTATTGGTATTAACTAAGTTAGGGTGATAATTATACATAAAGCTAATTTATGAGAAAATTGTATATACTATGTATTTCGTAACTTCAAAATAAAATGTATTATAATATCGAAATACTTGTCAATTTGTAAATATATAATTAATTAGCAACAACCGATTGTATTTTAATATAAATTCTTTTAAAAAGGTCAAGAGAAAGAATATACAATCCTGGATATAAGATATATACAGTAACAACTAGTAAACGAAGGTTTTCTCTTTAGATGAGATAAAGTTTAATTTTGAGCAAAAAATTATTTTTGCATTAGAAAAAACCCCTCAATTTACAATGATTTCCATTAGGGTTGGAACATAAAAGATAGCTTTTCTTAATTTCTTTTGTTAATTAACAACATTCAAAACAAAAATACTTATATAATCAAATCATAAATTCAAGTCCTATTAGAATAATAAATTGTTAACATTAAAAGCACTCGAGAGAATTTAAATTTAACTTTCTATTTATAATATTGTAAGTTGAAATTCATTTGGAATTTAATTTAAAATGGTTGTGTCGGAGATTATGATCTCGAGATGTGATGAGAGATTTTTATTAATTATTACTCATTAGAATACTAGGAAGAGTGTTGCTTGTACAAGTATGACCAAATGTTTGATGGAAATCACAATCCATAATAGATTGAAAATGAAAGGAAAACAAATGGTAAGAAAAAAAAAAAATTGAGGGAGAAAGGAATAGAAAATAATATAATTTAATATACAATAGATTTAAATTTAAATTTTCCTTCCTGTGATGTTCATAAAATGCTAAGAACAGCTTTAACAGTATCGGTTATACCCATACACAAAGTTCGAACACAACTAAGCTAAAGTTTTAGATGCATTAGGTTTCGTTTAATTTTATAACTTCAACCTTTTCGTCCAAACCCAAAAGATAATTTAACAGCTCTAATAAAGTCTTAAGCTTTTATTATTATTATTAACAAAGTAGTGTCAAAAGAAAAGAGAAAGAGTTTGAGTCTTGTTTACGCCAAATGGGTCGTCCTTATTCTCAAGGACCCTTCTCGTCTCTCTCTCTCTCTCTCTCTCTCTCTCTCTCTCTCTCTTGCATATTTAGACAGCTCTAAAATAAAGATCTTAATGCTTTATTTATTATTATTACAGCAAAGTAGTGTCAAAAGAAAAGAGAAAGGAGTTTGATTGTTTTACGCCCAAATGGGTCGTCCTTATTTCTCAAGGGACCCTTCTCGTCTCTCTCTCTCTCCTCTCTCTCTCTCTCTCTCTCTCTCTCTCTCTCTCTCTTCCTATTTCCTTCTACACCCATTACTATAAAGAAACCACACTTTCCCTCCCAAATAGCCACCCACACCCTCTCTGCTCTCACCTTTTCTTGTTCTTTGTTAAGTGAGCTCTAAAGCATTAATCTTGCACATGAATTTTTAGACTTTGAGTTGAGAATTCTGGCTTCATTTTTGTTTTCTTTGGGCTAATAAGGGGTAAAAGATATAATCTTTATAAGATGGAGAAGCTCAATTTTGTTAAAAACGGTGTGTTAAGACTTCCTCCTGGATTTAGATTCCACCCAACAGATGAGGAGCTTGTAGTTCAGTATTTGAAGAGAAAGGTGTTTGCTTGTCCGTTACCTGCTTCTATAATCCCTGAAGTTGATGTCTGCAAGTCTGATCCTTGGGATTTGCCAGGTTAGAATCTTTTTTTTTTTTTTTTTTTTTCTGTATCTTTCGCACAGTCTGAATCCTTCGATTTGCCAGGCTTACGAATCTTTTTTTTTTTCCTTTTGTTATTCCTAATTTCATCTCCACCACGCACTTCAGGCAACCAAGCGTTTTTTTCTCCTTCTTTCTATCTTTTTTTTTTTTTTTTTATTTAATTTACCAAATAGAAAGCTTTTTTTTTTTTCTCCCCTTGTTTTGACAAATGGTTTTATTTTATTATCTATTTCGTGGGTTTTAGGGGATTTGGAGCAAGAAAGGTACTTTTTCAGCACCAGAGAAGCTAAATACCCTAATGGGAACAGATCTAATAGAGCTACAACTTCCGGGTACTGGAAGGCAACTGGCATAGACAAGGAAATTGTAACTTCGAAGGGTCATCAGCTCGTGGGTATGAAGAAAACTTTAGTTTTTTACAGAGGAAAACCTCCACATGGCACTAGAACTGATTGGATTATGCATGAATATCGCCTTATGACCACTGAAACCAATTCCCCACAAAAGAAGAACATAATTCAGGTGAATTTTGATTATTTTTTATTTTTTAGTTGCATTTCAAGAAAAAGAAAATTGAGTTCAATTTCAGCTCTAACGGACATTGTTAAGAGTTAATTTTGATATACTTCCTCTGTTCCATTGTTTAACAGAGTCCTTCGATGCCAATGGAAAGTTGGGTTCTTTGCCGAATATTTTTGAAGAAAAGAAGCACAAAAAATGAAGAGGAAAATGTCCAATTTGGAAATGAAAATAAAGTGCGCAAGCTGAGAAATACAAAGCCTGTGTTCTATGATTTCTTGACAAAGGAAAGAACTGATTTGAATCTTGCTCCTTCTTCATCATCTTCAGGATCAAGTGGAATTACTGAAGTTTCCTCAAATGAATTAGATGATCATGAAGAAAGTAGTAGTTGCAATAGTTTTCCTTTTTTCAGAAGAAAAGCATGACTAGAATCTAAAATATCTTCTTCCTTAGTTTTTAGTATTTTTTAGTTCTTCCCCTCTCTTCAAGTTCCTGTATCAGTAATTTGCTTCTGGTTATCAAATCAGAATAACTCATCTAAGTTATCTAATGCTTTTGTCATTAGGTTTCCTGTCTCTTTTCTGTGATTATGGCTAAACAGAAAGAGATTTATCTAAAAAAGAAAGAAAAAAAACTCAAAGAATCATTAAAAAAAAGGCTTAAACCTGTTATCATGTCCCATTTGATGATTATCTGGTAATCAAAACTCCAAGAATTTCATATTAGTTATTACTCTCTTTTCATATCTAAGAGTATATTTTCCAAAAAAAAAAAAAAAAAAAAAAAAAAAAATATCTAAGGATGTATATTTCCAAAAAACAAAAAAATAAATAAAAAAAAAAAGAAATTCTCACTGCTTTCAATTTCCCACTATCCTCGCAATTTCGATTTGCACAAAGCCCGGACGCTTAATTAATTCCCTACTAAAAAAAAAAAAAAAAAAAAAAAAAAAAATCACTGCTTCAATTTCACTATCCTCGCAATTTCATTGACAAAGCGGAGCTAATTAATTCTTTACTAAAAGGCAAATTAATTTTGAAGGGAATATGTTTTGACATTGAAAGGTGCAAAGAAGAAAGGTATGGAAAGAGGAAGGAAAGATCAGAAGAAGAAGAAAGCGAAAACGTATATATATCTTTAATACATTCTTTGCAGAAAAGAAAATCCTTTTTAGGGAGAAGAACCTAAACAAGAATAAGAATAAAGATCTTTTCAAGATTTTGCAATATCGGATACACTTTGCACATCAGGTTCTTCTCTGTTTGATCACTTTAAAGGAAAGGAAAAAATTTTACTTAGCAGAACCTAATTCCTTCTATGTCAAAATGGATCATATCTCAAAGGAAAGGATTCCTTTTCTTTTTTTTTTTAATGATGTTCCAAAAATCAAAACCATAATCTTCTTGCTTACACTTCAAATCCATGCCATTGGAAAATGGGTTTTAAAACAACAGACATTCTTGAAATTTTTTCCAAGACATTTGCTGCAAATTGTCATACTTCCACAACAATACATAAAGAAACAAGGAGAGTAGGTATTCTTTGGTGGGGGAACATGGTTAACTAAAATTTGAAATTACAAGACCGGTAGGTGAAAGTAGAAAGACTAAAACCTATATATATATAATGGAATCTTGAGCAAGAGAACAATATGCATGTGATGAAGATGGTTGGGGTCCAAGGCTATAAAGCTAATTCCTATAGCATTTTTTCAGGTTCTTGATTAAGTTTAAGGTTTTTCTAATATAAGTGATTTCATGTACCTCTTGCAAGTATTTGAAATCCATTAAGATTAAGTAGACTAAATTTTGTGCTCGATAGCTCGACCACTCTTTATATTAGTGAGAATATCGATCAAATCATATCCGATTAGCATATCGATCAAATTATTGATTATATAGTATATATTAAGAAAAATACTGGTTCAAGTTTTTGCATTTCTTAACAATGTGATTCTCCTGCTATTATCCAACTACTCTTTGGCTTTGACTTTAATCAAAGTGTTAAAACATTTGCTAATCTTATGTATTATGCTTGTAATAATACTAATAATATTCAAATAAGTTTGTCTCCTACACATGTCAGACATGCAAAGGGCAGAGACCCAGTTCATAGTTGACTCAATCAATTAACCTATAACTTTCAGAAAAAAAAAAAAAATAGTAGAACTAATTAATACTTATCAAATGATGATAATCAATTCCCCAATACTTGATGATTAGGTTTCATGCAAATTGTAAAAAATATAGTAAAACAAAACTTGCAAGGTAGTTTGTTACTAATTGTAATAGATAATGAAGGCTAAAAAGTGGGCCAGAGAACCTATCAGAGAGTGCCGAGTGGAGGCGGGAGAGATAAAGGACGGTATATAATAAACAATGTGATTATGTATAATTGAGCTAAGAACATGCCAAAACAGGAAATAATAAACAGAGAAGAAGCATAGATTAAATTATCGGAAGATAAGAAATAAAAATAAGCCGACCAGAGTTTCTTGTGACAGTGGCTTAGAATCAAAATCATCTTTAGGCTGTTGGAGTTCTTCACGTCACTTTTTATTTATTTTATTTTTATTTTATGTATAAATTTCATTTTCATGACTAAAAAGATTTTTTTAAAAAAAGGAGATTGGGTTGTGGTTTTTGTGGATTGCTGACTTGGGGCTTCAAAATTGTCAATCACGTGGACAGCCCGTCATGGTAGACCATACTATAATACCAAGGGGCAACTACAAAAACTCCCATGACATGGGGATGATAGGGATTTTTTTTTCTTTTAATTATAGATATGGAGTTACTTTAAACACTTAAAATGAATATTTTTATCCTTTTTATGAGTCCGTTCGGTGCAAATCTGAATTAATTAGAACCGTTCGGTGTGAATCCGAATTAATTACAACAGTAGAAAAAATCCTTTGGTTACTCAGCCTCACCTGAGTAGGTCAATCCCTTGCAGTACCTGACCAATCATAGAAGAAGATGGGCAATCTTGACATTTTGCAGACAGGGAATTATGCAAGTAAGTTGACTGGTTCCCAAAACCAAACCACTTTTCTTAAATTGCTGTTTTGTTCGGACAAAATTAAGTTTAAAGGAGGTTATTTTAGAGTTTGCTTAGTATCTCTGCAACAATGACTTGTGCATTATTTTAGCTATGCACTTTCAATAAGATGGGTCCATTGTTTTTAATGAAAGGGTCCTAATCCTGATCCTATGGCTAATTGCCTTCCTTCTGCAACAACCATCCGATATGGCCATCAATGTTCAATCTTTCATATTTCAATTAAATAGGAACCGAAATTTTGACAATCTCACCATCTACCTAAGATTTTATAAACAACATTCTTTGCCAAACTACTCTAAAACAATTAAAAATTTTATAAGTAGGTGGGTTATGAGTTGTGAATTAAACAACTCATCCACAGCAATTTTAGGAATTATATTCCTGAAGAGACAGGCTTCTGCCATTTTTGAGCATTAAAAGAGTATCCGATGCTGAGCTAAGTGACAGATAAGACTACCACCAACAACAACTGCTGTAGTTTCCAACTATCAGCAGTAATTACAAGAGTAAAAGTACTTTGTAATAAATACATTTCAACGTCTAGAACCGTATGATAATGTACTAATTGGAAAAAAATTTTCCTATTAACTGTTATGTATAAGACAAATGAGTTAGTACTAGTTACAAGATTGACAACTACTGAGGAATTTTCAGGGAGGCAGACATGTGAGAGTTGCGTGTAAAAGAGCAAACTTGAGGCGATATTTTCTCGAGAAAATTCATTTACTTATTCCTCAAATTCTAATAATTTGAATTTCAATCAGTCTTTTGATTTCAGCAAGCTGAAGGGGAGATCAACTGCTAGAAGGAATTTTCTAACCTTTCTTTCTTAGCTGGTTTTGGAGTTTTACGTTTTTATCCAATTTTTCAGACCCATATGGACCACAATGTCTTGTAACAAGATTCAGCTTTATCCTGCCGATTTCTAATTGGAAGATTGAAAGATTCCTGTAGGAAAAAAATGGTTGAGATTCCATCAAGCTTTCAAATTCAAAAGGGCCCTTCACAATCACTGACTCTAACCAATCCATATAATGTTCACATTAGCCACTTGAATTTCCAATCTACAAATATCATTTACTAAAAAGCTATTTACAGCTTATGGAATGACGGGTCGTTTACTAAAAAAACGACGTCTTGTAACCTTATAATTGATGGAACAACATAGACGACACGACATGTGGTTATCTTACTGGATACATTCTACTTAAGATGATACTTTCCTTGTTCTTGAGATTTTATCAGCATTTTCTAATTCAAAATTCAGAAGCTTTGGCGGACATGCTGTGAGTTGCTTGTCTTAAGTAGCATAAAGAACGCTACTTGTGTTGGGTATTTTTATTCAGACTGCAGGTTTTTGTTACCAACTTTCCATTGTAGAAAAGATTTTTATCTGAATTACAATTGAAAAGGAAAAGGACGGAATCTTTTCCTTCTCGTCCATGTAATGTAAGAAACAGAAACTCACAGTTATTTATAAGAAAAAATAACTGTTCAAAGCCATCTGCAGATCAGTTATTAATTTATTTATAAGAAAGAAAGAACATGTTCCACGTTCATCCATTTATGAGCATTTCCTACAATGCATTGACAGTCATCATATAATAATCCAGAAATTGCAATAGAAAAGAAAAAGGGAGGTTTGTGATGATTTTGAAATCCTTTATATTAGGTAATCTTATGCATGAAGATAATCAATTGGATGGCTGTGTTTGGACTCATTTATGGATTTCTGACCACGTCCTCCATTGATAGAAATTGAGCCCTGCCCATAATTTCATCATGGAAGAAGACATACAATTTACCCACAAATCAGCTTTTCGGATAATTTTCACCCCAGTTTTGTATCAAATGACAGAAAAGACTTAAACTTGTAGCCAAAAAGAATACATTAGTCTAAACTCTAATCCTAATTCGAGTTTAGAGAGTAATTAATTGTTTTACAAATATAATTTGGCATTCGGTGAAAGAGAATCTGAATGTGGAAAATTCAAAGAGTGAACTTTGGCCGTGAGACTCTTAGTTTTGTCGATTATGATATGCACAGGCCACTTGGCTTAACTTGGCAACACAAACTGGATCAGAAAGCAAAAAACAAGTGCCAACAAATTGGCTAATGGACTTTCGAGGCCATAATACAAAAATCACCGCCTTCCCTGAGCTCCCACGCGAATTCGGACATCATCTATTGCTTGTCCCTGACAATCTAAGCTGCAAGTTCCCACCATTTTCCAATAACAGGCTAACACCTCATCCGCTATATGTGTTTTACATTTGCAGCTTATATCATTTTTGTGCTACTCTTTTTCCTTATCTATTTCATTTCGGTGCACCTTTCTTTTTTATCTTATCGTGTTTTGCACTATTTAATTATTTCATGCACTCATGTCTTCATACTTCCCGTTTAAATATATAAATCCATTTTGTAATCAAAGTACTTGGTGTCGCTTAGCTATATGACCACAATTAATATTATACCTCATTTCATATTTTAGTTTTTAATCTTTATGATCACTAAACTAAAACCAGATCATACATGATGATTCTTTTTCATTTATATTTTTATTCCAATGGATGTAATAAATAATAGAATTATGGTACGGTGGTTTATATTATTATTGAAATTGAAGGGATGAGTTGTAAGAATAATACGTAGAACGTACTTCTTCAATATAATTATTATATTCCCTATCGTCGCTATCTTATTGGAGTTAGCCATTATATAGAGAGCAATCCTCACACTCCACGATCATACTGTGCATAAAACTGAGAGTAAAAAATGTGAGAGGAAAAGAAGGGAAAGGTTTTGGACGCAACTTGGAGTGGCACCATTAACACTTGGATAGGGTGGGAGTAAATGGTGCCACGCTGAGTGCGTCTAAAATACTTGCCCTTTGAATAAAGAAGGAATTGGGATTTCCATATTCAAGGGAATTTGGGGAAGGACATGGCATTTCCAAGAATTGGTTCCTTTTGTCCCTCTTTAGCTAATTGCTTTCCTGCATATTAATTCTTACAATATATTCCTAGATATTCTCTTTTCATTTTTTTTATGTTGTTTGTCTTTGTGGCTGGCTAAACTTTTCCATCCTTTCATGTTTTAGTTAGCTGCATTACCTTGATCTAGTATATGCAAATTAACCCATTTCCAATGCTTTTTAACAGGAAGTGGAAAAGATCGATTGATTTTGTGGAAGTTGATCGAGCTAATAAAAGCTTCAGCTGGGTTTTTCGCTTTTCCCACTAGTAAGTGATAAACGAGTACCAATGGCACATTCATAGACTTGGAACAATCCAGGCACAGTGTGGAACCAGCGATTCAAACCAGCGGATTTAGTCATTTGAAGTACCACTATGCTAATTTATCTTGCTGTTTTGGAGATAAAGAAAAAAAAAAAGCTGAGTTGTTTGATTATTGTAGTGGCAAGTAGGAGATTTTTTAAAGTGCAGGTCAATCCAAATTAATCTGATGTTTCTGCATGTCCAAAACCACAAAGAAGCTACGAGAATGCATAAATTTTGCTGAGCTCGTAGCTTCCAGATGGAGCAACTTCCAAAACAAACCGATAAGAATAACAGTGGCTTTCGGCTTCGCTATGTAATTCCCTTATAATATTCAACTGTTTTTTACATGTACATGCAAGTCTTTCCCGATATAACTTGACGAGCTTCTCTTTATTATTGTCCTATTATTTTTTAATTGACAGAAAATTCATTAAAAAAATAAATTTGCTTTTTAGAAACTGAAATTTAAATTAGTTGGGGCCCATAGTAGGCCAACAACCGGAGCCCGTTCATCATTGGGCTTATGGCCCTCTTTTAATTATTCGAAATAACACTTGGAGTGAGATTTAGTGGGTGCGCCGGGCCCTTGCTGTAGTGCAACGCATGGACGACGCTTAAGAACCCCAATAGCAAGCTACTGTAATGGGCCCTCCCCAATAAAAAATTAATTTAATATCGTGTAGGCCATTGGCCTACGTATCAGATATTAAACTGATAAGAACAGATACTACACTTGATCTTAGCCAAAAGGCCGAGAAAGGTATGCTTTGGTTAGTATCTCGGGTTGCTTTCTATAGTCTCCATTTCTAGAAGTTAATTGAAGCCTGGCGATGTGGGATAATTTGTACACCGCATGCAGCATTCCTGCCCTTTCCTCCTCTTTCTCCAATTGTTCATAATAAAACTTACTATTATCAACTATTATTAAAATTTTCTATGGTTAGATAGAAAATAACATTATCCTAATATGCTTTGCTTCTATGTGATAGAATTCATGATCATTAATTGAGAAAATAAAAATTATAGTCTTCAAAGATAGTTGTATTTTTTTTTTTTTTTTTTTTTTTTTTTTTTTTTTTTTTTTTTTGTAACTTATTTATAGAAATAAATTGTGTAAATTGAAATTTAATTAAAAAAATATACTTATTGCTTATTTTAAAATGTATTATTCCATTAGTATATTTTTGAAAAGCGAATTATTATCTTTTTAAAAGAAAAAAAAACAAGAATTGTTGAATATGGTATACTATTCGGAATACAATTCATACACTGGCCAAACTTACCAACCCTGGCTTTTCCTAACCTGTGGTAGTAGTTGGGCACGCTCTGTGTTCTCCACCGCAATTCAAAATTGAATATTCTAAGACCTTATTTGTCAACTACAAAGTACAAACAGTATTAACGTCCTCAAAAAACAAAAAAAAAATGTCGCCTGTATACATTTCTCAACCTTAAGGTCCTTATAATTACAATCATGTCCCCGCGGCCACCGCTTTTAACGCTTAACACTGTTCGATTGTAGTCTGGAGAAACAAACATCAACCATTCGATCTCCCATCATTTTTTTTCCATACGACAGGACTTCCCTAGTTTTGCTTTCACTGGATCTTTCCCCTCAAGTCGCAGTTGTACTCCACGGAATAATAGCTTTAATAAAGATGCCAACTTTTTTTTAAAATAAATATATATAAATATAGAATATTATAATATATTATATACTAAAGAAAAAAAAGACAAAAGAGTAGTGAGGAAGTGGTGGGTGATCGGTTCATTGGTTGCCACTTTCAACTCGGTTATCGGATCCGATCATATTCGATCTCTCCAATAAGGTATGTACTTTTTTTCGGTTCTCTCAACCCTATAAATATTATATATATATATATAAAAAAAAAAGAAAAAGATCAGTGAAACTGAAGAAGTGGTGGTTCGGTTCAATTGGTTGCCACTTCAACATCGGTATCGGATCCGATCAATATTCGATCCTCTCCAATAAGGTATGTCTTTTTTTCGGTTCCTCTTCAACCTCTGATTAGATGTTTAGTGATTCTCTTTTCTCATCATAATCGTCTCTTGTTCGACCACAAAATCTAGGTCTTCTGGAACTGGAATTTTTATTTATAGTCTTATATGTTAGAACTTAATTTTCGGATTTGTTGCTCGATTAACTTTATAGCTACGTCAGGTTGTGACTTTTTTTTCTTAATTATCATTATGGAGTTAGTATTGGTTTTGATTGTTGTTGATTTGTTGCTTGGTGCAGTATTTGAGTGAAAGAAGAACAAAAATATGTTGGGGATTATAAGGCAAAAAGTGAGTGCTGGAGGCTATCCGCTTCTGGTATTATGGCTTATTGTTGTTTATGAAACTTCAAGTTATATCTACTGAGTTTTCACTTTTTTTTCTATGATTTTTGATTAAATTATTGCAGGCTTTTGGGCAGTCCCTGCAGAGGATTCGGCCGGCTGCGTCAGCATGGAGAGGTTACTCATCCGCCGGAAAAGAGGTAAAAAGGATAAAAATAAAAATGAGGTTCTTCTGTTTCATTTGGATTTTGTCTTGTTCAATTTGACTTTGCTTAGCTTAATTGCTTAGATCTCCTTTAATTACCTTTTTTTATTTAAGTCAAGTCTCAGTTTGCCAGAAACAATGAGATTTAGCGTTTTGTGAAAATCTAACTGTATGCAGATGACAGTTAGAGAAGCACTGAATTCTGCTCTTGATGAGGAAATGTCTGCTGATCCTAAAGTATTTTTGATGGGAGAAGAGGTGAGAATAATGATAACCAGAAATGGTATTGTATTTTTTTTGGTTTTTGTTTCTCATGCACATTTATGTCTATCAATCGCAGGTTGGGGAATATCAGGGTGCATATAAGGTCAGGACTTTTTCATTAGTAACCATATAGATATGGTTTTCAACGTTTGTCAAGGTCATCAATTGCTTTTTCACATTTCTGATGAATAGCTTTCTGCTTCTTTTTATAGATATCTAAAGGGCTTCTGGACAAGTATGGTCCTGACAGGGTTCTTGATACACCAATTACTGAGGTTACTTTTGTTTCTTGATTTTACTATGATTCTTATGATGTTTTGTTTTTGTTCCTTGGATATACTTGTTTCCTTACCATCATCTGTATTTCTTTTGTGTTTATTAGGCTGGATTTACTGGTATTGGAGTTGGCGCTGCTTACTATGGTCTGAAGCCAGTTGTTGAGTTTATGACTTTTAACTTCTCAATGCAGGTTAATATGTTCCATTCTGTTAGATTTATCTAGTTTGTCAAGGCTTTGTGCAAGGAGAATTTATAGTTTAATCATGTAGCTGTTCTGAAGTTGATGCATTTTTATTTTCTCTGCCTTCTCTTGAATGCAGGCGATTGATCATATCATTAATTCTGCTGCAAAATCAAACTACATGTCTGCTGGCCAGATAAATGTGCCCATTGTTTTCAGAGGACCTAATGGTGCTGCTGCAGGAGTTGGTGCCCAACACTCTCAAGTATGTTTACTCAGGATTTTTTTCCATCTTTCAATTTTACGTCCATGTGTGTGTTTGTTTGTTAATGTATGCTTCTTACTTTTCTTGGGATGAAAAATTATCATGTCCAGTTCCTTCAGATGATTGATTCATAGAAATTTGCTACCCTATTAAAATAAAACCTGACATAGGTGTCCTAAGGCTTGAAGTATAGATTGTCTTGCCCAACTCTAGAGGCAAAGTTGGTACTTGGTTTATGAAAAGACATTTGATGATGCATCGTCTCGATTGTTTTGCAGTGTTATGCTGCATGGTATGCCTCGTGTCCCGGGTTGAAAGTGCTAGCTCCTTACTCATCTGAAGATGCCCGTGGACTTCTGAAAGCTGCCATAAGGGATCCTGATCCTGTTGTTTTCCTTGAAAATGAGTTATTGTAAGCCAATTTTCATAAATGATGGCAGGTGTTTTCTGAATGTATTTAGAGTATGTTTAATAAGCGACTGTTGATAAATGTATCATGCTTCAGATATGGCGAATCATTTCCTGTTTCAGCTGAAGTACTTGACTCCAGTTTTTGCCTTCCAATAGGAAAAGCCAAGGTACTCATCCTGATGCTTATTCTTCTCAATATCTGTACACTTAGGCATTGACTTAATTATGCTTATTCTTCTATCAACATAAGATCTAAATTGTGTACTTTCCTCAGATTGAGAGAGAAGGAAAGGATGTAACCATCACAGCCTTCTCAAAAATGGTGGGCTATGCTCTCAAGGTTTGTTTCCATTCTTTTAACTCTTCATACGGAATGTGCATAATTTGCATCTGTTATTTTGCATTTATGTTTCATGAAAATTAGATTTAGCAGGTAGGTGCACAAGCACAGCTGTTATCATGAAGATTAAAAAAATATATTTGCAGAATCTAAATTTGAACTACACTAGAAAATTTGCATCATATTTTAAGAGAAGCTGAAGTAAAATTTGCTCAGGACTTAATTATGTTGTGTTGTTAAAGGCAAAATGGGTAGAAAGAACACAACTCTATATGGCTTGAGCAACAGGGTTCCAGCAGCTAGTGAGATTCCTGTGGCTTAATCAGCGAGGCTTATTGACTGCCCGAGATGTGGCAGTCTCAGTGTTCAGTTTCCAAAAATGTTGTTAGGACCTGAATCTTCAGACCTAACTTTAGTGTTTGCCTTAGAAGAAAATCACAGAAAAAGATAGGAGGATGGGGAGGTGGAGGGAATGGGAGTAAGGAGAAAAGGAAGTGAAAGAAATCTATAATAGGATTCTCTTGTCATGATTTGGACCAGTTCTTCAGAACTCATATGATATTCTATATTCCCTAGACCATTCTAACTGATCTCCCTAACTGACTCTTATAACAAAACTGATTTGTTTGTTTGTTGCACAGGCAGCTGAGATACTTGCAAAGGAAGGAATCAGTGCTGAGGTAAATGATCCTAAAAGAGAATGATGGTCTTATAAATCATTGTAGTTCTATATCTGGAAAGTGCTAATCTTGTTGATACAGGTCATAAATTTGCGCTCAATTAGGCCACTAGATAGACCCACAATCAATGCTTCGGTCCGGAAGACCAACAGACTGGTGACGGTCGAAGAAGGATTCCCTCAGCATGGTGTTGGGGCTGAAATCTGGTTTACCCCTTTCCTCTAATATCTTTAACATCTGGATTTGAATCATGGTGGTCTTGTGCATAACTGTGAAATCTTTTTTTTTCTTTCAAACAGCACATCTGTTATTGAGGACAGCTTTGGTTATCTTGATGCACCAGTTGAAAGAATTGCTGGAGCTGATGTTCCAATGCCCTATGCTGCCAACTTAGAGAGAATGGCTGTACCACAGGTTCAATTTTTATCTTGATTATTTTGGTTTGAGCATCTACTGCATTAACATGCTTGCCACTGTGAATGTTTATATTCAACTAGTCTTTGAAGCTGCTGTTGCTGTAATTATGTTTATTATTTTTAGATATTTAGGAGGGCCATATATTTAGGTGATTTTTTTTATTTTTGGCTTTTTGGCCTTTGCAGGTTGAGGATATTGTCCGTGCAGCAAAGAGAGCTTGCTACAGAGCTGTACCATTGGCTGCAGTTGCTTAATCATATTGATTTTGATCAGAAACCTTGTTAAACCCGGGTTAGTTTGTTGTATTATCCTTTTTAAATTGCTTTTGCAATGTTCTTTTCCCATCCCTCCCTTTGTTTTTATCTTTTCATTTCTTTCCTTTTTCTGTCCCTCACTTTTAATTTAATTTTCTCTACTGTAAGCAATATGGCCCTTTTTTCCCCAGGAATGTAATTTTTTTGCCCCTTCTTGACACATTTGAGGAGGAAGACCTTGTTGAATAACTCGGAGAATGTTGATGGCTACTGAAATTTTGTGGTCTATGTTTGTCAAATTTGCTTACCTGATACAGACCTGTTTTATACGGAGTCAAAATTTAAATTTACATTTGGTTTTTTATATGTTGCATTCATTTTTGTAGAGGTTTGTCGGCATTTTGAAGATCATCTTCAAAGGATGTGTTGTTCAATTCACACGATTTTGTTCTGAGATTGATACTTTAACTTCTCGGAGCAACGCTGTCTTTAGGTCATTAGACATGCAAAAAATCGATGCAGCGTACAGTGACAAGTATTTATCAAGTAGAATGAACGTTCAATAGCAAGAGCATTAAAAAAATTTCGTAAGGTCATCTTCACTGTTGATATGCATGTGCATGTACACAATTTTTGTTGTCTGAGTTTTTACGTTAGAACAACGATTGATATGCAGCCCGACGGCATGTCTGGAGAGACTTGAGGAAATTAGGGTTTGAAAGTCTTAGATAGTGGTCAGGGTTGCTTGTTTGATTGTTATTTCGATGACTTCCTTTACCGAAAGTTGGAATTGAGTTGTCCTCATTTGATCAACTTCATTCTCTGTATGTTTCTCAAACTTTCCCACGCCACATCTCCTTTCGCCAGAAACTTCTTTTTTCGTATCTTTCTCTTGACTGAGAGCCTTTATACTCTGATAAGTCGCCTTTCTTCATGGGAACATGTACTTATGAATAATTATTATTCAATTCAAATTATAATGATCTTTTTAATTAACCATAATATTTAATATTTATTTATACATACACGGACAATATACAATAAAGAAAAAGAGCTTTCTCTGCCACCTCTTCAGGTCATGGACCCCAGCGTTTACCCACAAATATTCAACAAAAAACTGAATCAATAATTGATTTGATTGAAACATCTTTCTTAATTATTCAAGTTAACATTATGAATATTTCCATGAAAAAGACATGGATATGCAATGTGTATATCGGAATAAAAATCAATATTTATTTACTAATGGAAAAAAATTCTAAATACAGACGCTGCAATATTTGAATTTGTGACAAAAATGGGAAAAAGAAAAAGCAAGAAAAATCTATACATCTTGAACTGACTTTGACCAGCTAATGAATAAACATTGAAAAAAAAAAAAAAAACAATTGCCTACTGTTAGAGGCATTAACTAGGAAGGATTACTTTTCATGATGTGAACATAAATTACTTCAGTGGCTGGAAAACACGTTTTCAGGACTAGAGAAAGTGTAGGTCTTTTATCATTTTCCGTCTGGTCTTCTGCCGTTTTTGTTAATTTCGACAACTGAATTTTGAAGCTTTTGAATTCAAAAACAAACAAAATTAATCAATAATCCTCCATATTTTAATCACTAAGAAAAATCAACTCAACAAATTAATGTTATTTTAGCATTTAAAACAAATTAAATAATGTCTAAATGTGATCTTTATTCTTCGAATCACAAAAATAAATCATATACTACTACTTACTAATTAATTTAAACATCATAATCCTGATTAAGCTATAACTTAAAAATTGTATTATGTTGTCTTTATTTTTTATAATTCGTTTGTTTGTATATATATATATTCCATGATCACCAATTTAATTTTCAACACTATAGGTAAGGATGAATAGGATGTGTGGGACCACGCGTAGAGGAAAATTTTAATGGACCGGCTAATAACATTCATGGTGATTTATTAAGATACCTTTGCTAGTATTTAAAAAAAAAAAAAAAACCGTTCTGGTAGGTCCAAAACCATTATTAAAGGACGAGTCAGAGATTTTGTAACTCAATAAGAAAAAAAAAAAAAAAAAAAAAATATATTTATATAATCCCATGCCTCACCAATTTAATTTTCAACACTTATAGGTAAGGATAATAAGGATGTGTGGGAAACGCACGCGTAGAGGAAATTTTAATGGAACCGGCTATAACATTCCATCGGTGATCTTAAGTTAAGATACCTTTGCTAGTATTTAAAAAAGAAAAAACAAAACCGTTTCTGGTAGGTTCCAAAACCATTATTAAACGGACAGAGTCACGGAATTTTGTAACAAAAAAAAAAAAAAAAAAAAAAAAAAGGAAGTCAATTCTTCATTCTGTTCTGTTGATCAAACAGCATTAATTTATTTTTGTTACTTATGAATTAAATTACATTACACGTTAGCTTCGCTAATAGCTGACCTAACTTTGTTTTTTTTTTTTTAAATATTAGCACCATTAATTTTATTTGTAAAATTACATGTATTAGATATTCCAATTTATAAATTACATTTATCTAATTAATAAAATTGTAAAAATCAATAATTTATATTAAAAAAATATGTAAAATATCAAATTTGCCACACATCAAATTGTCATTGTACAAATATATTAAGCATCAATATTTTTTATTCATTGAAAAATTCAAGGAACCACAATAATACAGTGAAACATATATACAATATAGACAACTCTTATATTAAATAATCGAATTGGTAAAATTTTTATGAACAGTAAGAAATATTTATAAAAATGTTTAGTTTGACTTATAAGTAAAGAAAAAAAAAAAAACAGGTAATATTCCCTCATGATTTTCTTTATCTATGTTGAAAATAGCCTTTGACAAAAAGAAATTATATTACCTACCCTCAAAAAAGACAAAAAAAAAAAAAAAATATTACCTAAGGATTTTGAAAATTACCAACATTACTCTAATTTTAATCAACATTAGATTTTATGACAAATTATATTATGTTTAAATATTTATTTATTTTTTTGAAATAGATTCAAATATTTATTTAGCCAAACAATAATATACTTTTAAAATTTCACAAAAAAAAAAAAAAAAAAATTTCACAGAAGAAAAAAAAAAAAAGAAAAGATCGCAAAACCTTTATCCATGCAAAAAAAAAAAAAAAAAAAAAATCCAAAACCTTATCCATGCCGCACCGTTTCACTAAGATCTCTCATTAATAGTAGTAATAACTGCAGTAAGTCGGTAACTTATAGCATTCCTCTAAGTAGAGGTGGTGAATTCTAATTCGACCATGGACCATAATTATATATATATATATATATATATACACACTACTTTTAAGAAAAAACAAGAAAAAGAAAAAGCAAAAGAAAAAACATGCAGAAGAAGAAGATAAGAGAAGGAAGAAACAAGGAAGTCAAGAAGCAACAATTGTCCAAAAATTTTTAAATTTAATTTAAATGAGAAAATATGGTGAGATTTATATATTTGCTGGGTCAGGGATCTTATATTTGCTGGTGACGTAACCAGGGGGAGAGAGAGAGAGAGAGAGAGAGAATGTATGTAGCCTGAGGAAGATATTGCCATTTTTCGTTGATTCATAACAATTCCTTTCAATTTCAGCTTCTCCATCATTTCTTCCATTTCAATCTGATTCTCTTTATCTTTCCGAGAAAGGAAAGGAAAGGAAAGAAAATGAGAACGTCTTTCAGGAAATTGCGAGGATTCGCACTTCGACATGGTGACCACAAGGACCGAAGAGAATATCGCCCTTTGACTTTGTTCAACGAGCTTGATAAGGCTTCTCAGGTACACCTCCATCTCCATGTTTGGTTGCTCAAACGAAAAGAGATTTGAATTTTTTAACAACAGGCATCACCTCTTGTTCTCGCTTTCTTCATTTTCTAGCGAAGCGATTTCTCAGATACCAAACTTGATGTTCGCGTGTCACTCTTTGTTCAGTATAAGCAGGGACCTTGTTAGAGTACAGAATTCTTAGTGCTTGATAAAATTCTTTTCTGTTTTTGAAAAATTTTATTTTGCTTAATCTCTTTTCTATGATTTGTTCAAATAGATAACTTCTAATTTGGTCAGTGCTATGAAAAGTATTGAAATGATTGATTGCTCACTAATTTCGTTGGTTTTGTTTCCTAGGTATAATTGGAAGAGTCATGATTGCTTGCTGTAATTAACCATTATTCAGAACTATTAGCTAGAAGTGTGTTGGTGGCTTATTATTGTATCTAGTGATGATTAAAAATTAATTATCTGTTTTTTGGTCGCTCGCGTTTTGTAGTTCTACTGTACTGACTGCTCAAGCAGTGCCAATAACCTAGCTGATTTTCTTTTTTCTTAGGACATGGAGGACATGAGAGATTGCTATGATAGCTTACTTTCTGCAGCTGCAGCAACTGCTAACAGTGCCTATGGTACTATTTCTATTCTTTGCAGATCAGAATGACTTATCAGAATTACGCTCCTCTTGATGTTTCCCATTTAGCAACATTTTTCTAATTCTTCATTTACACCTTTAGGCCCCATAAAAAAAAAAAAAAAAAAAAAAAAAAAAAAAAAAAAAAAAAAAAAAAATTACACCTTTTAGGCCCCATAAAAAAAAAAAAAAAAAAAAAAAAAAAAAAAAAAAAAAAAAAAAAAAAAAAAAAAAAAAAAAAAAAAAAGAAAAGAAAAAAGATGTTGCAAACTGCATGCTTTTGTTGCATGCACAAAAGCTCTTACCAACTTATCCTTCTTGATAGATGCCATTTATGCAGCTGTCTGCATAATAATGGGTTACCAATGTTGCTTCGGAATTTTTAGTGAACCTAATAATGGAATTTCATTTGATAGAATATCCTTATATGACAACATTCTGAATATAGAAACAAATGCTATGTCTTAAAAAGCCTAGATTATCAAGTTGTATCTAAAGGCAACACTGGAAAGGCTGTGATTGCATTTTAGCACACCAATTCACTATCATGTAAGGAGAGAGAATGAAAGAGACAGAGGGAGTTCTCCTATTTTGAAGTAAGACCATATGAAATTTAAATATTGTGTATGGGTGTACGTGTCTCCTGGTGGTACCGCTCATGGGATTTTGTAGTTTATGCAAGAATTATTTTGTGCATGAACGAAGGTTAAACAGCTAAGCAAGCTACACAACCATTTAGGGAAACAAAATCAAATTTAGCGGCAAAAAGAAAACCCACAGTTTCTGGCTTTTGAACATATTACATTCTCCATAGTTGTTGTCCTGTTGATAATTGTTAACAAACAACTTCGATGGAGTTTTTGTTTATACCTGCATAAGATACAACTGAAGCCAAAGAGTTGCACAAGATTGGTGACATGATACTAATGTTTGAGTATTTCTCTATGTTGTTTGAAACTAAAATTTTTCTTGCATTTAAATTAGATGTGGAAGCTTGGTCTTTGTGCATGTTGCACCATATGAGTTGGGATGGTAAACCCAATATATTCCTAACATTTCCAATTCTCATATTTTGCATGGTCTTTGTGGTGTTTGCTTTTCCTGAAGACTGATATTTTGATGATTTCTTTCAGTATTAGTTCATATTACATTATTATTTGTTGGTTGGAAACTCTTTCATTATGTTTAAATATCTAGCACCTGAATGGAATAGAAACAAAGGATTCATATAGCCGTTTTCAACTTGTTTGGAATTAAAGCATAGTAGTTGTAATTTTTTTTATAGTTCTGCCATTAGTATAATGATATTATGCAATTCAATTGTGCTCAGAATTCTCAGAATCATTGCGTGAAATGGGTGCTTGTCTGCTTGAGAAAACTGCGTTGAATGATGATGAAGAAAGTGGTAAGTTAAATGAAAACTTTTACCAGCATGCTTCTAGTTACCTTTGCTGCGAAGTTTGAAATGCTTTATCCAAGACTTTGGCATCTCAAATGTGGACTGATTTATTTTTCATGATATTACTTCCATAAACTGAAACAGGATAGTGTTAGAAGAGATTTGTTATTGATGGTGATTTGTTGTCCTCTGCAGGTAGGGTATTAATCATGCTGGGAAAAGTGCAGTTTGAACTCCAGAAACTTGTCGATAGCTATGTGAGTTCTTGTCATGAGTGGGCTATTATTTATCATCTAACTTTATGGGGCATAGTAACAAAGTGTGGATTTATATGTTTCAGCGTTCTCACATATTCCAGACGATTACAATTCCATCAGAGTCTCTTCTCAATGAACTTCGAAATGTTGAGGTATGTTTCTGGATTTCTTTGATACTTGTTCCTATAAGTCTATATGAGTTAAAATGGTGTTTGTTCTTTTATAAATCGTCAATCGTGTGACAGTTGTATATGTGGTAATCAAGTGATCATACATTTCTATTTTGTTATGTTCTTTTTTTTTTTTTTTTTTTTTTGTTATTCTTCTTTTTTGGCATTTCTTCAAAATTCTCAGAACTTATGCCTCTGCTTCCTTTTTTTTTTTTTTTAAACAAGTGGATCATACATTTCTATTTTGTTATGTTCTTTTTTTTTTTTTCTCTTTTGTTAATTCTTCTTGTTTTGGCTCATATTCCTTCAAAATTCTCTACAGAAGCTTATGCCTCCTGGCTTCCCTTGTTTTTTTTTTTTACAATCGTGGGCTAACAGGGTTCATCTCCATGTATTCATTGCTAAGTAAACATTAGAATTTGAGATTTAACTATAGAGAATTGGCTGGTGGACAGCTCAAGATGGATAAATATCGAATTCTGGATATTATTCCTATGGGAAAATTAGTCACTGAGGAAATTATTTATTAGAAATTTCTTTAACATGTGAAATATGTGAGCACAAAAGAAATCTATGCATTTTCTGAAAGGGCTTGGTATGTGTTGAGCTTTATTGGCTTGTTTCTTTTAGTTGAAGGAACTATTAAGAGGCAGCATTGGTTGTGAGTGGCTCAGGCAGTGAATGAACTTACATTTGGGCTATACTTTGAGGTAAAGATATTGGATCAGTGATTGAAAATTTTACTTATCCATTTGTTTTTTTTTTTTTTTTTTTCTTTTGTTATTCTTCTTTTTTGGCATTTCTTCAAAATTCTCAGAACTTATGCCTCTGCTTCCTTTTTTTTTTTTTTTACAATCTGGCTAAGGGTTCATCACATGTATTCATTGCTAAGTAAACATTAGAATTTGAGATTAACTATAGAATTGCTGGGACAGCTCAAGAGTGGAAAATATCAATTCTGGATATTAGTTCCTATGGGGAAATTAGTCACTGAGTGGAAATATTTATTAGAAATTCTTTAACATGTGAAATAGTGAGCACAAAAGAAATCTATGCATTTTCTGAAGGCTGGTATGTGTTTGCGATCTTTATTGGCTTGTTTCTTTTAGTTGAAGGAAAGCTATTAAGAGGCAGCATTGGTTGTGAGTGGCTCAGGCAGTGAATGAACTACATTTGGGCTATACTTTTGAGTAAAGAATTGGATCAGTGATTGAAATTTACTTATTCCATTTTTTGAACGTAGTTCCATGTAGTTCTAAAAGAAATGTTGGCATGTTCTCTGGCCTAAGTTTGCCAACAATTATGTTAACTCTTTATGGGTGTTATGGACTCCTTAGACTTTTTGGAAAACCTTATAGGAAATTTTGATGGTTTTGTTATCAAAGTGAAATGTTCAAGCATCTGAAAGTGCTCCTTTTCCCCTTAATTTTTAATTGTTCAAGGCCCACTGGAGTTTGAATGTGTTCTTCTTTGTCTTTCAAAAGCTTTTTTAGAATTTCTATCCTTGGAAACTGCTCCAACTTTTCCTCGTTGCACATATTTTCTCGCTCAAATTAATTTTCAGCTAAGTTTGGTCTTCTCTGCTTATTCAGGAAATGAAGCGACAATGTGATGAGAAAAGGTCCTTACTAACCTTTATAACACCTGCTTAACTCACATACGACACGATCCCCACAATATTCAAGCATAGAATTGATGTAGATATCTTCTCATTCTGTTGTTTGATCTACAGAAGTGTTTATGAGTACATGATAATGAGGCAAAGAGAAAAAGGAAGGGGAAGAAGCGGGAAAGCAGATGGTTTAGCTATGCAGCAGTTACAAACAGCTCATGATGAATATGATGAAGAGGCAACCTTGTTTGTTTTTCGACTGAAATCCCTAAAGCAAGGGCAATCTCGAAGTCTTCTGACACAGGCAGCACGGCACCATGCTGCTCAGGTTCTTCTTCTTGTTCTTACTTTTTTTTGTCCTTACGAACAATTGTTTATATGGCTTCTTCCTGGCTGAAAACAGTTGTGCTTCTTCAAGAAAGCTCTTAAATCCCTTGAATCACTTGAACCACATGTAAAATTAGTCGCTGAACAGCAACATATAGATTACCTCTTTAGTGAACTTGAAGATGATGACGGGGATGACGATGATGATGATGATGATGAAGAGGATGATGATGACAATGTTGACAACGACAATGACACCCATGATGGAACTGATGATGGGGAGCTGAGTTTTGACTATGGACAGATTGATCAGGAGCAAACTGTTTCTACATCAAGAAACTCAATGGAGGTAATAGTTTAGTGTATTGTTGCTAAAGGGAAGCTACCAGGCCTTTGGGTTCATTTATTTCTAATGAACTCTGCACGAATGTGATAATATGCATAATGTGTTATTTTTGATATCGTGGACAAAATTTGAAAAGAAATGTTGCTTAAGTTGATGACCTTTCTCTCTCTCTCTCTCTCTCTTTGATGAGTAAAATTTGTAGACTTAAAGTTATTAGCATGCAAATTTAGAATTCTAGGTTTAGCCTTTTAGTCTTACCCTGTTGATATTGAAATTCCAGAGGTTTAAGAAATTTTAGCTTCGTGCAAAGGATGCAATATACTGAATCTTTTAGTCTTAGAATCTTGTATCACATGTCATACAATATATTAAATAAATTTGTAGTAATGAAGTTTTAGCTGAATAAACCTGTGGAGAGCAACAATGAGAAGTAATAACGTTTTTCTTACAGCTACCTTTATCAAGAAGTTAAAAAAAATCCTTTGCTAGCATTTTATATTTGTTGTTTGTGCACGAGTGCCATATTTTTGGGCATGCTTTTCTTTATAGTTCCCAGGTGCATCACCTCTTTAGCGCACACTCTATACAATTTGGGCTTCATCTTACTGTGACATTTTGTGCAGTTGGATATGATGGATGTTACATTTCCCCAAGTTGCAACAGTAGAAGCAGCAAAGGTAAAAAGAAATTGCTGTAATTTTTTTGTGTTTGGTACGGAAAGGGCATTGCAGTTCTGCTCAACAGAGACCTGTCAATGGATATGGATAGGCTGGAACTTTCCTTGTTACCATCCTTGTACTTGAACTGATGGTGACGACGAAATGAATTGCCTTGAAAATCTAATTACAGGTTAAACGAATAATTAAGAAAATAAATAAACTATAATGCATAATTTAAAATAATATCAATCTTTCCTAAGTTTTCTGTGACGAAATAATTTGGAATGGGATTAGTTCATGCACGTATTTATGCATTTATTTACTCTGTCAGACCACTTGATAATATCCTGCACTAAAGCATCTTTTAGCATTGGGGCCTTTCTGCAACATTGAGATTTATGTTTCTGTTGGATTTGCAGGAAAATCAAGATAAAAATGTCAGGAGATCTTTTTCTTTTAGGGGAGAAACTAGAGTAGGCAGTCAATCAGCTCCACTTTTTGCTGAAACTAAACCTGATCCAGCTAAAAGGACAACAGAGATGAGGCCATCATATACAAGAAAGTTCAACACTTATGTACTGCCTACCCCAGTTGATACAAAGTTCTCAAATTCTACTGTTTCGGGCAGTCTAGTTCCTCAAACATTTAACACAAGTTTGAGTAGACGCAATTTGTGGCATTCATCCCCTTTAGAACCACAGAAATATGAAAAACTAATAGGGCATGAGAAATTTCCTTTAACCACTATTAAGAATGCGAAGTCAGTACTTAGGGAAAGCAACAAGACTACTCCTTCCATTCGTCTACCTCCTCCTGTGGCTGAGGGACTCTCAATTTCACGGTCAGATTCCAAGAAAATCAAAAGATATGCCTTTTCCGGTCCCATCACAAGTAAGGCATGGCCTTCCCAACCATTTTCAGCGGAGCCTCCTGGATTGTATTCTGGACCTTTGCAGAAGCCAAGGGTGCAACTGGTATCATCATCTCCTAGGGTGTCTCCAAAATTATCTCCTCCAGCTTCCCCTACTTTTTTGTCGTCGCCTAAAATAAATGAGCTTCATGAGCTTCCTAGGCCCCCATCCAAGTCAGTCTCCAAGTCTACGAGGCCTATGAATTTGGTTGGTCATTCGGCTCCTTTGGTTCACAAAGGTCAAATGCATCATACAGGTACAACATTGGTGCCTAAGGTCGCATCTCCATTGCCTGTGCCTTCTCAGGCTATTACACGCAGTTTCTCCATACCATCCCACAGTCCTCGAGCAATGGAATTGAATAGGCCAGAGGAAACTGCTCAGAATTTGGAGATGGCTGAAGAAATGTCCTCACCTCCTTTGACACCAATATCTTTATCTAACATCCGGCCTTCCTTAACTGTTTCTGAGAATGTCAATCAGACTATTCAAATTAGAGGTAATTCAGTATCTGATACCTTTGTATTTTTATTTTAGTTTCAGATAAGTTATGATCGTTGTAGAGGAGGGTTTTTTTTGGTAATTAAAATGGCTAACTTGCGCATAAGCTAAACACTATACTTTTCACGAATTGTGGTGCTACTAGGGTTGTTCAATGTAAATGAAAATATACTACCTGGGAGGGCTTTGAAAATTGTGTTGTGAGCTGAAACCCATATATAGCCATCCAATCTGAAGAGAAGTCGGCTTTCCTGTTGTTAAAATTCTTTCATCATGCGCATGTGAGTGCGTAAGTGCATGTGAGTGCGTAAGTGCATGTGAGTGCGTGAGTGTATGTGGGTTTACATGTGAAAATCGCAGTTTAGTGTGCTGTCAAGGCAATGTTGCTCTGATTCTTCGTGTTACCCTAATGTGGCTAATTTTGGAATGAAATGGGTGTGATTCCTAAAATACTCAAATAGAAGAAAATGAAAGTAAAACATTAGCAATGTACTACTTAGATAATAAGAGACCATAAATGCATACGATGGCTTGATGACAGATGTAAAAATGCTTTAGTCAAATCTTTATGGCACTGGTTTTGGGCGGGGTAGGGGGATGGTGGGTACTTGTTGATATTATTCTAGAGAATTACCAAAATTGTGTGTTTGAATATAGGGAAGGCACCTATAAAACTTATCATTCTATGTTCATCTTGAATTGGTATTTCTGGGTTGTTATTCCCTTACAAGATTAGAAGAAACTTGTTTGGGGCTTTTGCTCAATATGTTAGATCATCTCTCATTTGTGGGGGATTTAAGAGCAGGCATCTTTGATACGTGCACAAATGTATACACACACAATATGCATGGGCAAATGCACACACAACACGGAAAACCAAGAATTTATCTGTTAACTTTGTAGTCAGTCCTATTCAACTACTTTGTAGCTCTTTTTGTATCTTGGATTATGTAATATTTTTCTGATTCTAAATTACATATTTGTATACAGGTGCAGATTGATTTCATTTCTTGTGGCAATAATTTTGTTCCTAATTCAGCATCAAATTCTAAGATTCTCTCATCATCTGGTACAGTTGCAGATCTGTAAATATACTGCCTATCATTTTGTTTATCATTTTATCTCTCTTAATCCATTTCTTAATTTTTATGATGAGCACCTGGCATCATTTAAATAACTGATTGCCTTGATGTTTCATTAGTGAAGAAATTTTGTACTTTCCCATAATAGCCAAATTCCTTCCCTTTTATTTGAGACCAGTGTTGCGTTGCCTTCTAATTGATCGTTGCCTTCTAATTGATCTTTGATGGTGACAAGTATCATTCTTTGATTCTTATGAAATAAAAAAAAAAAAAAATTAAACTGTCTCCCCCTCTCTTTCCGGTGGGATCCATCCTCATGGCCTATTCCCCTGTAACATAAACGCAGATTCTTATGCATGCCTCTTCTATTGAAGTGTCGATCTCCTCTCAATAAGAGTGTGATCCATTATAAAGCATCTACTTTAGACTCTCATATTAGGAGGTTACCAAGAATGCTGATGGGTTCCATTCCCTTGCATTTGATTGCCCCCTCATCTTCATTTTTCTCAGTTTATGTATTCCTAGTGTTTGGAGCTGACATATTGGCGGGGAGGAGCACAGTTCAAAAAGACTGTTAGAAGGAACAAAATTGTTGGAAGCCTGCCTCGTTAAACTGCAAGCGACAATGTGGATTATGATTATTAGTCATGGTTCAAAGTTGAAATGATAGAGATACCATAACGGCATGTTGTAAATTGTAATCCTCCACTTCAGACAGGCTTGAAGATCTTCAAGAGGCTTACAACTAACACAGTCTCCTCTATCGAGAACTTTTTCATGCATAGAGTTGTTTTGGGTTCATAGAATGTGCTTGTGCTTGTGGTGCTAAGAGTTTAATTTCCAGATTAGTTCTGATCTTGCATGGCAATGACTTTGTGGAAATTGGCTTTGTCCCAGCTAACAAGCGGAGCAGCCTATAGAAGCGGCATAGGATTCTCACCGAGCTTCGGTACTTAGCCTTGACAGTTCCAGACTTTTCTGTCACTAATGAGTTAGCCTGTTTTTGGGAAACTAGTTGTTGCATCAATAATATTCCCCTTGATTATTTTGTTAACCCTGGAAACAAATTTTGATTGAGAAGTATAATTTCTTTGTCAGCTTTGAATGTTTTGTTCATATTTAACCATTTCCAGGCAGGAATAAAGCAGTTACCTCTCTCGTGTATTCAATTTCTATAATTTCTTAATCTTCTAGCGGTTAGATATTTAATCAATAAGCATCTAGAATCTTTAGCCCCAATAATGGATCTAGTTGTGCTTCATTTCTCCAGCAAAACCATTAATCTAAATTAATTAGTGTAATAATTAAGACTAAAGGCATAAATTTTTCCATCCTTTGTTTCTGTGTAAGTAACTGGTGCTCAAAAATCGATCCTCAAGGATTAGGTAATATCTGTATATATATATTCTCTACAATTATAAGACAAAAATAAAAAATACAGCTGGCTGAAAGTGACAGCCAAAACATTAACATAAAGTGGCTCTATTCTTTAGTTAATAAGTCTCTAAGATCCTTCCCCTTCCCATACAAAGAGTGAATATATGGAAGTGGTAAGAACAACATATTCCATCTGGGTGCCATATTAACAGCTTCCTCCTACATCATATCTCACAAATCCCATTAGTTCTGGTCCTTCCAGTCTAGGATTATTCATAAAACTGCATCCAAACAACAAAGCAAAAACCCACATAGACAAAACAGTTAAAAGACATTATAACACAGAGAAGAAAGAAGCTTTAAGTGATTCTGATTAATCAGTCACCTTTCTTCTGAGAACTTAGAGAATGAACCAGATGTAGGAATGGTACCACACAAATCATTATTTGACACATCACTGCACAAACCAATTAATTATGATTATTATTATTATTTTCTTAAACAATAAGGATATTTTGGGGATTAAACAGATAACCTACAGGATCTTTAGGCTTCCAAGTTTGGTAAGTTTCCTCGGTATCCTTCCAGTCAGTCTGTTGCTGTTAAGTCTCCTGCATAGACATTACGTGACCCATCATCCACACCAGGTTCATTATAACACGTTAAAGCTGTTAAGAAACTGACACTATTACCCAATTATTTGACGTTAAAGCTGTTTTCTTTTGAAAAATATTCATTAGAAGAGGAAGAACAGTGCTTACATGAAATTGAGATTGGAGAGCTTAGAGAGGGACGATGGGATAGAGCCAGTGAGATTATTATGGTAAAGATCTAAGCTGATAAGGCTCTTGAGATTTCCAAGCTCCATAGGAATAGCACCCACAAGTTGATTCATGTACAGTTCCCTTTTACAGTAGAAACAAAACCATCTCAGGGTGTTATTAAATGTTGCAGATATATATATTTACACACAGCAATCAGCTCTATCTATCGCTTTCAGGCATGTGAGAAGCTTTATATCAATAACAAATAGTAGTTCCAGTTCTCATGTGCGATTTAAAACCAATATAATTGATTCATGCATGGCAGGTGGAGTAGGTGCTAAGCATAATAAATGTTGTTGTTTTAGTTAAACAAATTGATCAGTTTTTTAATATTCTTCTTAGCCATTTCTGTGTACTTTGTCTGTACCGTTAATGCAAGATTCACTGATTAAAAATTTGCATACTTACAGATATTGAAGGCGCTCGAGTTTCCCCAACTCAGGCACTAGACTGCCCGACAGCTTTGCATTTCCAAGGTCTCTGCATGTACCAAATTATAATACGTAATTAATTACGTAAAATAATATATGATCTTAATAACAAAATATTTCCCTACCTAATGCATACATACAAGCACATGTACGTGTGTAACTAAGGACAATTTTTTTTTTTTTTTAATTTTCTAATAATTATTTATAGTTTAAGAGAATTTAATCTTGGAAGTTAAGAGAGAAATTATAAATACTGTATAGTGAGTATTAATATTTGAATAATTATAGCAAAAATAATTATGCAGAATCTTTGATAAGACAAGAAGTTGTCTTCAAAGGCTTGAGTGACAGGAAAGAAGTAAAAGTACAAAACAAAACAATAACTACAAAACAGAAGTAAACAGACAAGAAAAATAGGAAAAGAGAAAACAAGAAAAGAGAAAAAAGAGAGAGATGTGTAAATGTTTCTTACAATCGGGTGACCCGATTATCACCATCACAGGTAACGTGAAACCAAGTACATGGATCTACCAAGGTTGGATCCCAGCTCTGCAGAACATGTTCCGGGTCTTTCACTGCTGCTCTAAACGCATACAGAGCATCCCCTGTTCATGCATAAATTAAAACACGAAAGAAGATATAGATTAAACCAGAAAATAAGTTCAAAGACAATAACCCAAATAACACAAAAAAAACTCTATTTGTTACCTTCTATGTTTGCATTTATAGGTGCTCCAGTGATTGATAGAAGAACAAGAACGAGGAGATGAAACAAAGTACAAATCGCCATTAGAGAAGTTGAAAAGGTATTTTTAGTTGCTATAGACTATAGAGTCAATATTATGATTATTTGTTCTTTTACGTACAGAGAGAGAGAAAGAGAGAGAAAGAGCTTAAAGATTGGAAGCAATGAATCAACCCTATGTTGGTGGAATTTATAGAGCCCATAAAAAGGATTGCTGGTTTGTTTTGTATGGAGGAAAAACAAAAGAAAAAAGAAAAAAGAAAAATACTAAAAGCAAAACAGTTATCACGCTTGATAATTAAAATAGACTCTATAGCTCGAATAAACATAATACTCCAGCCAACAATACGTTGATTGGAATGCTAAGCAATCTCAATTCTTCTAAATATAAGAACACAAGTTCGAAAGCACACTTTACGACGAGAGCTAAGAATCTTTATATTTTACAGTTTCACCTTTATTTTTAATTTTAGTGAAGATATCTCACCTGTGATATCACGTTTTCATTGTATAATTATTAATCGAATGAAAGTCCATGACTAGTTTTCATCGTTTAGTTGTTGGATGATTTAACCAAAATTTTCCTTACAGCCCTTTTACTGGCTAAAGCAGGTAACTTTGTAAGAAATAAGAATGGAGCAGATTAAAGGAGTGTTGTTCATATAGGACCACTCATGTGATTATGACATTTCCTTCTGCAAATTGAAAAAACGATTATTCCAATATATTAAACAAAATTAAAGATATGAATATGCTCCTGCTGTATCAATTTTCATTCAAAAAGCTTTAAAAAAAAAAAAAAAAACAATGGAAGATGCATATATAAAAACGAAATATTACAAGTGGATAGAGGAGAATATTTGAGACAGAAACTTGTCCATTTCATAGTTTGAAATGTTCCCCAAGCACCATTTAAAAGCTTCAATTTTAATTTCTTGTCTCAGACAGACATATATATATATATATGTACTTTGTTTTTATTTAAGGTAAGCATCTTTGCTGTTGCGATTTTTAAATGGAGATATGGACAACCCTAAAGAACGCAAACAGCCATTCAAATACAAGAACATTACTACTTGGAAATGCGTGGTTTAATATAATATACAAGCCAAATTCGTGATCCCTCTGCCACTACTTGTTCGCATGAAAATATATATATATATTTTTTCCTTGTCTATTTAATTTAAATAATAAAAGATAGGTACTCAGATTCTGCACTAGAGGTCAGTTTAAACGAAGTAGTATTATTCTAGTGAACATATATAAGTCAACTATTATGTGCGTGAAGGAATTCATATTCCAATTATTCCATCTTACGCAACATCTTACTTCCAAACATTTTCTTTTTTATTTGTCTGGGAGGCCAACGAGCTCGGCAACAGTTTTTTATATAACTTTTTTAAATGTCTTGACTAAATTAGAATATTATTTTTATTATTTATAATGTTCGATAATATAGTATTTATTATTTTATTCTTTAACATTTTATGAAACACTTGTTAAATAGTTAAACTAAAATAATTAATTTTACCGAACAAATTCCTAAGACGTAAAACCAAACAAAACATTACAAAACTTACACTAATAAAACATGTATTTCAATAACAAATAGTTGGCCTTTCATACCTTAATTGTAGTAATTAGTTTCAGTTATCATTCTTTTTTTTTTTTTTTTTTTTTAACAGTTTTTTAGTATAACTTTTTTAAATTTGTCTTGACTAATAGAAATTTTTTTATTATTAAAAATGTTCGTAATATAGTATTTATTATTTTTATTCGTTTAACATTTTTATGAAACACTGGTTAAATAGTTAACTAAATAAATTAAATTTTACCGAACAAATCCAAGACGTAAAACCAAACAAAACATTAACTAAAAAAGCTTACACTATATAAAACATGTATTCAATAACAAATAGTTGGCCTTGTCATACCTTAATGTATAAAATAGTTGCAGTTATCATTCTTTTTTTTTTTTTTTTTTTTTTGTCTAAGTTCTAACCTAATTCAAATGGTCTTTGCAAATACAAACCCCTCTCGATCGCATTCAATTTACCTCTGTTAAAATGCATCATTTGCCATTTTTAGGGACAATTGATATGGCGGTATATGATGGAATTTTTTTTTTTTTTTTTTTTGTCTTAATTCTAAACCTAATTCATGGTCTTGCAAATACAAACCCTCTCATCGCATTCAAATTTACCTCTAAAATGCACATTTGCCATTTTAGGGACAATTATGGCGGTAATGATGGAATCAATCACTTTAGTTTGTGGGATAAAAGTTGGAAGAGATGGCTATGGCTGGGTTGGATGAGGCCCACTATGAGGTAGAAAGCATGAGTATTGTCATGTGACACTTATCTTTTAAAGCTTGGACTTAATTGAGTAGCAGTAGTGGAAGACGGGTCCATCGTTGATTGGTTTTATGTTGTGTTGAGTCTTTTTTGTTTTTTTAACTTACATTTAATAAAGATTAGTTAAAGAAACGAATCAGATATGATCTGAGTCTTTGTGAGAGATTTTAAATTTAAATTGTTTCCAAGGAAGAAAAAACCAAAATTAAAAGTGGAGACATCACCACCTTTCAGACTTGTAATCAATCTTAGATTAGATTGGATATGTTATTAAGATTAAGATGAGCCTGTTGTCTTCTTTTTCTTCCTTACTCCTTAAAAGGAGTGAATTGACTAAGCCATGCACTAATATTTCTTCTTTTCTACTTTCATTATGGAATTGGAAAAAGTTGGAACAAATGCTTAAAAAGCCTTTTGTTCTTCTTCTTCAAACAGAAAAAAAAAAAAAGCAAAAGATTTCCATACGGATGGATCACTGAGTATATAATCACAACCCCACCATCCTTTTTCTCTTCGATTTATATATATGTGTCTCCTCTGTCAACAAACAAGCAAAAGCAATCAATTTGGTTGACCAATTTTTAACCTTTCATGCAAGATTTGTTTATTAACTGTTTTTACATATTTATAAAATGATATTCTGATAAAGGTCTCGACCCTGATATTGTGGGTGAACCAAAACTATTCTGTATTCACTTACTTGAGACTTTTATAATTCAATGATTTATTAGGGGAAAAAAAAAAAAATAAAGATTTAAACCCTTGCTTTCTATATTTTTCTTGAGAACAAAATCTTGAAAAATGAATGATTTATCAATGTTTTTTACAAGAAAGGAGAGGGAAAAAAAAAGAAGAAAAGAAAAGAAAAGCTTTTGTAAAGAGTAAAGAGAACAGTGTAAAAACAAAGGACATAATAATGACTTGGCAGAAAGGAAAATTAGGAGTCAAATACAATTTTTAAGTTTGAATATTAAATACACTGTGTATGATACTCACTCCAAACACAAGTAATAATAAATTAAATTAATAAATATCAATCTGAGTTGTAGTCTACTGCTATAACGGCAACAGCAACAAACAAAGACGAACTACGAGTCTTGAGTGGGGATAGAAGCTTAATCAGAAATATCGCATATAAACAAGTAGATGAGTTCATTAGGATACAAACAAGAAATTGTTGATGAATTAATTATGTGTTTCTAAGGAATTGTAGATGAGTTCATGTTCATGTTGCTTTCACAATATATTAACAGTTTGCGATCTTTCTTCAATCCTTTAAAATGACCTATTTCGTTTGATAATCAATGGTTGCTTCGAAATGTGAAAATGGGCTGTAAGACAGCACAATTGTCGTGTTGCATGCCCAAGTTCACAGAGCTTAATGGCTGGCTGTGGACCAATTTATGCTACTAATACTGCATAAAAATATCTTGAAAATGGATAAAGCCCAACAAAAAAATTGTTGGCAGTCGTTCTGTTCAACAATTAGAGTGCAAATGCAAAGTACAGAGACCAATTTGAGTTACAAGTTGACAGATTTATCACATAATACTACTCCCTAATGATGCCAGACCAAGCACATGGGTCGGCAAGACCTGGCGGATTCCAACTACAATTGAAATCATGGTAAGTAGGGTTATTTGATGGTCCACCATCACCTATTTGGAAAAACAAATTTGAGTGCTACTGATTTTTACTGCAGAAAAAAAGATAAAAAATTGATTCCGACGGCCCATCTACACCCACTGCGACAGCCAACGGTGGATTTATGAATTTGGTTCCGAGCTATCACAGCACCAGCAACAAGTCGTAATCAAAAATGGCCAAGCGCAATCACCTGGTTACATTATTTTACATGTAAGAAAAACAACTCGACCTATTCAAGTCTGTTTCTCTCGGGAAAAGGAAAATAATTTAATTATACTGATCGATAGATAAGTTACACCATGTTAACTGTGATATTAGCTGGGTGAAAGATTAGTCCCTTCACCTAAGCCACCTGCTCTTCTCCCTCGTCATGTGTGCTGCTATGATTTAAGAACTGCCAGAACATCAAATGAAACTGCATTTTTTTTTGGGGGGGGGGTTGCATGCTTCAAACGCATGCGCAGGGATAATGCAAAGAAACAGGGACTACTGAATTTTACATTTACTGTGGGAGGAATGTTGAAACTATTTACAATTAGAGCTAGGAGCTCTATCTAAGCAGGATTTCATCCATCAAGAGCTTCACTAGCCTTCACAAACCGACCCTTCACTCGCTTTCTTGTATCGGCTCTCGCCTTTCTTGATTCATATCGTATGTGCTTATCATATCTGTACAAAACAAACTTTTAGTATTTCGGGAATTATATAATGCTTGATGAATGCTTAGCACTGAGATGCACCAATGAAGATATACCTTCGGGTTTTCTTCTTCTCTTTATATCGCTGCATGGCAGTGCCTCTGTTCTTTGCCAGCAGCTCTATGTCAGCCTTGGTTGCTGGCACTGTTCTCATGCTGTCACCTCTCACAAGAATCTTCTCTTCCATGAACTGGATATCTCTACATGTGCTAGACCCTTTCAACTTACCAAAAGTTGATTCTGATGATGCCTTTGCTACTGGTAGATTGTTGCTTTCAGATGTCTCTGGACCTTGACTGGCTGTCGGGTTATTTGTGTTGTTCTGCAGTTTCATGCAACCCAATGATAGAACAAACATGAGACCCATATTGTGCACAGATTGGGTTGAATAGGCAATAAATTAACAGTATATAATCAGACCAACATCACATACTTAAAAGTCGAAAACAAATATATTTTTCATTATTCAAAACTGGGATTGAACTGCATGATTTACATGGATTACTAGGATATACAAAACAGCAAAAGGCATGACATTAATTAAATAATTGCAGAGAATAAACAGTTCATTCGAAAAAGAACCACTCTAGTTATACTGAATAACACCATAACTGAAAACTAAAATCAAATGTTAGAAAATAAAATAAAAGAACTATATGAAGAAACCGTTGCTGATTTAGCATTGCAAAACTTCTAAGGTTTTGTAATACACAAACAAAAATAGTAGTCCCAAGCACTTTAAGTCACCTATTAACTCAAGCCACATCAATTATATTCTAGAACATTTACCAGAAAAATTGTCGAAAACAAGATTATAACTAGAGATTTTATAACAATAGTATAGTTATAATGAGTACTTACATTAAATAATGCCATATCATCATGTGTAATAGGGCAATTGATCTGGTACATATCTCCCAACATTTTTGCGCTACTCAATGAAGTTTCTTTCATGAATTCGCCAATATTTTTTATAGTGAACCCAGCATTGCTCGTATCATATGCAACTTCCAATTGGTCAGATTCTTCATGCGTTCTCAACTGTCCTAAATTAAAATCCCATATCTGCAAGCAAGGGCTGGAATTATTGATTATCCCTGATGCGAGTTATCCTTTTGCAACAAATTACTGAAGACAGCAGCTTTATCAATTATAAAAAATTTTCTGAAAAATTTCCATCCCCAGACTTTCGGTTAAGTGGTCACAATATATTTAAATTTTAAACTTAACTTGAATATTGTGAAAGTGACCAAACAAGACAAAGAGCGGAGAAACCAATGCCATGAAAAGGAAGAAACATTTTTCCTAGCAATCCCACGATTGGGAGCGAATTGGGAATACAATGACTGTACAAGGGATGTTTTTTAAAAAGCGGGAAATTTATGATGATTCCCAAAGAAAAAAAAAAATCGAAGGAAGTTACCTGAGTGCCATGAGTACTGGCATTACTGTCCCACATTATATCCCCAGGAACCACGCGACCACTGGGTTTCAGATCCATCTGCGACGGCAACATAAACAAGGAGGCGTACGGCGTCTGTTCCTGAAACGATTGCTGAGGAATTGTAGAACCAGCACCGGCAGCGTCAATAACTCCGTCATTTCCATTCCCAAAATCAACTGTGTCCACATTCTCCTGCCAACCACTCCTGGTTGGCGTTACCGGCATCATACTCTCTCCGCCGCCATCACCGCCGCCAGTGTCACCATTCATCATATTTCTTTTGAACAATCCCACCAACTGCTTGTATATCGCTTGCTTGTATTTCCCACAGCAAGGACTCTGATGCCTCTTCGAGGCAGTCACCATATCTACACTATTCACATTCCCATAAACGAAGGCTTTGTCATTAGGCACCATCAAATCCTGAAAACTCATACCATCACAAGATTTAAACGCCCACGGCTCGATTTGCATCACCAAATCCTGCGTCCCAGCACCGCTCCAGCTCTGAATCAACGGGTGATCCAATTTCTTCTCGTCGAGATCGAATCCCCACTTTGAGGCCAGCTCCAGCGCTGAGGGACAACCTGAGAACCCTTCGATCGGGGTCCGATCATGTGAGGCGGAAACAGGGCAACTTCCGTGGGCATCCCAATCGCACTCCTGGCAAAGCACCAAATTGTCGGTTCCGCAACGGAAAGAAACAGGCTCGGAGCCGCAGTTATCACAGATCTGGGATCGGAGATGCTTCCGCGACAAGAGGTTGGCCGAGTGCACATGCTGGTCACAGAAAAGACAGAGCTTGGCGGAGTCAGCTCTGCAGTAGAGAACGGCAACCTGCTCGCTACAGAAATCGCAAGGAACACTCTGTTTGGTTTCCGATTTGGGGCTACCCATCTTTAAGCTTGGAAAAACCCTAGAAGAGGGAAAGCTTATATATGGTATGGAGAGCTAAAAACGACAAGACGCAGAGAGGTTTGTTCAGTGTGGCTTTCTGGGATGAAATAAGAGAGACATTTTTCACCTTTTGGTATTGTATTTGGAAAGTAGTTAGAGTGCAATGAAGCACAAGATTATCATGGAAGGATAAATTTGTAAAAAGATGGAGCCCATTTTAGAAAAAGAGCAAAAATATCTTTACCTTTTTTGCTGAGCTGGCATATTTTATCTTCATTCTCCTCGGAGCTAGTATTTAATGCTTTTAACATAATACGGTGCATCGATCGGGTTTCCCGATTGATGTTAGCCGTCGGATTAGTTGACTAGAAGGGCTGTTGTGGAAATTATTGCAGATAATCTGGTCAGCGAAATCGCAGTCGCGGGCGGATGCAGGTAGTTGCAGTTGCAGCGTTATTGAATCGGTAATAATAATAAAACTCACATGACGCTTTTAGCTTTCTTGTTATAGTAATTAGCAACTGAAATTTTTTAATTTGGATTAGGGTGTGTCATTCCCATAATTAACAATTCCTACACTTTTCTCTTTTTTTTTTTTTTTTTTTTTTAGGGTGTGTATTGCCCATAATAACGAATTCCTAACTTTTTTTTTTTTTTTTTTTTTTTAAGGACTTTACCTTATATATAATAGACAACGATCATCGTCTCATTCTTCTTTTTTTCTATAAAATATTTTTTTAATTAAATTCTTCTTGCATTGGCGATATCTTTTTATGATTTTATCATAACACACGTGTGGCTATAAATGATTTTTAATTGAAGTTTTATTTATTTTTGAAAATGACTTATTTTTAAAGGAAAATTAAAAAATTAAATGTTTTTTATCATTGAAAAGGAAGAAAAAAAGGAAGTTTATACAAAATAATGATCCAAGTAATATGGGAGGAGAGAGATTATACAATGTGCAATTTCTTGGTTAATAATTAAATAAAGTCAGCAGTTGAATAATTAAATAAAATAAAAGAGGGAGATTACTACTAACATTGGCATAAAGTCTTAGGTAGTTGGCTTAATGAGAATATATAAAAGTAAGTGGGGACCATATTGTAAAAGTACGGACACAAACAATCTCCCTCTCAAGATATTAATGAATTGAATTCTCAATATTAAATGGGTCAATAGCGCAATTAGCAAATTCAATATCCAGATGTTTTTTCTTTAAACAAAAAAAAAAAAAAAAAAAAAAAAAACACGTTTGGAAAGTGGATAAATGGAGCTTTTAACAAATACATCGTCGTATTAAACGGCAAATTTGTGCGTCTCAGACGGTAAACCGTCGGTCATCCATTGACGTCTTTCCTCTTACCTTTCTATTATATATATTATATTTTTATTACAAATAACACTCGCTTGTTTCTTTTTTTTTTTTTTTTTTTTTTAGGTAAAACACTTGCTTATCATTCACGGTAATTAACCTTATTATATAAATTTTACACATTTAACTAAATAAAGGATATATTAACACATCCATTTATAACCCATTATAAGCATTTCTATTTTAATTATTAAATCGATAGCATAACAAATTAAGTTTATTTTACGTGTCTATTGACCAAAATTGCAGTTTTACCTTTTAATGGATGGATCGGGAAAAAGATTTTGGATAGGAAAGATTAGTTGCATACGTTAAATCAATTAAAAAAAAATTTGTTGCCTGGGTTGGTAGAATTATCTATTGTTAATACCAGAAAAGGAAAAACGAGGATAAGAGTCTTTAATTTAAACAGCGAAAGCTGAACGGCTTTTCACGTTTTCGAATGTCGAGCAAAGGGCTTTTAACTTTTATTGGCCGACTTTCCAAGAACTTTTCTGGGCTCTTTTTCTTGTTTTTTCTTTTGCTTTTTTTTTTTTTTTTTTTTTTTAAGGTAAACACTTGCTTATTCTATTCACGGTAATCAACCTTATTTATAAATTTCCATTTAACTAAATAAAGGATTATATTAACACTATCCATTTAATAACCCATTATTAAGATTTCTATTTAATTATTATATCGATAGCAATAACAAATTAAGTTATTTTTTAAGTGTCTATTGACCAAAATTGCAGTTTTACCCTTTTAATGGATGGATCGGAAAAGATTTTGGATAGGAAAGATAGTTGCATACGTTAAATCAATAAAAAAAATTGTTGCCGGTGGGTAGAATATCTATGTTAATACCAGAAAAGGAAAAACGAGGAGTAGAGTCTTTAATTAACAGCGGAAAGCTGAACGCTTTTCACGTTTTGAATGTCGAGCAGAAGGGCTTTTTAACTTTTATGCCGACTTCAAGAACTTTTGGCTTTTTTCTGTTTTTTCTTTTGCTCCGGACGAACTAAAATGTTTATGTGGCTACGACTCCTCAACCCTCTTCTTATCCTGTCATCAGTCTTCTGTAAAACCAATAAATTTTATGTATTTACATTCTTCAACCTGTCATTGCATAATTCAGTAGGAGCAGTGCATATTTTTTATTTTCATTTCTGAAACTGTTGCTTATATGGGAAAAAAAAAAACAAGAGCACATATTTATAGATCTTGGTTCACCAGATAGCCTTTCTTTTTTTTTTTCCCCTATAACTATTTAAGTGTCTGAAAATCCTTTGGATTTAAACTATATCCGATTCGAATACTACAAGATCCATGTAGGGCGACTTTTCTAATCTGACGAAATATTTGTTAATTATCTCTGTTTTATAATTTAGATTTATCAACTGGGTCTTCACCTTTAGATATAGTGATTGATTATATCTATTATTTTATGATATAGAGAGATTATACAGATAGATATATTCAATTGAAGGTACATGTCCATAAATTAATTAAACAAGAATTCATGCTTTTCAATTATGATAGATGCAATTATGCAATTGAAAATACATGATTATTGGCAACTTTTTCTGATCATAAGATCGACACGTGCTGCTATGTATTCATCAAGAAATGTACGTAATTTCCAATGATTTAAAGAAACAGATGCTAGGAATTTTTCCCTTTGTTCTTTGATTATGAAAGAAGATTGGTATAATTAATGTCTTAGCTAGTGTCCACTCTTTCTATGACATCAATTGAAAATAACACTAAAGATGTTGAATTCTTTATGAATGCAAAAGATTCATAAAGATCGTAAAAATACCAGAAGAAAAGTCAAAAACAAGGAACCAATGATAGAGCTACGAATTTTAATCGCCGATATAAATTTCTTTGCGCCAATTGATTTTGACTCGTGGGTTATTCTTCAGTTGACGAATAACCCTACCTTATCAGTTGATGTTGCCATTGGAATCTACCCATCATAAGGCAGGGGAGGGGAAAAGAGAAGGGAGGATATTGCTTGCAAGAGAGCGACTGATTAAGGTTTTTTTATCACACATTCTCAGATTGTTTCAGAGGGCATTTCAATCTTGATGGGGCAAAATTATATCATGGCAGAAGCCAATTAATAAAGATGAATATATTCCATATGCCAGGATAAATACTTAATCTAGGTTGCCTATAAATCGAGTGAGGGAGTTTCGCATCATTAAAAAAAAAAAAAAACGAAAATAATAAAACAGAGACCGTTCATGAAGATGAAGAGCCTTGTTTGGTAGCCAAGGATGACTTGCCTGTAGCCTTAACGCAGATTTTATTTAGAATTTGAATGTGATCCACAGGCAGTCTCCTTGGCTACCGAGACCCGCTCTTATCTTTCATGCTCGACTTGTTCTTCTAATTTACTTACTTTTTACTCTTCTTAAAAAATTGTAGGTTGAAGACTTTATAGAAAACGTTGTTGATTACACACCATTCTGAAAATATATGTACCATAAATCACTCTTTATACTGAAAGAAGTCCAGCAAACAAACGATAAAGCACAAAGTTGAGCGTACACTTTCAGCCAAGCATAGCACATAATAATAGGGCTGCAACTATTTATCATGTCATGCAGGCAGTGCAAAGCTCTGCTGTGTCCATTGAGGAACATCTACCACTAAACAAGGATCCGTTTTCTCAAAGTCCGCAACCTATAAAAAACAAGAGTAAACAGTTACATTGAGTTGAAGCAACTGGGACAGTAGAAAATGAAAGATGAAATTGTTCTTACTTTCTCATTGCAGTTTGGGCAATAGTGATATTTATGCCAGAGGCAATCCATTGAAGGGCAAAGAAAGCAAAATCCAAGCATAAATGGCATCATACAACCAACAACAGCTGCCAAACTAGGCTTTGATCTGTATCATGCATGAAGGGAGAATATGTCAGTCCATATAACAAGGAAAACAATAGGATGGAAAAGGACAAAACAAGAAAACAAGTTTGACAGTAGAATTGACAACACAATCCAACCTGAAATTCAGGTAGGAGGACGGAATCTAAATTCATAGAATCTGGTAATTTCACTGTTCATTTGATTTCATGAAATAAGGTGGTTCTCAAAATCCTCATATATCAAAGAAAGAAGCAATGACAGAACATATGTTTCTGAAAGCCATATTGTCATTGACGGTATTGGTTGACAACAAAAAAATATGATAAGAACGACAGCATTTTAACAATCCAAATGAATTGAGGGGCAAGATAAATCCTTATGAGCAGGTTGTTTATCTAGAATATAAAACAGAATAGGTCAAGAACAGAAGTCCAGAATGCACATGCGAGATTCCTGCTATCTTTTACCAGTGCAGGTATCAATTCTCCAACATCTCCTGCCTTCAAAACATTATTTCTTTCTCTAGGAGAATAAAACAAGCTCAACAGTATCTAATCGTTTCTTCCAGCATAACAATTGCACCTTAAACCCTATAACTTCTACAAATTCCTTACTTGGTCATTAATTGCAGCAATTAAGAATCAAGCCAATGCAAAAACAACAACAAAAAAGAAAAAAAAAAAAAAAAGGACTTTGCTTTTTGAAGATCATATCCCGGAAACTGATCAAGAAATTCAATTGTCGACCAACTTATTCCCAACCCATGAACTAAAAACGAATCTATAGTCCGATTATTTCTCTACAGCAAAGCAATCGCTTACCTATTCTAAAAATTTTGTCACAAATAAACTTAATCGCATATTTTCTCTGTATAAACCAATTCCCACGAACCATTAGCCTAACATTTGCTATGCATATAGAGAGAATTTATTCAAAAATCGATGAAACCCTAATATCAATATCAATCAAGGTGAGAAGCAAGAAATAATTAGGCAGAAATTTACCTTACGAAAGTAAGCCCAGAACTTCCACAGAAGGGACAGTTAAAAGGAGCAGGAGTGTCCCGATACATCGTCTGCTGAATCGGAATTCCTTTCGGATCACCGAAGACGGCGTTTGGTGGGATGGCTCCGGCTTGGTACGGGTTCTGGCCGACGTAGTACGGAACCCCGAGGGCAGGCTCGTCTTTTTGCCCCATAATTTTTTCTTTTAGTCAAGCTTTTCTTGATTAGAGATCGATCGGTTGGAGGAAGAGAGGAAGAAAGATTGGTTCTTGAAATCCAACGGAGAGCAAGAATACGATTGAGGTTTTTTTGAAGGAAAGCTTGTCTCTTTAATTTAATTTAATAAGAAAGCAAAGTAATTGACGTTGAAAAGCCATAAATAAAGATAAATATGCGGTTTATACAAATAAATGATTGACCAAAAAACATGTCTCTTTGTTTCTAGAGAAGAATTGACTAGGAACCTTCCTTTCCTTCTACTTCTTCTTCTTCTTCTTCTTCTTCTTGCTTTCTCATTAGTATTTATTTTTTTTACATTTTCATCTTTTGAACCTAAATAAGACCCTCGCCAACCACTAGGGGTTTATACATGGAACTCCTGTGGTTAGAGAATTCTAATTCCAGCCTTCCAACTCTCTACTTTTTTTTTTTTTTTTTTTTTTTGCCATAAATTGAAAGATTAAAATTGCGTTATACCAAAATAAATGATTGACAAAAAACATGGTTCTCTTTGTTTCTAGAGAAGAATGACCTAGAACCTTCCTTTCCTTCTTACTTCTTCTTCTCTTCTTCTTCTTCTTGCTGTGTTTCATTAGATATTTATTTTTTTTTACATTTTTTATCTTTTGAACCTAAATTACGACCCTCGCCAACCACTTAGGGTTGATACATGAGAACTCCCTGTTGGCTTAGATGAATTCTAATTCCATGCCTTCCAAAAACTTCCATCTACTTTTTTTTTTTTTTTTTTTTTATCTTATTTATAGAAGATATAAAAAACTTAATCCAAGACCAAAATAGGTAGCAAAGACATTTTTTTTTTTTTTTTTTTTTTTTATAGAAGATATAAAAACTAACCAAACCAAATAGGTAGCAAAACTATTGTTTGAATTCTAATTCTAGGCCTCCGACTCTCTCTGTATTTATATTTTTTATATAGAAGATGAGAAAACTAATTAAATCAGACGAATAATTATTTAAATTTAAAGAAAGATTTATTTATATCCGACATATGAATTCACTTGTACATCAGATTAATTAAAAACAGTTTTGATATGTTTGTGTAGGCAACAAAATTACTGAATTCAAATAGGAAAGGGTCAATGTAGACTTCTAGATGGCTCTCATTACATATTTATCAACAAAAAACTGCTCATAAGGTTCACACCATTGACAATTCAACGTCTATACCTTATTGACATCATGGGTTCAATCATTGTTGTTGGGCTCAAGCCTAGTCCAATAAGTAATAAGTGTATTTATACAGTCAAAGCAAAGCAAAATTATTAAATAGTATAGATCATCCAGGATGCCTAAATAGGCTAAATCACAGGCCAGAGAGATACCTAGATAGGCTTGTGAAGGAGGTCCAATTCTGGAATACTTATAAGCTACACCAAACCCAATGGGCTACATCCTTTTCTTAATTATTTATCATTCAATTATAGGATGCCACTGCCCACTACTCCCCTTTCTTCAAGGCATTCACACCTTATGATTGATGACAATTTTTTTTTTCTTTTTTTAAGATTATTGTGACAAGCTTTTCATGCAGTACTTACTGTTATTGTCTGTCTCTACAATATTTTTTCTTCAAACAAATAAAATGATTTTTTATCCGATAAACGTATTTCCAAGTCGAATTTATATTTTCATTTTTACAGAAATTGAAATTGAAGTCGGTAAAATGGGCGACACAATTCTCCAATAATATACAAAAGGGTAATACATCCCAAGGAGTCACAGCTGGTAAGGCCTGACCGGAAGGGAATATTAGTGCAGAGACACTGCACACACACACACAAATAGATAGAGAGGGAGAGAAAGAGAATGGCGTCAGAGACTGACAATACTTCAGAATAGATTCCATAAGGTGGGAAATTACCATTTTATTCATATTCATCTCGTGAAATATATTTATATATATATATGTAATTGTAATTGTATCATCTTTCTCTGTTTTGTTTTTTCGGTTCACAGGCCACCACAGGCGGAGCGGGGCAAGCGGCTACCCCAATACATTCGGCCTGTCGAGTCTTTAGTCTTTAGTCTAAGTAATTTGCATGCTTGTTTTCTTCTTCTTGTCCATTTTCTACTCTTGAATTTATAGTTAGTGATATTACAGAATCTTAAAAACCCAAACTAACGTTGCTTTCAACTCTCTCAACTCCCTGCCTATCTTTAACGTTTATTTTTTATTTTTTTATTTCCATATTTCTTTTAATACGTAGAGCTTTTTTTTAAAAGGAAAAAAAATTATGCAAGCACGTCTAGAAATGCATTTTGCTGGGAGGAACAAAATCTCCATAACTGTAGAAACGAGAATATGAGTTCGATTTCAAAAAAAATATATTTTATTGAAAGAGTAAAAAAACATTTAGACTGTATAGTGTAAAGAAGATTACATCTTTAATTATAAGAAAATGCACAAAAATGTTTATGCAATACTTGGAATGAAAGTATTTATAGTTAATATACCAAAAATAATAATAATAAATAAGTATTTATGGTTGAAAAATAGTTGAAATTAGTTTTATAAAATTAATATAAATATAAATTAATTAATAAGTAGTCGATTAAAATCTTTATAAACAATTTTAATCTAATTATTGGTTGGAAATCAACTATGAGGAATGGATAGTACTAAAACCCAAATTAAATTCTAAATTCAAATGATAATATTAATTAATATTCTCTTTAAAAAAAAATATTAATATATGTGTATGTATGAAAAAAACACATGGCGAGGAGAGTACGTAGCTGTCCAAGGAATGTCCCTCCTTTTTTTTTTAAAAATAAAAAGTGAAAAATAAAAAATAAAGATCGCCAACTTTCTCAAAACCCACACAAAACTGTCAAAGAAAGTTCCGGCATTCTTTTTGGCAACCGCGTTCTTACCGGATCTCTCCTTCTCTTTTCTTTTTTTCTTTTTTTAAATTGTTTTTTAAAAACAGCTAACAAATTAACAAACTCTTTTTAAAGCTCCCACGAAGTCTGCAGGCTCCAATTTATTTTATTTTATTTTATTTAATGAATAAATTTTAATAATTATAGTTATGGTTACTAACGCGCACCCTCGACTGCGGGTGTGATAGTTGAGTCCAACACAGTGGTGTAAGACAAAATGTATCCCACAGTGGTTTCCTGGCTCTGACAGTCTTTGGGCCCACCCAGGGTCTTTGTGTGAAAGATTCACACGCTCCTATAGGAAGAGCGTGGTTTTTGTATTTGTATATGTATACTATTATTTTATAATTGAAAATAATAATCCTCTCTCTCTCTCTCTCTTTCTTTTTCTTTCTTTCTAATGGTCTCCTCTTTTTATTCCCTTGAAAATCTCCACCCTTAACTTAACAGACTCTCTCTCTTTTATCTCAAAGTCCCTATCTCATCTCTTTCTTGCGTTTAGGTTTATCTCTTGGAAAATTTGTATGTATATATTAGTATAAGGATTTCAGCGGATTAAGAACAAGTAATGACGGCTCCAAACATGGCCGCAATCACTGCATCTTTAGAGCGGTCTCTTCAGAACTGTTCGCTAAATCATCATCAAAGTAGGGGAGTTTTAGGGGCAGGAGAGAGGTCGTCGAGCTCGGACGATGCAGAGGTAGAGGGAGCACCGACGGAGCAAAATCATATGCCTAACTCTGACACCACCTTGGAGCTTAACTCCCATATCTCTCTCCCTTACCATTGGGAGCAATGCCTTGATTTAAAGGTACCCTTCTAGATTTAAAAGTATATTTCGTCTGTTATAGCTTCAATAAATGCAGATCTTGCCCTCTTTCTCTCTCTTTTTCTTTTGTTACTTTCTGTGGAAATATGTGTCTTTAGTTCTTGAATGCCCTTTGGTTTGCTGTCTTGTTTTTAATGCTTCTGGTCTCTCTTTCTCCTACTTATAATACTACCCCAGATTAAGAATAGGTTATTGACCGCAAAAACAAACCCTAAAAAGGGAATTCATATATACTTTTTTCTTTTAGCCTCATCTCTTTTTCAATTTATCCCTTTTGGCTCCCATTTCACATAAAGCAATTAAAAGATAGGAAATTTCTATGTTTGACCACCATGTAAAAATTGTTTCTTTGAATGTTATATCTTAAAATTTAGGTTTTTATTTACAGGGTTTGGTTAGTTTTATGGTTATATTTTGTTTCATGGGAACATTTAATTTGTTCAACACTATCAAAGTTTTCATCTTTTCTTGGGTGGATTTAGTACCAATTGGATTTTTGGATGGTTTCTTTCCTTTTTCTTTACTATGGGGTGATTTAGTGTTCTTTCTTCCTTCTTTAATATATATTGAAATCATCAAATATCCCTAAGAAACAGAAGAGGAAAGTAATCATCAAAGAAAGGGTGTTAGATTAATAAAAATTAGGGTGTTGATTAATTATCGGTAGAGTTGAAACTTGGGTGTACTATGCAGACAGGGGAGATTTACTATATAAACTGGAGGAATGGAATGAAAGCAAAAGAAGATCCAAGAGTAAAACAAGAATACAACGGCGATTTTTACTCAGAAGACGACAGCTCATATGACAGTGAAGAGTCATCATCAGAGTCGTCTCCTCCATCTTCTTCAAGAGAGCATTATCGAGTGCAGCAGAAAGAAGACCATGTCCTTGTTGTGGCTGGTTGCAAGAGCTGCCTTATGTACTTCATGGTCCCAAAACAGGTCGAAGATTGTCCCAAATGTAATGGCCAACTTCTCCATTTTGATAGATCTGAAAATGGCTCTCCATGAAAACCCTCCCTTCTTTTCTTTTTTCTTCTTCTTCTTTCTCTTTTTTCTCTCTCTAGTTTTAAATTCAAACAACTCATTTGTGTTCTTCAAAGATTTTCTGAGTGTGGAATGATCATGAAATGCGTGCCGAATGGGTTTTCATAATTTAATTAGCTACTTAATTAACTTTATATTTTCCTTTTCTTTTCTTTGCTGTTAAATTTGTTTCTTGATTTATCAAGGACTCCATTGAAATGAGTCTTAGCTTAGATAGAAAGAGAGAGAGAGAGGCAGTGGGTAAGGTCATTGCAGAAGAAAGAACAATATTTTGGTCATGATTGGGACGTGTAGCTTTTCTTTCTTTTCTTTTCTTTTTTATTCAGCTGTTACTGATCAGATAATTCTTGCTCTTTCAGAATACATAATAGCTTCTTCTTCTTCTTCTTCTTCTTCTTCTTGTTTTTTATTTTTATTTTTATTTTTATTTATTATTAGCATGTTGTATAGCTGCAAATTGATTTATTTATTTATACTAGTGTTTATAGCTGCACGCTGGAATTAAATCATTCTTTGAATTAATTGTTTTTTTAGTCCTTTGTTAACATTAAACAAATATTATGTTGGTGTCATTGACAGATACATGCATGAATTTTTCTTCTGAAAATGAAATTTTATGTTTTTTAATTTTAAGTTAAGAATGTTGCTGTTGAGATAAAAATTTGCCTATATTAGGATATGCATGGATTTGATTTTTTGAATTTGAGTTTATGATATTAAATGTTAAATAACCAATCATTTCAAACAACTAATTACTTAAATAAATAATTGGGGTACTCAAAATAAAAAAGGAAAAAAAAATCCAAATGAATTTCTATATTGTATTGATTGGTTCACTTGAATCCTTATTAATCATTTTGTGGACAAATCTCTAAATTTTGTTGATTGTTTGAATGAACCATTAAATTTTGGCAAAATGGAAAAAAAAAAAAAAAAGAAAATCCAAAATTTATTACCGTGGCAATTTTCATAATTTACCATTTTTTACATTTTTCTCATATTTAACAAAAATAAAAATTTTAAAATACGAAATCTATATTATTATTATGTTCTTATGAATTAAAAATTTTAATATTTTTAATTAATTTTTAATATTACAAATAGACAAATAAACGGAGACTTAATTACATTAATTTTGTATAGGTTTTGCTTTTCTATGAATGTCTAGTGAACAACTATATATCCGTTACCCTTTCAAAAAAAAAAAAAAAAAAATTGAAAGTTTTTCCAAACACTTATCTTGTAGTTACCAACTCATTAAAGAGAGTAGTTCCCACCAATCTTCATAATTTTGTATTTTATGGACATTGTTGGGTTGGTAGCCTTCCATCACTCACCCATTTATTTATTTATTTATTTTTTTTATTTTTTAGTATTCTAAAGTAATAATATGCTCTAATGAGTGGTTTGCTTTTTTAGTTTCAATTAAATGTATAGTAATAATATGAAATGATAGGTGACCATTGACCTACCTACATGGAGTTGGAGGCTATAATCCTATGATTTCTATAGCTATACCATGATGTAGACAATTAATTGATATTTTCTTAATAATGTAATAATGAATTATTAGTTCTTTAATAATGCATTCCATGGCTGTCCTCCATTTCTATTAGTGAACCAATTACTCTATCAATTTCTTAAACATAATTATGCTGTAAATCAACCTTTTCTTGGTTGGCAAGTGGGATTCAAGCCATAGAGCTCAACTTTTTTTTTTTTTTTTTTAATAATGAGGTTTAATTTTCTCGAACTGTAGAGCGTAAAAGTTTTTTATCTCCCAACAAAATGTGCTTATCGAATATTGAATTTATATTCTCACCCTCAGAAGGATTGAGGTCACCTACCATCCCAATCATCACTTTATTAATAAGCCATAGTGCTCATTTGAAAAAAGAAATTAATATTTGATTTAAAATAATTATTAAGTGTATACACTTTTGTAATTCCAAAAAATAATAGAAAAGGTTTTTTTTTTTTTTTTTTTTTTTCACCATAGACACACAATCATCAGGGCGTGTGTATGTAATAGGATGCGCATAGTTTCTTCATTTTTACTGTGGAAAAAAAAGATTAATTATGGATTGAAGGTTTGGGTATAAAAGTAATATAATTAATATAATGTGCTCATACACTTTGTAATCGGCATAAGAAGAAGAATAAGCATAGAGTTTTTTTTTTTTTTTTTTTTTTTTTACAATCTCTTCTCGGATCACCGTTATGCGTGAATTTACTCCTAATTTTCTTAACCAGAATTTTCAATTATAAAAGGCGTTTTTTTTAATATTTTAATATTAATGTGAATTATTGCCTTTAATAGGATAAAATTTTAGTTTTTTATTCCAATAAAATAATAATTTGAATATGGATAGTTATCTTTCATTTGAATGGATATAATATTATTTTTATGATCTGAAAAGGTTAGAAAAAAAGAACATTTAGGACAAGGTTCATGCTCAATGGACATGGGAAGTGACATTCATCAATCCCTTTTCATTCAATTTATCTCATTCAGATATGGAAATTATTCAGTACGGCAAAGCTTATAAAAAATAATTTAAGTTAATTATTTATAATGTAAAAGATATATATACATAAATATTTTAAACTGCTAACTTTTTTATTATTAAGCTATATGTTGGAACCACATATCCCTGGTTATACCACTAACGAAATATGTATTATTATTTACCTACTAATTTTATATATAATTAAATTAATGTTAAAATCCGCACATGCACGAAATAATATTAAATGATGAAATAATCTTTTATAATATTATTTAAAAATAATAAAATTGTATAATAAGACGATCGTGAAAAATTTTATCTCGTTGACATATGCTGAAAAAATTGCAATGCTAAGATGTGCCTTCTTAACTATCCTACAAAGCCTTTTAACAAGATATGCAATAATAAAACCTATACATGGTATGAGCTGTATAAAAAAATGCATATACACTATTAACTTATTTTTTATATTTTTATATAAAAAGTCTAATAATAAATTACTTATACAAAGAAAAAAATTACAATCTTAATTTGAAGTATTTGATCTAGTTGACATAACATAATATTTGAGTCATAGGCGATCGTTTACTCCACTGGGTGGATATTCATGACCATTATTCGACTCCATGGTTTTTCTATAAGTTCGATTTGATTACTATCCAAATAAAAAAAAAAAAAGATGCTAAATTGTCACGACCCGTTTCCGTGGGCCGACTCTGTATGATGCTTTGCATTATTAACACAATATGAGCATTTTCTGAGATGTGTGGCTAAGATGTGCCAATTTGATCATCTGAATTAATACGTCTTATCAGAAGCCTTTATAAGAGACTTAATGATTTCATAATGCAAAATATATATAAATTAAGCCTTCATACCATTGAATTAACATTTATATCTGCCTTCTTTCTTTCTGTTAAATTTGTTTTCTTTGATTATCAAGGACTCCAATTTGACCAATTGAGTCTTAGCTTAGATAGAAAGAGAGAGGAGAGGGCAGGTGGGTTAAGGTTCATTGCAGGAAGAGGTAATGAAGGCAATGCTATAAAAATAATAATTGCTATATAGCTTCACTTATTAAGACTTATGGGATCTTGTTTTAGGTTTTTTATAATATACCATAATATGCTTTCTTTCATTAATTCTATTATCTTTATTTCAGTATACTGGTTTACGACAGATTATAACATTACTAATAGCGAACATATAAATCAGATATAACAACATCTTAATTTGAAGTTATTTGATATACAGTCATGTTCTGTATTCTATTAATACTTCTATTATTCTTCTTACCTTTATTGTGTTTATTGTCTAATTAGTGCGATTTCGTATTTATTTTCATTATGGTTATTGTTGATGTATATAGACATTGTTTTCATGGTATAAAGGCCACTTATTCGACTCCTTAGTGGCTATATATTTTCTGATTAAGTTTCAGATTTTGTTAATTACTATCCCAATAATTACTTAAGTCAATTAAAAATAATAGAGCTGACAAGCAGTGCTAATAGTGAGTCATTAGACAAGAATCCATTCCCTCTTTTCCGTGTGTTTTTGCTGCGAGGATTCAAATTGGGTTTTTTTAGTCCTTTTGTTAACATTTTGAAACGAAAATATTATGTTTATCAGCCCAGGAAGCTTAAGGTGGCTCCCAGCCCGAGTAACCAAACACTAAAACTTTAGCTCAGGTCATGCTTCACAGATTAATAAATATCTAAACATACATGGCCCATATAATGATAAACTCTGACAAAATAGCACAACGTGACTTTATTAGATTTTGTATTTAACAAGTTTTTCACAAATTATATCTATAATAAAATGTTTGGCCTGTTGAGAACTATAACTAAAAATAAGTCCCATTAGATTATTTATTAAAAACAGAATATTGCGAATAGTCTATATGTAATTTTATAATGTCTATATGGAAATTTGTCTTCTCTGGATTCTCATATGATATATGCAACAGAGATGAAGAACATTACCATTAGTGTCGAAAACTCAACGAAATCGAAATTTTTCTTTCTTTCCAGAAAAAACTATACAAACAAAGACTATTAGTGAGTTACTTTTATACATTAAAATAATATGTGGGAGTAAAGGCTACTATTGGCGATACATTAACACCACCAACAAATTCTACAAAGAGATGATAAATAAAGGAAAAAAAATTAATAATCTCCTAAAATAGATAATTTCTATTATTATTGTTATTAGACTATTATTGTAGTATTATTCACTATTGATAATAATCCTTATTTTATAATATCATAATTTTCTGTATGTGCGAATCAAATCCCTGCTAAATCTATTTGTTTGATATTGTTCGATCACATCAAGCACAAAGTCACCAATTAAAATTGTGCATGTCTTCGCGGCCACAAATCTGGCGGAGCGAAAAACAAAACAAAAAATATACAAGACAAACCTCCTCATACAAAAATTAATTTTTATTACAGTCACTCACGTGGCCGAAATGTATTCAATTTTAAAGATCTTTATGACTCGGACCATTCATTCTGTTACTCTCTCTTCGACTTCTATGAGTCACGTTTCCAATCCCCACAATAAGGCATAACAATCCATAATTTTCTCAAACAATTGACGAGAATCTATATTTTTATGTCAACCATGGGGAGTGTCTTATGCACATTAAGAAATACCACCTTTTTTAATTATTATTTCTGGATTTTTAATATACCAAATACGACAAACGAAACGTAAGACTTAATTACATCTTTATAATCCTTCATCTTGTATATTAGGTTTATACCAGCGCTTTTCTTCACTTCTACAATGTTTTCTTGTAGTGATAACTATTACTTTAATATTCCCTCGCTTCACTCTTCTTTTTCAAAACATATATAATATTAAACACATAAAAACACCAACAGGTGAATAATATCCGTTAATTTGTGTGCCAACCAAAAGCTCGGTCGTATCCAATAATTACAAGTTTCTAGGCAACAAATTCATAATCAAGTAACATTGGTTTAGGCGCGTGCGAGAAAAAAAAAAAAAAAACTATATATCCGTTAATTTGTTGCAACAAAAGTTAAGGTGAAATAAAGTAGCAACAAAATAATAACATTTGTTTAGGGAAGTTGGATAAAAAATTTACCATATTTGAATTATTTAAATTATGAAAATGGGTTTTTTTTTTTTTTTAAAGAATATAAAAATGGGTTTTGGTCAGACCGAATCAGTGCATGTACATTGTCCAATTGCACAGAATAGCACTTGTGTTGGTCAACAAATATTATAATTATTAAAAAGAAAGAGTGCTTTCATCATGATTGCTTTCTTGAATGTTAACCCTTTTTTTTTTTACATTTAAGAATAGATTTTCCACATCCTAATAAAGCGTTTTAGCTTTTTTTTTTTTTTTTTTATATATAATGATAAGTCAATACCAATAAAAATTTATATTTCTTGATCTGCTCATTAATAAAAAAATCTCCCGACGTTATTTTCTAAATTAAACAGATGGTTATTTAACTGTGTAGACTCTCGTGTTGTTTCGATTAATTGAGACAATACATATTAATCCTTTATCAAAATGCAATTTGGATAAAATATATACACAGCATATATACTTCCCAGGTGATGATCTAATCACTCTTATAAATTTCAAGAATTTTAAGTGATAAATTACAATCTACAGATTGTTGAAAATTATGTGGAAAATAACAGGAACACAGAGTACTTTTTTCTTCTCGACAGTGGAAAAGGAGATTGCGGAAAATAAGGATGAGGACATGGAAAAATAAGCTCATTTCGCTTACCTTCAAAATGCCTTTTTTTTTTTTTTTTTTTTTTTTTTTTTTTTTGTTTAAAAAAATAAAAATTAAATTTAGAAATTTCATGTTTGGGTTGGGTTGTTCAATTCCACTAAGAAATGCCTTTTTTTTTTTTTTTTTTTTTTTGTTAAAAAAATAAAAATTAAATTTAGAAATTTCATGTTTGGTTGGGTTGTTCAATTCCACTAAGAAATAAGCTCTTGAATCTCTTCTTGGCAAAAGAGTAAATTGGATATCACAACAAACATACAAAAAGATGTTTCAAGCAAAATAGAGAATTTTGGAGTTTGAATCTTTATGAATTAAGAAATTTTTCGCTGAAAGATCGTGTTTGAATCTTTATGAATAGAGAAATTCCTCGCTGAGAGCTTTTTATTTTTATTTTTTTATGGGTCTGATGTTATGCCAGTAGCATAAAAGAACTATTTATAAATGCTTAATTAATTAATTAAATAATTAAAATATGTTGAAAATTTTCATGCGGAAAGGTTTAAGATTGCTTGAAATTTTACAGTGAGATTGGGATGGATAGAGCGGAGTTTTACATATGAAAAGCGACAAACTTCTTTTATTGCGCCACTCGTACAAGCAATTTAAATATATAATATGCATTCAACAGAAGAAGAGAAAGAATATTATGAGCAGCTTTTCTCAGTCTTGGGTCTCTGGGTATATGACAAGTGTTGGACTGTGTGGTCACCACTCACCAATTACTTATAATCTTGATTATTGAAAACAAGAAATTAAGCTGCAAATTAAAATGATACAAGAGAAATGGAGTAGTTAGGTTTAAAAAATGATTGCAGAAAGGTAAAATTGACAATATGAAGCTCGAAATACAAAGTGTAAAAAGATGGGTTGCATGCAAAAAAGGGGAAGACATTGGTAGAGCACAGTTGTTTGGTCTGAGGGAAGGTGAGGCCCTTTCGTCCTAAAAGATTCGAGTTTCAGAGAAAGGGAGATGCTTTAGCTTCAGACTGTTATATTATATGGTCCATGATGAGACAATAGGTCTTATATATATATATATAGCTTGCTTCGCTTGGAGTAGGGACTGTGCAGAAAACAAAGAAACCTTTTCTTTTCTTTTCCTTTGCTTTGCTTTTCTTTGACACAGAAAAAGAATCTAACCACTTTGTGACTTGTGAGAGAGAGAGAGAGAGAGAAAGACCTAAAGGGTTCTTGCATTGTGCACTAATGTCTGTCTGTGTCTATATAGAAAGAAAAAACAGATACTTTTGGATACATGAAGCTACAAAGGTAAGACAGCGAGAGAGTCAGACACTGAGATAGACTCTGATTAATTAGTGTTTAATTAAATATAATTACCACTAAATCAAAATTAAAATCTTGTTGTTGTTGTTGTTGTTCCATTTGTCAGCCAATATTGCATTTAGTGAAAAATTGGTCAAAGGACCCGCATTTCCTTAAAAGCCTTTTTCATTTTACCCTTACATAATTCAAACGCTTCTGTGAAGAGAATCTTTTATGCATGTTTGTCTGTTTTAGTACCTAATTGGTGTTCTTGTGTCTTTCTTCCATAATTTCCATGCTTGTGCACGTACAATTACTTGCTCTTCCTTTCCCGGTTCTAGGTTATTTTTACATTTTACTAACTAGAGCTAAAAATTAACCCAAGTGAAGTGAAAAGTGTTGGTGCTTAATTGGAGGGGAGAAAGAGGTAAAACCATAAATTCGATCCCACTTTATACAGCGAGACGGAAATTACACTCCTTGGTAGATACAAATATGCAGTGGAATTTAGAATCAAAATGTTATGGCAGAAGATAAAGCACATGTTGCCTCTTGTAAACATGTCAGGGCACGCATATGATATGAGGCTTTGTACCATGTTTTTATTTTCGTATCTAGTTTTAAGTTATTGTTCTTGTCTAAAGTATTTTGTTATTTACATAGTTATGCAGAAAAAAAAAAAAATTTGAAAGTAATCATATCAGATTTATGAAAACACCATAGAGTCGAACAGTAGCCATGAATGGCCACCAACTGGAGCAAGCGATCCCCTATTGCTCTGTCAATCCGATCAGATATTTCAAATTGAAATTGTGTTTTATAATTCTTTATATAAGTGGTTTATTATTAAACCTTATATGTAAAACATATTGATCTATGTACAGTTTCTTCCGTTATGAAATTTTTAGTTTGATTTCTTCTTATGACAGTAACTAAATTTTGATTGAGAATAAGTCATCTACACCTAAGGCGTAGGTCCATCCATCTAAATCAAACAAATAGAACATAATAGTAATATGATTTTAGCAAATAACAATTTCATGTATTTAGGTTTACTAATAAGCTTCAAGTGATCTTACAAAGTGTTTGTGGTAATGTCTAGCCCGGAGGCCTCAATGTGTCTCTTGATAATTTAGTAACAAAGCCCAGTTTGGATGCTTGGGATCTCAAATTGGAATGAAACGATAATGAGACTGCATCCAATTTTATAGGCCTATGGGTCTATTGGGCTATTTCACTCGACGCTGGCAATACAATTTATAGAACCAGCAGCTTCAATTATAGCATTATAGCATTCTAAAGGGGAAGATCCAGATTTGAAAAAATAAAATAAAATAAAAGGATAGGATATATGTATTACAGAAGATTAATAATTAACAAAACCAAATAACTACTTTATAATACAAGAAAGAACCTAGCTATTACATTCAAGAAACAAATGAAAATTCAACAAATATGAAGGAGCTTCAAGGACCTGACAGTATCTAACGAACAACACTTGACACAGAATCTAAGAGATGATGCACTGCTTTCTCGAAATTAACAAAGCCCATGAACCAGAATTCATGGCCATCCACAGTGACAATATGAATATACTTTTCTGGTGGGTTTTCTTTCATAATAACTGGGTTGACTTGTCCAATTTTCGACAATGGTATCATCAGCTTGTAATAGCACCAAGTCTCTTGTCCTGAAGGAGCTCTAAAGGAAAGAGGACGATCACTGCAGAAACCAACTCTAGCCGTTGATAGATAAATGGTTCCAGCAACAGGTCCAGTCGATGTTGAAAGGTAACAAGCGAAAGTCTTTATCAGCTTTTCATTTGGGTCTGTTTCAAAAATCTGCTTAAACAGAGACTCAAATCCACCCTCTGTTATTGCTTTTGCTGTCAAGTTCACCTTACCCCATGCTGCTTCAGATACAGACGGCGCCGTCTTCACTGCAATTTTTATTTTCAGATGTTCAATTAATACTAAAACTAAGAATAAAAATAAAAAGAACAAGTTATGTTAGAAACTTACGATTATGCCAGATGTTACGGGCAATGGTCTCTGCTTTAGCGCTCCAGGTGTTGAAGGCGTGGATTACAGGTTCAAAAGGGTTGTTGCTAGGCTTGTCTGTAGGGGAATAAACAAGGTAAGGTTGCTGATAAATTTGCTGGTGGTCACCGGCGGTCCATGAGGCTGCTTTTTGGTTATCAGGGTGGACTGTAGGGGCCGCCGGTGAACCCATGATGTGGGTTCCCCATTTCTTGGTTTCCTCCTCCGATACCGTTTGCTGGGACTCTACTTTCGTGTCTTGCGATTGTGTGCTTGCCATGCTTTAATCAAATTTCGATGAGTGCAAGAGACAGATATTGAATTGTTTTTGATGAATTCCTAATATTACATAATTTATATAACGAAGATTTTGTTTTCTTCGTTATGAAGAATGACACGTTACACACCAAATCCATTTTCCAGTTCCAGGATTGGCAAGGAACTAAGGAAAGATTTCCTTAGCTTTCGCGGTCTTTCGAGAAGGGGTATTTTGGTAAACGTAGGAATGTAGGAGAGTTGACTGGTCGATATTATCTGAAAAACTTGTTGATGAAAGAAGAAGAAATCGGGAATTTTCCCAAATAGGTTATTTCCTGTCGTTCGTTCCCTTTCGACTACAATCTCAACAGAATCGCTGCGTAAACGACATCGTTCCTTGTGCAACAGCGACAGAATTTATTAGGTACTGACTTTGTAAATTGACTAGAAGGTTGGTTAGGAATAGAAAACGCCAATTTACTAACCTCGTGTCCGTGTCCATGACAAGTTGGTGGGAAACTTCGTCTCTGTTAGCTACTTATGGCTGCCACTTGCCACTCTGCACTAAACCCTTGTCTCTTGATATCCTGCTCTAACTTCATTGGGAAGAAAGAAAATGAGTTACCAGCGGCTTGACTATCCTCCACCACCGCCAGGTAATTTCGATTTTTCCCTCAAATAACTGGATCTTCATTTAATCTCTCCAACTTGAACTGCATTTCTTCCATTAAATTCTTGCAAATTATTATTTCAGGGACTCCTCCGCCTGGATATCCACCCCCGCCAGGGACTCCTCCGCCTGGGTATCCTCCACCACCGGTGCCACCTTATTCTCCCCCACCTCCACCTGGTTATCAAGGCTACTTCTATGAAGGCTACCCTCCACCACCACCTCCTACTCCTCCTCCGCCTCCACCCCCGCCCCGCCAGGAGGACGGTGGTTGCTTTTCATTTCTTAAGGGATGGTATGTCGTATGTGATCTTTGCTATATCTGTCTACTTTTTGGCTTTTTGAACATAACTAAAGGCTGCAAAATCAAGAATTGAATTATATACATTTATGATCTTATTCAATTCTATGCAACATTCCATATATATTTATATATTTCTTGAAGCATAAACTAAAGGCTGCAAAAATCAAGAATTGAATTATATTTACATTTTATGATTCTTATTCAATTCCTATGCAACATTCCAGTATATAATTTATATATATATAGTATATATATATATTATTCCAATATATATATTATTCCAGAGTTAGATCAAGCTTAATTAGCCATTTTTTTCTTTTTGTTCTAGTTTCTCATCCTTGCATGTTTGTTGCACTTGCAGTTTGGCTATGCTTTGTTGCTGCTTTGTGTTGGAAGAATGCTGCCTTTAGGCGTTGCACTGCATCATATAATCTTTATATATCGATAGTGTTTGATAATTTTACTTCTACTTCAGAATTTGAACATGTTATTCTGCCCATTCAATATATCAAGTGTGAACCTAATTATATTATTATTATTATTATTATTATTGAATGAACTGTGTCTGTGTCATATATATATATAATTGGTGACTTCATATGTATATAGTTCCTAAATGTTGGAAATGGAATCTAAGTTTAACTGCCTTCCTAAATTCTATATATATATAAAAGTCGGTTACAATTTTTGAGTAAAAAATAAAATTAAAAAAAAAAAAAAGGGAACTTGGGCACCAAGCAGTCTAAAGTTTATCTGCCTTCCTAAATTCTATATATATATATATATATATATATATATATAAAAGTCGGTTACAATTTTTTGCAGTTAAAAAATAAATTAAAAAAAAAGGAACTTTGGGCACGAAGCAAAACGTTCTGCCTGTATTAAGTGGCAACATCCAAATGAGCATTAAACTCATCCAATCCAATGCCCTCTCGCTCTTCTCTATAAAACCGATTTCATCTCTGAAATAGGATCTACAACAATCCCAAACCCACCATAAAACCCTAATTAGATTCAAAAACAACTACTGGCGTTCATGGCACCAAACATCTCTCCTCGGACCTCCCAGAGCTCCACAATCACGCAATACTATAAAAACATATCCACCACAAACCAACTTTTCCACCCAAGCTGATTCCTTTTCATGGTATCTCATGGTAAGCTAATTTCAACAAACCTGCGTGGTTTCGCCGCTACCTCCGATTGAGCTACACGAGTGATCGTTCTAACCTATATCGTCATCAGGCAAATCCTTGCCTCGATTTCTTCTTTTCATGTCGTTACCTGATTACCCCACCCAATCCATCAAGCAGAGCTCAACGAGCCTGTCAGCAAGACCCTTTAACCACATCTCAACTCATTTCTGTAACCTGGAGAGGCGTTGACGTGGCACCGGGAAAATCTGATAAAAGAAGGGTTCTTATTGCGGCGGTGATTTGGTCCATTCAGTTCCACCCTTAAGACGCTTGCTTGCAATGTTGCGCCGATGGCGGATTTCGGAATTTTAAGGACTTGCCTGAGATTTCTTTTTTCCGTCTTTTAGAAGGATTTGAGGTGGAGAAGACCCAAAAGGCAGAGTGGGAACAGAGAAAAAAGAGGCCTCGGGATCAGAGGAAAAGTTCTAACTTTAACCGTTTTAGCCCGAGGAACCGGACTTTTCGCGGTCCGTTTCGAGGCCAAAGTTAAACTTTCTAAAGGATCGAAGCAGCGAAGCCTTCTTGCCACCCCAGGAGAGATAAGGATTCCTAAACGGCAATGGAATGAAACAAAATTTTGAAAAAGATGGAAGCAAGCATTGTTCCAGGAAACAGAAAGAATATGCATGGCTAAGAAGTTTTTTGGGGAGATATTAGCCAAGCCCTGATTTCCGATTTTTATATGAATGATTCAGATTTTTTTGACTGAATGCCAAAAAGCCGATTGTAGAATACTTAAAATCTCTGCAAACTAAGAAGAATAAGCCTTTGCAGCTAAATGAGTTGCCCATCTATTGACTCTTCCTTCGACAATCAAACTCTACTTTGTGAGCGAGCATTGCAAGAAAAGTCACTTCCCCAAAGAATCTTACCCTGAAATATGAAGAATTGAGGAGGCACATTACGCTTATGGAACGTGATCGATTGAGGGAAAGAGGTTTTGGGTGCCACTACGCAAGTTCTCGAGTTACCAGAGGTTTACATTGGGTATAATCACAATGGGGTGAAATTTCCATCACCAATCGGGGTTGCTTCTGTGGCTATGAAGCTTTACAAGGAGGAAAATTTTTAAAACATTTTGATGCAGAGCCGTTTTCTAAGTATTTGAGGAACGTTAAATCTGGAAAAAATCCAAAAAATTGTGCTGGCGCGTGCTCCGCTGGAGATAATTGCTGCTTTGAATGATGGTGATGCTGTAGGGCAAGTTGCAAGAGTTTACAGTGGAAAAGAATGTTCGATGATCCTTGTTGTGAAAAGGTAAGTATGGAAGAAATGCAAATTGGCTATTTCTGATTGTTTGGTAGCATGAGTGGACCTCCAAATGGATCGGTATTCAGTAGCACTGGGCGTTTTTAGTTTTCAGAACTGAGTGCAGGATCCATGGAAGGGAAAAGACTTATTACTTTCAGCGCAGATCCAACTCTTGCAAATTGGGTGACAGGGATAGTCTTTTAAGAAGACTAGATTTGTGAGAAGAAGGAATGAATGAACACTTGATTTCCAAAATGTGTTTGACCCTTATTCTCAAGAAAGTGGCTGTTGAGGGAAAATTGAAAGAGATCAATATTGTGATAAGAGAAGACTATGTTTGTGTCTCTTAGTGACATTGTGAATTTGATCAAGGCATCGTCGAGAAGTTGGGAAACTAATTATCAGGTGATGCGAGGAAAATTTTACAGTTCCGAAGGATATGGAAACTGTTATACCACAGATAGTGTTTTGGAATTTAAGAGGACTCGAGGCTACACCCAGTTCCTGCAACACAGGGACGGGTGGCTTTTGGTTAGTGGATTTTCTAAAAATTTGATGAAACTCTTCTTGGATTGAAGATGGAAGCTATTGACCCTGTCTCAGTTATGGAAGCTTTGCCATTGCTTGGTAAAGAATATCAAAAGCTAGCTGTGATAGGACTGATAGGACTCTTATATATAATATTTTAATGAATGAGAGTTGGTTCTCAGCAAAGAACAGAGCATTGATTCAGCTGTTTTTTTTTGATTGAAATGGACTTAACTCATCGTTTTCTTTATCTGAATCCGTTGTTGTGTTGAACTACGTATACATCTGAAGATTGTTAAGGATTCAAGTCCGGCTAAAACATTAAAATGAATCAAAATTATTAAATATAATCAATTTTTAAATTATCAAAAGTTTTGTTTTTTTTAGTTAAATTAATAATAATTATAAAAATATGGAAATTAATTTCACATGAATATGGAATAATTTTTTGAAGCACAATATATTAATTTTTGTTCAACATTTGATGGTGATTTTCAAATTCCAAAAAGGGATATTCGTATTTTCCAGGATGTTTAAAATGTCATTTGCCAGCCTTGTTGATAATAAGTTATTCAATCAATCATATCCTTCTTGCAAGCAGTTTGAGTCCTCGCAAACAAAATTGAGTTCTTTTCTGGCTCAAACTTCATTTTTCAAATGGATAGAATTGTACTGTTTGGTGAAAATGCATTATCTTTTGTAAGTTAATTGAGGTTAACCAATAATTCAGAGATGGATTTAATTGCCATAAATGACAGTGATTAATATTAAATATTTTAATATTTTAAAATCTCTCAAAGCGTCTCAGACATTCAAACTATTTTACGGTTATACCATTCAACGTGTATTAGTGGAGGTAATTATGCCTCTAAAATATTTTGGAATTTATCATTACAGTAATTACGATTTAGAAATCCATTTATTAAAATTTTTAAAAGATAAGGGTAACGATTATCATTTTTAAAATTAAATAAGTGGATTGCTGGGAAAATTAGGTTTCTTTTAGTGGGCTTTTCAACTTGGAACAATTTCAAAATTTTGAAAAAAACAAAACCATCTTCCACTGACATATATTTACACAGGTTAATAAAGGAAAGTTTTTCTAGGCAGAATAAATTAAAAAAACGTTTAAAATCGAGAAAGTGTATTTTTATATTTTATTGGTCTTTGGTGGGGAAATTTACGTTGTTGGGTGGAAAAGGAGCAAACAAAAGAAAATTATAGCATTTGCGTGAAACGAGGGAAAACGGATCATTTGATTTGATCAACGATGGTCCCACCCCTTTCAGATTGGATCATCAAATTGTCATCTTTTTTATATTAAAAATAAAAAACTACTGTACCCGAATTAATTCACCATGTTGTTTACGATCTTTATTCTAAACTAATTCATTTTTCATCAACTCTCTGATTTTTTTTTTTTTATTAGTTATATGAACAAGAAAAAATATAAAAGAAATATTTTTAATCTCATTGTCATTGGTTGAGATTGGTTGCAGATTTGATTTAATTGATTTTCCAATATTGTAATTAAAATAAAAAAAAATCAATTTATTTTTGAAAATTATTTTTCTATTTTCAAAAATATTTTAATTTTCTGAAATCAAATGTGCACCTGAAATTAGAAAATTTTACAGTCTGGGCTAGAACTTAGAGGCACGGCGGTCAGGCTGAATATGAAAGCGTGCAGCCCAGGGCAACCGGCATTATATTTAATCCACGTGTTTTTTTTTGTTGGTTTTTATCGGTAAAGGATACCTGTTTAAAGCCACGACAATTACGCTATCCACCGAATTGCACGAAAAAAAATTTATTCTTTTTTATTTTCTTACTTACACACCGGATTTTTTCCATAAACAACCGACGCACAGATTTAGTCAATCACGTGACTTTTCTTTTCTCCCATTTTTTATTTTCAATTTTCAATTCTCCGTTGCCAATTACTACTTGATGCCCTATAAATTACTTATTAATTTTGACGTGGTCTTGGTTGATGGTTTCACAGCATTTATTAGTCTTACTTAAAAACTTGTAATTAAATAAAAATATAGAAGGGCTTAGATAAGTAAAAGTGTATATAAACTTTATCCTTAAAAAACCAGAAATTGAAAAATTATGGAGTCCATTACTTAAAATAAAAAAAGATTTTGCTGACACGTGAGTCGAATCACGAGTTGATCATATGTACTTAAAAAAACACCAAACGGTAATGCCTTCAACCAGATTGTAGTTGTAAACAGTATCCAGTTTATTGCTGGCAGGGACACCCACGTGGAAGATAGTGTGCCATTCTGCCATTGTTTTTCTTATTCTTTTTTTTTTTTTTTTTTTTTTAAATTTCTCCCCTTTTTTTTCCTCTTTTTGACCCCTTCCTTTATCTTCATGTTAACTCGTGCAGTTTCATTGTACATATCTCCTCTTTATTAACGTCCCTTACTTTCTCGCATTCCTCCCGCCTTCGCATTTAAGTCTCTACCTACAAAACATTCTCTCAGTGTAATCAAAATTTCTTCTATACTTTGTCGGTGAGAATTCTACAATGTCGAGAGCACTGTTTGAGCTCGATTTTCTTTTGGCATTTAGGCAGAGAGCTGTCCTCTTCCACAAGTCTCGCCTTTGCCTTAAG